TAGGCCATATTTGTTGAATGCATAAACTTTTGAACGAGAGTAGAGTATACATTTCCCAAAAGACAATTTATTCACCAATTAATGCACTTTGTATTCTCCTTTAGACAAACGATGGGATACAAAGAAGTATCTAACACTCGTCGTTTTGTTTTCCCCAATGGCGAACTTTCACCGTGAATCATGGCCTTCGTGCACTACTGCACACCACTCTAGCATTTCATTTAAGTGCATGCAATGAGAGAATATGCAGGGAAGGAATTATTCACCCACAATATTAATCCGTCAATCCCTATGCCCATCTATGAAATAAGCAATTTTCTTTCTTTCAAAAACTTGGTTCATTCAACGCAATTTACATTTCATTGAAACTTACAAAATCGTTATTTTGACTTTTGTTGCTTCTTTGCTTAATGTCGTAAAGGATCCTATTGCATTTCTGCGACGGGAGCTGATATTTTATCATCTCTGAGAAGAATACCACCTACAATATTAATTATTGCATCCAGGCCTTGCACTCAATTCAGTCGTAAACCCATAAAACTCGACCATAATCGAAACTTTAAGGTTTCCCTATAGAGTAAAAGTGCTATGGTACGTTATATTATTCAGAAACTTGCATAGGTCTCGCCGAATCTGGAGATCTTTGTGTTGTACACTTAAAGCTTCTGAAACATTGGCATGTAGAGAAGGCGGACGTTCATTGTATACAAATTACACACAATGATGCACACAGTACCCCATTTTATTATCTGATGTCATTTTCACGTCTACAAATGTAATTCATTCCTCATAAAAGATTAAATATTTAAACGTTATTAACTTAGTTTACTTTATGACGCCATGTACCATTCGCATCGAATACCCAAACACAAAAACCAAAAGTTTGTGTAAATCAAGTGAACAAGAATACTGAAAAAGTTCCATTCACATTTGCACATATACATAATAAGATATCCACACTGAAGTGGAATTACTTGGTAAATTGTGCACCACAATAATTGGATAAACATAATATGTTTCGCAATATTATAACGAATAATACCAAGGTAAATACATATGTATGTATGTACATGTGTATATGAATTGACATATGCTGCACACTACAATGTTGACTACCGGATCCAGCAATAACATCTCGGAAGATCATTTTTCTCACCAGGAGGAGTATGTATATCGTGCTTTATCTTGAATTTTCATACCATCGTCAGCTTGGGTTTGCAATAAATGTACACGAATTGGTGTAGGGGCATAAAAAGAAATAGCACGACGGCACAATACAATAATGCGAAATGACGTTATTGCAAGCATACCAAACAACGACACAACACGGGTCGGGACTTGATACATTTAGTCGACCTGAGTTTTGAAAGCTGGAAAAGCAAATGCAACAACGGAATGGTATCGAGCGCACTGTTTCATCACTTTCACTCAAACTAACGTCGCTAGAGACATGTAACTTGTTCCAGCCCAAAAGTTCATATTTGCTTTCACCTACTTTACTTGGCTATGTGTATCCAAGTAGCATCCTTTTTCCTCTATGAACTTATATTACCTCACGTTGTAGTAACCTCAAAACAGCAACAGTTTTTTTTCATGAATTTTATTTTGAAAAGTGTAAATTGAGAACCTGCGACCAACGGGAGTACGGACAATTCTGAGCCCATTTTAGCCCCGCCAGACTAGAAATGGAGTGCAAAAAATGGTGACAAGAAGGTATCAACATCGGAATTGCTTGTTGTCCTATTTCAAAAGGAGGGGAGATTTTGAATAATAGACAGAGAGGTATAACGACATTTGTAATCAGTACGCACTTCAGAACTTCCTCAATTCAAAATCCAAATTCATTGTCTGACAACTTTGGATGGAATCTTGTTCGACGTCGATGTCAACATACAAAGGGGATTGTCATTGCGATTTACCAAAGACGTCTTTATCTGCCGCACTCTGTATGTAGCTTTCAAGGGACATGAGATGCTGCAAACGTCCAACTTTCTCTTTATATTCCCAATTCCAGCATCAACACTTGAGTCGGTCGGTAGTGAGGTAAAAGAGTTTTGGATGAAAACTCAAATCCACGACATGAATTTGTAAAGTTGTCCGTACGAATAATATGTGTGTGCAGATGGAATTTTCTGCAAATGGAAGCTATTCTTCCTGAATGACAAAACCTAGCTTTCTCTAATGTGCATACAGAGAGGCCAATATTTACATAAAGTACCTACGACCATTAATTTGCCCTGCTAATATTTTCAACGTGGCTTTACGTGACGAAAAATTACTGTAGATTATTCTAAATTGCTTATTATGATTAGACTTTATGTATGTGCATGCGTAAAACATATTTTTAACCTAAAAAATCAATTATGCATATGATTCTCACATTCAGTTTTATTTAATCTGTTCACAGAAGCCAATAATATTCACAAAACAATTTTCAACTTATCCCCATTTTGATTCTGCCTCGTTGACTAAAACACTTGCATTACTGGGAAAAGAGCCAAGAAATGAGAAATATGCTCTTAGCAGTGAACATATGTAGACATGCACACATACACAGCATCATTTATAAGTATGTTATGTATGTCTGAATAAAAAGGAAGAATTCTCATGAAAGAGACTACAAAAAGATTAAGTATTCTTGGTTTAGATATTTTATATTTTCCTGTCAGCATAGCTTGCACATACCCAAGATCGTGCCAACAAATGTATTATAAGTGCACATACTTTTAGGGCTTTAGAATTATGTATGTATTATTGTCTAAGGAGGACAATTTGCAACTGACAGACTCACAGATTTGGAGACCGTTTGGATAGGTTGTAATACTAGGTGACCCTTCCCTCCCCCAATTTTTGTACTCACGTCGTATTGTAACATATCCAAAGGGCATCAAAATTTGTCAGTCCGTTAGTAGCTAGTTGTCCTCTTAAAACCTGCAACAGAGTGAGTGCCGCAAAGTGCATCCGATAAATATGATTGGCCGAGCTCAATAAAAAAAACTTTCACCACTCCTACGAATGCATTAAATCATATATCTTTTAGTAATTCTCGGTATGCCTCAATGTAATGCAGCACAATTTTATAAATACATGTTCCCACATGTAGCAGTAGTATATTGTACTTATTTATTGTACATACGTATGCACTCACTTTAACCAATGTGTAGTTTGTTCTGTCTTCTCTCTTTCAATCATAGCAAGTACTAATGCATACATATAACCGTGTAGCCGTAGTGAAAGCAGATCAGTTTGTCCGACTGTGGTTGGTTCAGGTCGTTAGTCTTACAAAAATATGGGAACTCTTTGAAAAGCCGACATCTGGCTCAATCTGCACCGTTTTCTGCTTCTTTGCCACAAAGAAATATCCAGAGGCAACCTGGAGCAATTAACATGAATGAAACAGAAAGAGCTAGTGGACGGCTCCTGCTCCTGGGTACATACCTTTGGAGAGAAAGCAAACAGTAATGGCACCCTTGGTTTTCGTTTCCTTATTGGTCGGCATTCAGCCCAAAGATGCCTTACGAACCAGACCAAGCCGAGACGACCATAAGATTTCATTCCAGGTCTCTACGGTCCGATCGACGGCAGGCCTCCAGAGTTTGTGGCTGCACAAATTGATTATCATATTTTGTCCGATAATATTAATAAAATGCACACCTTATCCTACTCACAAGGTTAAATTTGGATCTTGCAAACTTGCCATTAATTAAGGCATCTAGTGAAACTTTAGTGCAGGTACAATTGTATGGCTTATCAATAATTTAACATTCCAACCCTGCAAAATGCAGATTACGCTCATTACGCACCGTAAAAGTGCTTATTCGTCTCCCCAAATGCATCTTTTTTTACGTTTTCATCCTCCACGTGAACGAATCCATCACTCGCTAACATTGAATTGGCTGACTATTTTACTGATTGAGAGAGCGAAGGAGAGAAAGCAACGTGCGAACGAACAGCGGATGATGAGTTTTTCGTGGATGAAGATTCGGTGGGACATACATCTCATGGGAAACATTGGCGTGATGACTCAAAGTGACCCTGTCCACCCCTCTCCAAGACGGATACATGTATAGCTGCTTCCTTAATCAGGTGCATTCAGCTAAATATGCCCGCATCTTTGTCTGTGTATGCCTTCTGCTTGGACAAATGGCTCTTACAAAGTGAAAGTGCAGGCGTCTGGCCACGTAAATGTGTGTAGTTTTGAACAAATCCAATTCATGCTTACATATCCGACACCCTCAGAAAGCGTGCAAAACGCGTCCTTGTCAACCCTGTCGCCCTGAACTCTTTAGCAGTTAATCTCAACCTTTCATCAGCAAATGAGTGCTGCTCATCACTTGGGACGAGCAGTTCAAAAAGTGAAGGGAAAATGAGATAGTTCGCAGAGTGAGATGGTGAAAAAGTTTCTCCGACTGGGCTGGAAGTGAGACGAGGCAGCCGTAAAGAGTGTAATAAACTCTCTGCCCAGAAAATCTCCTCAGTTTCAAGAAGTGAAAGTCTGACTTTTCTTTCTGAAGAGGAGAGGTTGTGTATTACCAACTCACGGATCTCGATGCCTCTTGGATATGTTATCCAAGTGTCCCATGAATGAACAAGAACCCCCAAGTAGTTTGATACCATGGCCACATTAGTGCTCGCCACACCCACTCAAACGTGCCCAAGGAACGGAGAAAGTAGTGCTTTCACTCATTCAAATCCACGCCAAAAATCCAATTTTACTCGAATTTTGAAATTCCGTATACCCAGGTAGTTGTTTTCTTATATTCAATAGTGAATTTCAGGACATTGGGATTAGTCAAATCTGAACTGGTAATACAAATGGAAAACTTGTCATATTACGGGTGACTCATGGTCACTTTACATATCTAATTAAATGCTCACTCTATACATCCATCTGCGTATGCACATCTTGAGCATTTACACATCTCAACTCCTGAGGTATCTACATAAATGTGATTGGACATTGGTGGACAACATATCTCACTACATAAATGCAATTGACCTATCAGAACAAGCATTCGGATGCAAATGATTAAGAAGTTGCGGTACAATTTTTCACTACTGAGCACGAAAATTTCTTTACTCATCTTTAGTTTAATTACTTATTTTACAGGTGATAAGCCTTGCAATATAATTTTTGCTAGAAAGTTGTTAAATTATATTTTATCAGACTACTTATCTATCTATCGAAATTTATAATTATTTATATATTATGGAGCCAACTAACAAGCAACGAAGAATTCCTGCAGACTATGCAGAGCTTTACAGTTTCAATGTAAGTCACGACACGGGAATTAAATTAACTGTATTTCATAAAGAACATAAATATGTGTTTTAGGATGACGAGTTGGAGTTGATTTGCAAATTGAGAGTCTTAGAAGAGCCCAATTTCGTGTTTTCTATTGTACAATCTGACGCTACTGATGCATCGAGTTCTGTCGAACTTGACAGTTCGTTGGACCAGAGAGAATGCAGTAGCGACACCGAGTCCACGAATCAATGGATACAATTTAACCAAGGTTTTCTGGGAGATGATGACCGTATCAGTGATGGGATGTTGTCCTGTGCCTCTTCCATGTCCCAGTCATATTTTACGGGAATGGAAACTGTAAGTATCATCTCGTTTTTGACAACCTTTAAATATACTTTTTTCCACAAATGGAGCAGCGTGAATGTTGAATGAATAATGGAGCAGTGCCATTTCTTCTTCCAATATGATTCCCGCAGGATTATGATTCCGATCATGCCAACGATCCAAGCGATCCTATTACAAGCACCATCAAGGAAACCCTCGTCCTGACGACAAATGCGAGTCCGGAACTGGAGTTGTCTTCGGAAAATCAAATTTGTGATTTATCAGAGTCCAAACAGAAGAGGATCGTCCCATATTACGCCGTCGAATCGGACGAATCTTTGGATGAACGAGACCTCCAAAACCTTCAGAATTTCACACCGAGCAAATATATGCAGAATTTTAAAAATAAGATTTCTACTGTTCGAAACAGGTTGATCCCCAACCTTTTCACAAACCGAGTATCATAAATACAAAATAGGATAAAAAACAATGTGTTGTAATAGGTAGAGAAGTTCAATTATACAAGTCTTGTAGATTTTTGTGTCCATAGCGGATAGCAATGAATCTCATGACATGAAAAATCATTTTTAAAAATCGGCAAAGATAATTATTATTATTTATAAGAATTTAACTACTAAATTTGTGTAATCAGATATATTACATTTATAACTCAAAAGCTTTATTGCAATAATTAATGTGATTTATTATATTTATAAATATGGTCAAGAATAACTTGGTACATAAATTGGGAAATAAAATTGTACCATTACTGTGATGTAAAAAGATTAACCCATCATTTCTGATTTTAACTAGCTGGAATGTCAAATAGTTTAGCATGGGAAATATCACATCATGAAGTTCAATAGCAATTATATTGTTAGGTTGTAGCGAATAGGTAAAGTAATCCCTTGACAAACTGGACAATTTCTGATCCTCCAAGTTTAGATTGACCATAAACACGATCCACAAATGTAATTGGCACTTCACCAATGGTGTAGTTGAACTGTCGGGCCCTTACAATCATTTCCATTTGGAAAACATATCCTTTGGAAACACAATTGTCCACAAGCTTTTTCAAAACATCTTTTCGGTACAGCCTAATAGGACATGCTGTAGTAGACTTTATTATATGAGGAAATTAGTGCTTATTTGTAACTACCGAAAGCTTCCAGTTAAATCAGAAACTCCTGGCTGAAGCAATATCTGAGTAAGAAAGTTTGCCCCTCTGAAAAATGTTTTTAAAAAACGACATTCTTTGACAAGAAACAAAAAAATAAGTACCTATCCATAATGTTACTGACCGAGAAATAAGTTTCCTTTTAAAATCCCATCCGTAAACACCCCCCGTCCCTTCATATCGAGTACCGGTCACAATGTCCAAGTCTTGGCTTTTTTGCAGTGCAATAAACTGCGAAATGAACTTGGGCTGAAAATACAATAGGCATCAATTGTGACGTGACAAAAACATTGGTGATAGTCTGATAAATGCAGTCTAATGCAAGTTGGTAATTAAAAACAGTAGAATTTTACATGGTGAGACAAATCTGCGTCCATAATTATTACAAAATTCCCTGTCGCGTGTTGCATTCCGTGAACATAGGCCGTTCCAAGTCCAAGTTTCGAAGGTCTTGGTTTTAAAACCTAGCCGTATATGTAGCAATTTTTAATTGTCATCTAATTAAGTCTCATGCATATGTATCATTTTCATTCTTACAATTTTTGATGATCCGTAAATTTTTTGCAATTCAGTCGCCACTTCCAGCGTCCCGTCTGGGCTTCCATCATCAATTATAATAATTTCAAAGTCATGGTCACTAGAAATGCAGATGAAAGTTTTTTTAGCAACATGAATCAAATTTAGTATTCAATCAATACGCATTGCAAAATGAATGAAATTTACTCACTGTTCTTCAAAGCACTTGATGATAAGCCAGACAATTATTGGAAGGTTTTCCCGTTCGTTGTAAGTAGGAAGCAATATGGAATACTTATTCTTCTCCATTACAATTGATTTGCTAAGCACTATTTTGGAAATAACTGGCTATTGAATATCATTAACTATTGTGTCCGTTCAAGTAAATAATATAGTAACGTAACGTGTAATATAGTAAATAAAAACGTCGTATAAAGTCTGTAATTTATTTTGGATATTTTTTGGAAATTAAAAATATTTCCAAACAGATGATCGGTGTTTGTTCACGTCAAACTTGCAACATATTGTGAAATGAATCTAAAATACGAAATCTCACTCATTCTCAGCTGTGCAACGTGGCAAATCATTTTGTCAACACACAACAAGTCTGGATGTCAATCAGTCCAGCAGACAGACACTTGATTTCTTCGGGAACGTACCAAATTGTCTCTTATTATAAGTTGATAGCAGGACTAGGTAAGTAAATTACTCTAATTAAACTGCATTTTATCAAAAAATTTTATCAAAAATGTAATTTTAAGAAAACTGCATTCCGTTCAAGAATGGAGGACCCAAATGGAAATGCAATTATAAAAGCAGTAATCTTAATCGGCGGACCACAGAAGGGTATTATGTCTAAATTTCAGAATATAGTTTAGTCATTTTTAGTTATGTTTTATAATTTACTTTAGGAACACGATTTAGGCCGTTGTCCCTCGATGTTCCTAAGCCTTTGACCCCAGGTATTTTGAATATTAATATTTTTTAATGACTCGCATAAGCATGCTCTGACGTATTATTTGAATAACTATAGTCGCTGGATATCCCTTGGTCCAGCATCTTATCGAATCATGTATTCACGTGCCATCTGTGAAGGAGGTTCTTATATTGGGGTATTACCCCGCAGATGAGGTAAACAAAAAGTCAACGTTGTAAACTTGTATTAAATCTACGATAATTAAGTAATAATCTACATACTTTCTCATACTCGCTTGTATTGTTAGATCACACCCTTCATTTCAGAAATTGGACCCTTGTACAGCAGCATCAAGATACGTTATTTACAAGAATATACCCGACTAGGCACAGCAGGGGGAATATATCACTTTCGTGATCAAATCAGAGCTGGATTATCAAACACCTCGTGCTTCATCCTCATCAATGGCGATGTTTGTGGAGGTATTAACATTGAATATGTAGCAACGTTTAAAGAAAACATGTCGCTAAATGTTTTTTTTTGTTTTGCGAAGACTTTCCCTTGAGTGAAATGTTAGAGTTTCACTCAATTAAACGAGATATCCCAGCTCTGTTAACCGTTTTAGCGACGGAAGCTACTCGACAGCAGTCATCAAATTCAAATTTTGGATGTATCGTTGAAGACAAAAACTCGCATAGAATCACGCATTATGTTGAGAAACCAGAGACGTTTGTGTCAACCCTCATCAATTGTGGCGTCTATATTTGCTCCCTTGACCTTTTTCCTTGCATTTCAAAAATTTTTTCTCAGCGGCAAGCCAACTATTATGCGTAAGATAAATGGATTATTTTAAATGCATATATAGCATGAAACTGGGGTTTGGATTGAGCTTTGGTTGATTATTCTAGCGGAGAAATTCAAGACAACAATGGCGATTGTTGGGAATCCATTGCATTAGAGAAAGATATTATAACACCTTCTGTCGGAAATACTGGGTGTGTGTACGTGTACCGCTCGAATAGGATGTGGTCTCAAGTAAAAACGGCCGGATCAGCAATCTATGCAAATCGACACTATTTGGCACTGTATCGAGAACGACAACCTGAGAGATTAGCTAATAGCCGGTGTAAGACCAGAAACACACCGTGTAAAATAATCGGAGATGTCTTCATTCATCAAACAGCACAGATTGACCCAACCTGTGTGGTACATGATGAATTAATAATTGATACTATATATATTTATGTGTAATAAGGCTACTTTCAATATGCATAATTTGAAACCTATTTTCTTAGATAGGACCAAATGTCAGCATAGGAAAAAACGTTGTCGTCGGGCCAGGAGTGAGGATAAAGGAATCTATTATTTTGGGAGACTCTGTTATCCAAGACCACAGCCTTGTAATGTACACCATAGTTGGATGGAATGGTATGATCGGAAAATGGACTAGAGTGGAAGGGACGCCTTGCGACCCCAACCCAAATAAACCTTTTGCCAAAATGGATAATGTTCCTCTCTTTAACGACGAAGGAAAATTGAATCCTTCTATCACAATTTTGGGTAAATTAAATTAACATAGCAATTAAATCCTTTACTTGAACGAGTACTTTTTGGTTGTAGTTATTTACATTTGTTATTACAGGTTGTCACGTTCGGGTTCCATCAGAAGTTGTTGTTCTAAATTCCATTGTGCTGCCTTACAAAGAGCTCAGTCGTAGCTTTTCAAACGAAATCATTTTGTAAGTGTAGTACTGCTCCTAAATAAAAATTCATGCAATCACTAAATACTAGATAGTGAGGTGCTTCAGTCAGTTATAAATTTCAATAAGTACGATACAACCATAATAAACAAAAGTTATTCAAGTATTATCACCATACAATAGTAAGACACAAACTCTGTTTATTTTCATTATTTTATTTACTATTAACATAATTCTACTACAAACACAATTCTCAAAATTTATTTATGTATTATTTATTGAAAGGTCAGTATTGACTGATATACAAATGTATTGAATGGACACAGTAAGAGTGTACGGTTCCTTAAGTTCTCTGGGTCCTTGAATACTTAATGATACACCTGGCGTGCTCTGACAGAGGTCACATATTGCATCCACGTCAATTTGCGTCTGTATAAAGACGAGTTTTCTAATTTTTGGCATTGCAATCAATCGTTTTCCCAAGGAGAGGTCAATTTTTTCAGATGGTTGGTAATTAAGTATTAAATCAAATTGTGTTAGATTATCCAACCGAGTTGCAATACTGGAGATGTCGTCCTTTGTTACTGGCCCATTAATTACTAATTTTTCCAATGATGACGGCAGCAAGTGGAGATGTTTTTTCTCAAAAAAGTGAAAAAGTTTCAAAACTTTTAGGTTTTTGCAGCTGGACAATGCCACCAGGTCAATTGGATCTGTGATTTTTTTATATCATTTATTTATCACCCCATAAATGTAATAAAAAATAAATGTAATAAAACCTTTGAGTACCTTCACTCAGCGATAAAATCCAGACATCCAACTCGGTTAAAGTTGCTTGACTTTTTGCAACGGCTAAAGTCACCGAGTTCCATAAATCATCAAGAATGTGCATCTTTAGAGATTGGAGATGTCCCTGGTGCTGTAGCAAAATGTGTTCAGAACAAAGCCGTTTGCTTCTTCCGAATGAATACTCCAAGTCTTCGAATTGAATTTTTTCGATGGCTTCTTTGCTGTACGAAGAAATATTCCCAAAACTCACAAAGTCTGGCCTTGCTTTAACCACAAATGACTTTAAATTATCTGCATTGTTTTTTAACAAGTCGAAAAATGCAGTTGTCTTGATTTCAACGTTAGATAGATTTGTAATCGGAGTCATTTGATTTCCTGGATATCCGAATCCATAACGCGGCCCCCGCGTGATGGGACCATTAAGAAAACTCTCCAAGTCTGCGTTAGAATTTCGTGACCACAGCTGCATATGATTTGTGAATAATCTTGAAGCAAATTCAAACTCTGCAACGCCAACTCTAGAATATGTGGTTTCTCTGGAGCTGGCGTTAGTCATTCCAACTGATACATCCACCTGCACCCTGCGTTCTGGTCCCATTGTTTCCACCTCAGATGGTTCAGGTGCAATACTGATCAAAGCATCAATGTCAACATCAGTGTCAGATTCTTGAGGTGGAGTAATTTGGTCATTGTTTCCATCATCGCTGGGCACCACATCTGTAAAAGTACCGTTACTGGACTGCAAGTCCAATGATGGGTAGACTGCTGGAAATCTGGATCGGTCGTCTGTATTTGTGGCCGAAACGGTACTCAATGAGGGTAAGAAACGACCTGATGCACCTTCGCTGAAGATGTCACTCCTTTCTTCAAACTCCATGTCTTCTTCATCCCAATCAAGTTTTACGGATATGAGGACTTTCTCAAGGGATCCCAATTTCATAACGCCCAAAGTGTTGAGCAGAATCATTTCGTCAATGGTGAAAGTTTCCTGGTCCATTCGAACTCTAAACTCTAAAGTGGTGAGTTTGGGCAGTCCAAATGCCTCATGGTTTTCTATTCCCAAAACTTCCTTGGGTGAATTGATTACAAGTGTTTCTAATTCATGACAACTGCTCAGGATTCTCTTAATATTTGAGGATAATACTTTTCCAGAAATTATGAGCGTTTTCACTGTCCCGTTAAATCCAACCAGTCCGTGAAACTCGGTAATGAGTCCATGAATTGTTACTTTGTAGGCATTGCAACATTTAAACAAGCGTTCAAAGTTCGTATTTGTAATGATTAGTTCAACGGGAAAGTCCTCATTAATGATTCGGTTCCAATTTGTACAAATAATTCGTATACGTTGTCGATCATTTTGATCGACAAAACGAAATACTGTCTTTAAAGCCTACATACATAAAATAAATACATTATAGAGCTATTTTTGCTATTTTTGCATATATCTTGAAACTCTTGTGTACCTTTTGAGGAAGATCAGTTATGCTGGTTTGCGTTATGTATTCCATTTACCTGGATCAAATTATGTCTATCGTTTTTGGTATAATTTATTGTGGTTCATCAATTTTACAGTCAAGTAAAATGGCAATAGAGAACAAAGCGTTTATATCTATCTCCACACGATTGCTTGACTTTAAGTATCTAGGTAACGTTAGTCTCCCTTAACGGTTGCGACAAATGGTCGAGTTACAAATAAAAAATTCATTTTAAAATCGTTGGTTCAAAAAGGGCGTTTGAGTCTCCAACTACTTTGACCCTTAATAACTTTTGAATGGGCAGACATAGAGACTTAATTCTTAAAGATGAAATCATCGTAATTTTTTGATTGATTTTTTAAGCTAAAAATCTAGAAGGTACTATTTCGAAAATTAAACTTGAAATCTCCAGTGAGCCCGAGTCAGACTCTGTGGTCAAAGTAGTTGGTGTCTGCGCGATGGACTTCAGACACCAACTATTTTAAAAATAATTATTTTATTTGTAACTCGACCATTTGTCGCAACCGTTAAGGGTAACTAGGCACTAAAAGTCAAGCAATCGTGCTATCTCCATGTTCAACATCCAGGGTCCCAGGGCATCTCTGTAGCAACACCCCCATGCGTTTCTTATTCTTATGTATTCTTGTCTCTTCTCACGATTAATTCGACAATCGACAATGGGGAAACATTGCACATTTTGATAAGCATTGCTTTATTTTATTGTATTTTATTTCATTATAAATATTGTTTTATACATCGAACTTAGTGTTTGATTAAGTTTGAAACTATGTAGATAATAACTAAAATATTAAAGGTACATTTGCATGTATCTGTTATGTTATATCGCAACTCTACGCTTTCACAGAACCAATGGTTATCGGATATATGCATATTTCTATTATTTTATATTCTAAACCGGAGCAAAAACGATTGAGGAGATGATTATTGCAAGAGAGTAATTCTGTCCACCTTGGATGAGCCTCGTCGCGTCAACGCCACGACGATGCCCACCAGGACGATTCCAACTGCGACGAGGAGCAGACCCCATCGCACAGTATCTGCTCCCTGTTGCAAAGACGCCAAGAACCGCATCAGCGAAAATTTTTTGTCCGGAGCCACATAACTCTGAGAATACAAGATTAGGATTAATCATATGTACATATGATGTGTATCTATACGCATATCTATGTACACATACAGTGCATATGAATGTTTACCTCTTCGATCCAATAAATGGGTACGTATGCCTACATAGTAGCAAATAAATCCATTTTTATGGTTTTTGTTTAAAAATCAAAATTCATAATTTTCGTGTAATAAATAGATTGGCAACCTTTGGAGCAGATGCCAATCCTGATATTTGCGACACTGGTTCAGTTTCCACTGCTACTTGCCACCGTCGTTTACCTTCAAAGATCAGTCCAGACATCTACGCAATAGGATAATACAACATTAGAAGAGTATTTTAAATCGTTGGAGCTACAAATGATTATTACTGGGTCGATATCAAGAAGCGTTTCATGTTTTTCTGGATCTGGCATCATCCCTTCGACGGACTCTATAACTTCTTTGTCTGCATGAAGAAAGTGTGGATTCGAGATGAACATTGGAATTCCTGTGGGGTAAAAACTCATTTGATTATTGATATCACAAATACACATCTAGAAACAATGTTGTAACACTAATTAAGTAAATAGGCTTGCCATCCATGCAAGGAGAAAGTATCTCAATCCCGTCCTTTCCGCATTTTGCAAGATCTTCGTACGCTATGAAAACATATATTTTTTTAATCTATTGTCTGGTATTCTTTTGTCTCCACTAATTTTTCTCGGAAAAAATAATTCTCTTTCCAAAATTTGTAAAGTCCCTAACTTTTCCCAACCAATCCAATTTGTTGAACATGTACAAAGATATCTACGTTCAGATATCTTTGTATGAATATTCTTTTTGTATACTTAAATAAAATTCTTACGGCAATAGCAAGCATTGTCTGGATTATTTTGAGGGCTTTGCATATGTTGTTTCCTGGGTCGAAATCTGACCGTCTTAACTTCCTTGACTTCGGTCGGCATTTCATATTCGTATTTCTAAAATATATTTCAAGTAAAGGTCGGCTTCAAATATCAATGAGAATAAAAAGAAGGTAAGAACTTGAATTTGATTAGATGAAATTACCCGAGATCGGCAGTACTCTGACTCGTAGACTTGCAGCACGGTCGATTTCTTCATGGGAGGAGTGAATAAGGTACCATCTGTCCCATTGATAAAGTAACAGGGTTCACCCTTGGACCTTTTTTAGTGTAAAAATTACATTAAATGATTTGGTCAGGACTTAAATTGTAACCTTACTTACCACCAGGGTAACATGTCCAGCGAGTTCCACGTCTTTATCCGACCATATGCGGATGCATTGTGTCTGGCGGTAGGTAAGGAATTTATTTTATAATTTTCAGTGTAAAACATGTTGTATATATAATAGCGTGGTACAAGGGAGGGATCCCAGTAATTAATGGAAAACGCAATTTTTGTATGTATTTGTGCATGTATTTATTTACCGTCCACTCCAAACTTCCCATTCGCCACTGTCCGTCAGATTTCTCTAAAATAATCAAAATTTAAAATTTGTTACAAAGTTGTGCAGAAATGTCATGCTTGTCAAACATTTTCGAATAGAGCATATTTCCCATCCATGAGAAATTCAGGTACGGTGAAGTCCCCTCCACTTTCTGACATCGCTCCATTGTGCTCACTAAATAAATGTGTATGAACCATTATAAGAATATGAGGTCCAAAATACAATATGTAATCGACGGATAAATCTGTAGGAATATGGCTAACGGGAAACATAGCATAGTGCAGTTCTTACTTTCCCAGCTCTTCATATGCCTTTGCGTCATATCCATCGAGAAGCAGCTCCCGAACAGAATGGCTTACAGTTAGCTTTTCAGACTTGGTTTTAGATCCAACAGCCTTCAGCATTTTGTCCTTGTCTGAGCAATCTTGAGCAATTCTTGTAACTCCCTAACAAAATAATTAATTTTATAATATTTGGATTTTTGGATTGCAACATTTTCAGGAAAAACAATAAATCCTAGTGCTGCTCACAACTAAGGGAATGTTTATGGTTGTTATCATATCCTCCTCTTTGTTAGGATCTGACATCTCCGGGAGGAATGCATATTTTCGCATTTGTTTGTAAAGTAGAGTATCGTTTCCTTTGTCGTACTATGTTACAAAATAGAATATGTAGGCAATTCACTTAATTATATTAATGTATTAAACATTTTATTACAGTTATGTCTTCCTTCCAACGAGTCTCCCTATGAAAGTAAATCATAAGCAGGAATAAAATTAAGAAATTCAAAATGCACGTGAGATATGAAATTCAACAGAAATCATACATGTACACGTATGGACCTTTCTCCATGAGCTTGGGTTTCTGGCCTTTGGCAACATCTTCAGGATTTTGCAAGTGGAAAAAGTAAACTCGCAAATAGTACGGCGATGGACTGTCTTGCCAAGATCGCCATGCATCTGTATTGTTGTACAATTTTGCTTGCTAAAAAAATACAAAACCAAAAGGCACACCTTGTTATCATTTTTGCTACACGTAATGCGTAGGAATTGAATTTATTTGCTTGTGTTACAGTGTATTTAGTAGACTTGGGTAGATTGACTCGAGTTTATGTATTTTTCATAAAACTACTTAAATATGCAAACGATTATTGAGGCTCAGTAGGATGTTAGGCACTATGTCAATGATATAAATGTCTTCTAATAACCAATCGATTGATTAATAACCTCAGGTATATGTTTTAATCGTCTTATTGAGTTTATGTATTGCGCATTCAGTTTTTGGGCTGGTTTTATAAGAAATAAAATGCAAACGTCACTATACTCAGCTCATGAAAATTGGAATGTGGAAAAGAGACACGCCTTAGTGGTTGATTTTGAACATGAAGCCAGAAAAGAGAACAACAACAGCCAATATTCCATAGAAGACATAGTTTGGGTTGGTTTAATGGTCGGGCTGAACCACTGAATTTTTGATATAATTCATCAAGTATTCAAGACGGTTCACATTAATTGACCTCCAAGCTTTACGGTTGGATCGATTCCTATACGTGGACTTTCAAACTGTTGGATTAGTGTCATGAATTTTACGAATGATAATGTCCTTGACATGATATAGTTTCTGCCGATGCTAAATACTTCTCGATTATAAAATTTTTCAAAGTAAATCAATGTCAGAATAGTCAGAAATAATAAAATTCTTTCGTTTTCGTTCGAAATAGAAAATAATGGAGAAAGGTTGAATGGAATTAAAAACGGTTTGTCTTTTTTGGTATTTTCGATGAAAATGCTATACCAAAGTTCTACATAAGCTGGTTTTTTCTCAAGTTCTCACATCAACGGGTAATACTGTTTAAAACCTTCATCGTTACCTGTTTCAATTGTCCCCTGATTATCATGCTGAATCCTCCCCATCCCATGGCTGTGACCAAAGCCAGGAATGCAGCACCACCACCGATAAGTTTGTGAGGGAATCGGTCCATTGAAGGACGAATTTGATAAAGTCAGAAATGTAATAAAAAAACTTTTGGAAATGGGGAAATTGTACAGAAATTTATAAAGTCAGAGTTCCAGGAAGAGAGGCATTCCGATGAGATGAGCGTCTGAATAATCCCATGACTTTGAGAGGACTGCGAATGAGTGAGTGAATGGCGTATGCGAAGTCGGTCTGTCCTATTTAAAACAATACACAGTTCTATCCAGCTTAATATGACGGAGTATGTACTAAATTCTTTGACTCTTCCACGCTCTACGCCAAAAATCAATTCCTCCTAAATGGCAATGATTTTATGTATGTATATGCTGCGTATGAAATCGAACATTTTATCTGGAATTCACCAAGCTTGACTAAATTTAATACATGTTATTTGCTGCGACAACAACCAACACTCAATACCATTCAAAATGTTAGACGTTAAAAGTGTTAACAAGGATTGGGACAAGTTGCATTTCATTATTGTTTTATTAAACTTCAAGTAAGCCCAAAAAGCAGTGTATTCGTAGGAGAAAGTATAATAATTTAAATCCATTACTTTCCCAATTTGTTTCTTAAAGACTGTGGCATTTCTGGTGGAGGTGGACGAGGCAAACCAAATGCAACTTTCACACCGTCGTAAATGAACCACTGCAACGCTGTGAGAGTTCCTATCATGATAAAATAGAAAAAGAAAATATAAAAATTATGTTATTTTTAACTTCATAAGGATCAAAGTAAAGGTCAATAATATAATTCATAATACTACTCGGTCACTCTGAGCGTAAATTTTTACCTATCATGATAATTCGAGTGCCAAGACCCTTCCATAATCCAGCCCATCCGAGTTTCTTCATAATTGCACTAGCACCAGATTTGTCTTGACTCATTTTGCTTACCATCGTGTCAGCCGGATGACTTACGACAGCACAAAAGATCCCGGCAATGTACCTAATCATCAAATAAATATATAGTTATATAAATGCACATATCAATTTAATGATGGTAATACCCTGCAGCAAAGGTGACAGCCAATTGTTCAGCTTTTGTACACTGCTCTCGAGGCTTTGGAACCACGTGCCTAGAATAAATATTAGATTACTTTTCAATTTAAACTAATAAGGAAAGAAAGCCGAATATAATATTTAGGCGTTAATTATTTATGACATACTGGTAGAGCAACTCTACAGTTTTTTCAAAGCTAGCAAATTTCATCATGGTGTAAGGAATTTGTCTCATCCACAATGGGACCAAAGGTGCATAAAATGCTCCAACCCCTTCCTTCATAATTAATGGGAATGCTTCCCTTAAAGTCCCAACAAATCCGGGTTGTGTTTGAATCCGAACCTAAAATTTTAAAATTCAACTTCCAACCAATACAAAAAACTCATAGGATTACTACGTAACCTATATAATTATACGTCGGTATTTACCTTTATGCATTCGAGGGGACTCAAAGCAATGTCGGCCAGAAATTCAGCGGATGCTGAAGCTGCTAAATATAATGCAGTTCTGTAAAGGTAAGCATTCTCTTCTCCCATCATTCCACCGTATGCAATTTTGAAGACCTCGTAGAATCCAAATTTACCAATCCCCTGAGTGTAAAAGAGGATCATGATTAAAGGAATTTTAAACAAAACTGAGAATTTACAAATACAATAATAATTATGAACTACCTGCAAAGAGTATCCAATCGCAGTCGGAGCCCAGCCTCTGGCAAGACCTCTCGCACCCTCTTCCTTCAGAGTTACCTACATATGCCAATGCAACAATAACAATGGTATCAAAATAATTAAAATAATTAATTTGAGTTGCAATTAATATGATGAACCATACTTTAAACCCGGTAACAAGCCCTTTGTATTTGTCTGGGTTGACTTGCATTCGACACTTGACCAAATCCAAGGGTACTACCAGAGTATGTGTTATTCCACACGAAAGTAGTCCTCCAAAACCGCACAGCGCGTAATACTTTGCAGATCCAAATTCAACTTCACCTATGTTGTTGGATTTAATAATTCATTGTATACATACAGTTTTGAAAACGGGGCGACTAAAAATCTAAAAATTTAAAAAATACCGGAAGCAGCGGCGGCCATGATGTTTCGACTGGGAACAGGACTTTTCATGATTCCGAGCGACGGACCTTTTCCATCTCCTCCTCCCTCAGCACAATCCACTTTCGTCGTAAATGGGCTCTTGAACGGATTCGCCTTTGCCAAATTCCAAAAAGACTCCATCATCGTCTCAGAAAGATATTAGACTTTAGATGGAATCACTGACAATACACAAAATAAGCAATATATTAGACTACAAATCAAAGTAAGTAACAATAAGTGCGATCAGTGCCAGTGGCGGCGGAAGTTGGGGGACATATGGGGACATTAGCGTTGCGTTGTGAAGTAGGGCTCATTAACATAGGAAAGATAGAATTTTTCTGAATTTCTGGAAGACAATGTCCCCCCGCTTCGACCGCCACTGATTTAGTACTGCTGCTGAGTACCCCCTTCAGTAATAATTAAATGCAAATTTGTACTTACATGGAGATAATGACAATTAAATTTGTTTTAAAGGTTTCCAAGTTTACACAAAAGGTAAATCAAACTCTAGTATTCAAAAATAAAAAGGTAAACTGCTGCAGGGAGAGGCCCTTCGAGATGAATAGTTAATATTGACCTAAATAAATAAAATTGAGAATGCAAAAGGTGGGCAACTAATTCAAGTGAAAGACAGAGAAAGGAAAGAGAGGAGAAATCCAGAAATCTCTTCCGTTCGATCGAAAGCAGTGTACGTGTGTTGCTGCACATAACTGTGGACGTGGTGCCGGACATGTATTGGCGCCGTGCAGACATTGTTGCAGACGCTACAGAATTTCATGCGACAGATGACCCTTGACCCTGCCGTCGAAATACTAGATGACCCATTCTTATCCGAACTACATGCTACCCATATGATCATGATGGTGGTCTGAACATTTCATAATAAATAACAATGAAACAGAACGAGAATCTACTTGCAGTTCAGAAGTAGAGAGGGAGGTTCATATGAATTATAGTTATATTAATTAGGGGTCACGGCTGTCGGCTGCAGTGACGGCTAGATTTTATTAGTCTCGACATTTTAAGCAATTACAGAAGCCAGAGTTCACTTTTGCATTGAAACATATTTTGTTAAAGAGCATAATATTCGAAATGGGAATATATATTATCCTGGCGCAGGTGCCACAGGTAGGGGTGCAACGACTCCAGGCGCTACTGCGGCTGGCACCCCAGGGACAGGTGCTCGAGGGTTGATGAGGGGCGGAACAGTGGCCACGGCCACGGCTCCGGAACAAATTGTACTAAATTGCACTAGGATTGGTTTGCAAAAGGACACATTCGTGGTCGTACAGACGCATTGCAAACAGTAATTGTTGACCGTGGAGGGAACTGGGGTCCATATTGTAGAGGCCACGCATTGCTGATTTATAACTGAAAATTTACTTAAATTATTGTGGTTATCTCACGACAAATGACGTGTTATTTGCTCACCAAAAAGAAATCCACTGCAGAAATTTATTTTGACCACGAGTATCAATAATACTGCGCAGCTTATAAACCTGGGTTCACTCCTCCTCCTCCCAACAATATAAGGCGACATAGCTATTTAGTATTTAGGGTGTGGCGCACGCCAAGCTGTACCGCTGACTGACTGTCGTGGTCATGAAATGGCATTGCGTAGTTCTACTGACTGACTCGGTAAATAAATGGTAAGGTTGTTCCCTTTGCAAAGCAAATATTGCTGTTTCATCAAGTCTTTGTGTACTCTGATTTGATTTGCTGGCTGGAGAGTAGGAGAATACAGATAGAATTTATACGGTTGAAGGTAATGTAATGGTGATTAAATTGATGTTTGTAAATTGAAATTACGAAACTGGCATAAAAATTGCTGGCAATTACATATTTATATTAGCATCGGTTTTTTATATGCTCATAATGAAACATTAATGACATTAGTTTACATACAAACGATGAAAAGTTTGGTTTATATGTATATAGGAATTTATTTTTACATGATCATATTTATGTCCATGATGTATAATTACTTTAATTTCTTAGAATTAAATGTTAAACCTCGAACATGTTCATGTAAAAAATAGTTATCCAATTGCGGAAGTTCCAACACACGCAGTGTTAATTTGAAATATTTGAACTACACAAACTCCATTGTTGGTAAAAGAGCAATAGCATTGCCAACACAGGCCATTTAAGCTTGTTACGAAAATGGTTCCTTGAGTACATGTTGTCTGTACAACTGAAGAAAAGAGACTCACATTGCTTATCATTGATAAATTATCAATCGTGAATTGATTATGGAAAATTATTACAAATACCTGTCAAACTTTGACAAAAATCCATAGACGCTGCAAAAAGTAGAACTGCAATAATTCCAAAAATCATATTTGTGGACCTTGATGAAGAGGACGCCATGATCAATATCAATGAAAAAGATTAAACAAAATTGAATTTTGTATTTCGTTTATATTAATTATTTCTAATGACAGTCTAGATCTGACTAACTCCGAAATGCACTTAAGATTGACCGTTTTATTTGAAAATTCTATTTTCAATTATTAAATGTCATCAAATAATTCTCTGGTCTGCACATAAATTCAAAGTCATGATCAGTCCATTCTTTATGTTAAAAAATGTATACTTAAGTTCTTAATTTGAGTTTATATAAATAAAACTTTATTGTACTCTAAAAAGTATTTACAGCATGACGAGTGATTATACAAAAAAAACTTAATTAGGATATTCAGCAAATGCATGTAAAGCTAGAGCTAACCGGCACGAAGAACCGACGCCACCACGCTCACCCCACTGACCGCGGAGCAGTCAACGTTGGCAACTATCACTTCAGTTCTTATCATGCAAAGCGACAAATTAGTGACGAAACAGAAACACTGATAACATTGGTTATTCACGTCGGATGGTGAAGGCATCCAGAGGACCTATTTATAAACATCAATTTAATCATCATTACATTACCTTCAACCGTATAAATTCTATTCACCCCTCGGCTGCAGTTGTACGACAAGGCTACATACATATGGGAAAGGCATTCATATATATTTAGTACCAAGTATTTTATTAAACAATACTGAGCTTATATTAGAACCATGTTCTTATTTTGGTAAATTATTACCTACAAACGTCGCTTTGGACAAGGATGGCGAAAAAATAGTGGTCACAAGAAATGACTGACCCATACAACCCAGCAAAATGAAGCCGAGGAAGTGAGTTGTGTAATGCACTAACAATCGTTGTGGCGTTTCAGGCATTTTGGAAAAGAAGGAAAGGATAATTAACTTTGAAAGTCAGTATTTCTCTTAGAATCCGATAAAAACGAATTATCTGATTAAAACACCAATTACGAGTTTGATGGATTTGTGTGAACAAATGAAAGGAAGCTCAAAATATGGAGCACACATTTGCATTTTAATATAACATCAAAAGTGAATTATTAACTTTCCTTATCTATACTTGAGGAAATGACACTGCAAGTTTTGCAAAAGCCCTCGAGCTTTTCATCTCATAAATTAAAAGTGAATTTAAAAAATAGTTAAAATAGATTTAAAGTACATAATACGGCATAGAAATAACTGGAACAGTGTAAGGAGAACACATTTCAATTCAACTTGCATAAACCATGTATAATTTCCAACTGACTTGCTTTTTGCAATCATAACTTAAAACTAATGCGAAATGCTAAAAACATTTGCATACAAGTTAGCATGCATTTTTGCAGTCTGAATTTTCATGGAATTTGAATGTCTCAAATATCCACATGGATGTATTGGAATCCAAGAATGATTTTACTAGCGGTTGAGCTTGAATAAATGCAAGTTTTTAACACGTGGGGAAAATCACTTGACTTCCTATATTTACTCACTGCACAGCAGTTTGACATTTGATTTAAGGTCATCATTGTGCAGTTATTATTGAAACATATATAGATTGATTCTTCATATTTACTGTGTTTTAACACTATTTTGCTCTGTAGTAAGGTAGAACACTCAGAAAACCTTTATATAACAAGGATAAGGTAAGGTTTTAAATTAAAACTTTTAATTAACTGAATTGACTTGTTTGTATCATCAAACGTAAAGGGTTGTAATCGTGTAATGTAATAAGAATAACATGAAATAGTCAAGAATAATAGTAGACCATATAAGTGCATTTGTGGTTATGTAATTAATTAGAATCTATAGCGCGAAGTTTATTAGTTTAAATTCTAAATTTCGCCAACACGGATTTAATAACAAATGGCTAAAGATAAATGATAATTGCAAATGCATCCAAGTGTATATCCAATGCGCAAATTAAAGTACAGTAGAAATATCTGTTTAGATTATTAAAGACATATTTATTAATGACAGTCACGTTCTATTAATAGAGGCGAGAGATATGACATGACAAGTCACAGTTGATTCCATTATTACATGAAACTGCACATCATTTATTTACGGTTCAACATTTTCTTAAAATCTATCACTCCTCGTGTTGCGCCTTCAAGAACTTTTCATACGCTGGCTCATCCATTAGTCCGTTCAACTCCTCTGGTTTTGTGAGTTCTAACTTGAACAGCCAACCTATAAATTAAAGAAAAATACCAACCACTTAATTATCGACGCTCTAAAGAAGGTTGTTGGTTTTGCGGTGTATTTACCTTTTTCGTAGCAAGACTGATTGATAAGTGCTGGTGTATTCTCCACCGCGGTATTTTTTTCGGTCACTTTTCCTGATAGTGGACAGTACAGCTCGCTTGCAGCCTTTACACTTTCTAAAGCCCCGCATTCATCTGAAAGTAAATTTTCGTAGCATATAAATGTTAGATATTATAAGCCATAAAATTAGAGTTCATGTAATCAGAGAACATGTTTATAGTTTACCCATAATCGAAAAGTCTGTTCCAACGTCCGGAAGTTGAGCGTAAACAATGTCGCCGAGGGAGTCTTGAGCGTAATGCGAGATTCCGACGGTCCCCACCTTGCCGTCAATGACCACCCACTCGTGTTTGTCTGTGAACTTTTTCGCTGAAAAATTGCAAACGCTCTTTCAAGTTCGAATTTCGTAATATATTACATTAGAATTATTTAGTTAAGATGTTGTTACCAGCACTGAAGCATGTTGAAGTGGTCGACAGACGAGCAATGTTCAAGCTGGAAACCACACCCTGTCTAAATTGTTGACATTTCAGCAGGGTGGAGAAAACTCTGTTTATGAGTACCATTTTGATTTCGATGGCAAAGTGGATAAAATTATGAGAATGTGACTCGTAGATCGTTTTTTTTTGGTGGATATAATGTCGAGTGATCCAGCACTCCTCCACTTTCCACTGTCTGAGATGGAAAAGAAACCAGATTTTGTCAGTCTTCTTCTTCGGTCCTATCGTCGTCGTGTGACAGAGTTATAAAGTAATGGAGATGATGACTTCATTCCCTTGCTCTATGCTGAAATTGGGAATAACATATGTATAAAATTGCTTGTATTATTTATTCGAGAAAGCCGTAACTCACTTGTTCCTAATTCAATGTACAATAATTCTTCTGGAACCCAAACTGGAAAGATAGAGAGATAGAGTAAATATGTTTTACGATAAAAGTCAATGCTTGTGACCCTGTTGACCCACTGTGTGCAGTATACATTTCTCATGTACAGTTATTCACATGGGTCTGGCCCGTCTAGGAGCAGTCAAACCATTGGTTGGCTGTACTGCGTCATTAATCTTTTAATCAAACTAAACTTTTAGTACTCGCATTATTTCTATAAACTCATATGCATATTGATACAAATCCCAGAATGGGACGATGATTTTAAGGGTACGCTTTTATTACTTCACTTATTAAATGAAACATACATTTCGGCCTTTTGTTGGGCAAAGAATTTAAACGTGTAACAGCAGAAAACAATTATGTAATTGATCTTTTTTGTCATAATTGCTTTGAAAAGGACTAATTTTGTATTAGATTTTGATAATGATCGTATTTTGTATTTACGTATAACTTACCAGTAATTTTCCACATGTGCCGGTTTGTAAAACCTCACTTTTGGTTGAGCAATATTTCCGCTGGTTTTTGGCAAGATTTAGTTGGCACATGGGTATCTTGCATGCATACATACTTTTGTTGTATGTATATCCGTATTTTCTTGAAGTAACCACTCTCTGGCGTTACTCAAATTTTCAATAAATGTAAGCTAATGATTGTAATCACTTGTGTGCATATATGTAGATCCTTCAAAACATTATTTACCATGCGTGACAACGGAACTCCTCCTCACACCTCTTCTGACGGCCTGGGAGATGGGTACGACGAGGACGCCATGATTTATGACGATGACGATGATTTCGACGAAGACGATATGATTGAAATTGTGGACGATGACAATGATGGTGGTAACTTGGCCGATGACGAAGAGGACGAGCAAATGAATTATGGTGCCGGACCAGGGATGGAAGGCTTTACAGGACAACAACCTGATCACATTTTGACATCGCATTTAGGTTATTTAAGAATATTTTTCACGTTTTATTTGTTCCCGTTCTGACCTTTTTCCCATACATTCAATTTATTTGAATATTTGTTTTTACAGAAAATGCTGTGTTTTGTTGTTGTTTTGATGGAGGTAAGTTTTGTATCGTTTTCAACCATAGAGTAGGGCCAGGCGGTATCTCTGTCATTTGGTCATTCCCTATTTGTCATTGTTCAATTTCACATCCCGAGTAAATATTTATTTTTAATATTAATCATTAATATAATTATTCTTTAAAAAATGGAGTTCACATACATTGGTTATGATGTTGACACACAAACGTTAATGGAAAGAGTGAGAGTTCTTCAAGTGGAAACGACCAAATTGTTGGACATTTTAGTTAATAGAGAAATGTTAAGTGAAAGTGCAGAGGAGGTGCAAATTGACGAAAACGGTGCTTGTCCTCGTCCAAATGGAGAAGAGTGTGAAATTTGTGCTTATACTTTTAAGAAACGGATTATCATAAATCGTGCCGACATTACAAAGTCCATTGTTCGTGACAAAGTTTTGACATGTCATAGTTTCGAAGCCGGGATTTATGCGCACGTTGACGTGAAACCAAGTAGTGTAAAGAAGGGGGTGGTTTACTTCGGAAGTGCTGGAAGGGTGAAGGGGAGAGTGAAACACCACATGAGTGTGATATTGGGAAACCATGAATCAAATATGAAGCCAGTGCATAAACACTTCATCAAACTAGCCAACAATGAGGAGGAGGAGAAGGATGATGATGATGTAGTTCAGGATGATGATGATGATTCAAGTAATTTGAAATTGTAAATATTGTTTTCATGATTGTTATCAATTATTGAATATTATGAATCATGCACAGAGGAGGAAGAAGATGACAGTTTGATGGAAGTTTCGGATGACGAGGATGAGGAGAATCTCAGCCAAGAGCAGAAAAATAAATTGAAATATTTCCGAATAGCGTTCATTCAAGAAGTGCATGCTGTTACTCGTACCGATAAAATTGTCCTTATAGGACAGCAAGCTAGACTTTGTGAGTAGTTGTATATATGCCATTATGTGAAAAATGAGATCAATTAATAAATATGCATAAAATTGTATAGATGTCGAAAATGGATACATGAATGGTTTTGCTACTCGAGGACGATTTGGTTTCAATAAATATGAGTCAAAGTCTTCATATGTAAAACCTGATGAACCACCTCCTGCTAAAAAACAACGAAGATCCGATCCATCCTCATCCTCAGTACCTTATAATCGAATACTCGTCCGTCGTTCTGTACTGTACGTACGACTCCTAGTTTTGCATTACAAGTTGTGATTTACAAGTGACATGCCTATGTTTTTTGTTTTAATTTCCAGAGACCGAACCGTTTCTGAATTCTTGTTGGTAGCGCTAGCTATTCGAAATCATACGACAACCCGTGAAAATCCACCTCGTACCATGCACCAAGCTACTAGTCGTGAAATAACATTCTTTTTTGATAATTATTTCAGAAAAGGTGCGGTCAACACCAAAACCGCCATAGGCTATGTTCGTGCCAACGTCGACCTAAATAATAAACTTACCAATTTTCAAAAAACTGAATGGTTCACCGGGATCAAACACGACGATCAAAATACGGACAAGTGGGTGTTTGGCATCAACACAGAACCTTTGGGGGATGATGGGGAAACGATTGACCAAGCAATTGAAATTGATAAGGAAAATGGCAATTTGGCAAAAATGCTCCTCGATCCTACTAATTTAGAAAACCTTTGTTCAGGGACACTACCGCTAACTAAACCCCGATCAAATCGATTCTAGTGTACATATATATAAAATAGTTAATTTAGTGTATTTAATGAATTTATTAATTTTTTTGATGGATTTTTGATTTGATTTGATTTGATTTGATTTGATTTGATTTGATTTGAGATGGGAATAAGCTGATAACTGGAGGTGAAGATGATCTCGCCAATGTTTGGGATAGTACAACTATTGCTACCCAGTCGCCTTCTTTTAAATGTCGAGGCCATAAAGTAAGTCATTCATACCAACGCATATAACAAATTATTCGTTTAATAGAAAAATTTCGACAAGAATATAGTTAATAATTGTACATTTGACTCTCAAGGACTCTGTTGTTAATGTGTCATTTAATTGGGACTCTACATATTTATCATCATGTGACCTCTCGGGAATTATAAAAATCTGGAAAACTACCAACTATGAAAGTGTTGCCACTTTTGAAGCTGGAGAACTTTCAGTAATCTTACTAATTTGAAATATATTATGCATTATGCGTGCATTTTAAGTGTATTAACGCGCAAACTGTTTATTTTAGTGGAGTTTCTGGCACACTGCTATTAATGTTTTGTTTGCTGGTTGTGACGATGGGTCTATTTACATGTGGAAAATACCTAACGGTGATTGCAAGATCTACACTGGAAGCTCTACAAAATGCGAATGCGGAGTTTTACTGCCCGATGGTATTAATCAATATTCAGTCAATCATTAGCTTGTTGAATGGAAATATTTATTCATGAAAGTTTTACGGAAGTATGTATAGTATGCGTATATTTATATTTCAGGCAAGCACCTTCTGGCAGGATATGCTGACGGCACTTTAAAAATTTTCGATTTAAAATCTGGAGAGGTTCAACACAACCTAACAAAATCATTTAAGCGGCCTAATCAGATCTTGTGTGTGGCAACTCATGCAACTCGACAAATTGTTGCGAGCGGCAGTGCGAATGGCACCGTTGCCCTCTTCAATTCACAAAATGGAAAGGTACGTTTTTTACTATCAAGTTCTATCTGGTATGTGTCGATTTGATTAATGATTGGAGTAAAATAGCGTTGAAATTTTGCAGTTGTTTACAACTTTGCAAGTTTGCACACCAACCGAGGAGGATGCTGATTGTAGTGTTGAAGGAGTTGCATTCTGTCCTGATGCGACATTGGATTACTTGGCGTGTGGTTCAGTAACCGGGGACATTCTTATCTGGGATTTATCAACAATGGTAATAACAATAATTATTGGTTTGCGAGAACTTCTAGATTATAAATTTATGAATATGTATGTATTCGATCTTTAGACGGAGCGGATGAGATTGCATCAAGATTCCGGAATTACAAAACTTATGTGGGATCCCAAGTCTCCCTTCTTGTATACGGCTGGACTGGATGGAGTCATCCGTGTTATTGATGCTCGTTCATGCACAATTGAGAAAAACCTTGGGAGACACAAGTCAGAAATTCTAGACATGTTCGTTACAAGGTATGTTGTAGCTAACAATTTGAAACATAATACTGCAGTATTACTAATTAATAAATTCGGGATCATGATTTGTTGCAGTGACGGATCTAAGATTGCATCTACTTCGGAGGATGGCTCTGTGTTTCTGTTTAATTTGATAAAATAATTATTTTGTTGGATACATGTTATCCATCCCAGAATGATTTGAACACTTTGCAATTAAATAAATGGTTTTATTATTCGGATGTACATTTACAATGCCTTCGAAAATTTGTCAACAACACTACCGAAAGGCTATTATATTCCGGAATTGATGCTTAATAATGGTATCAAATTGCAGGAAGTTGTACCTTCTACTGCTGAAGTGTTCATGATCTGCATATTCCAAAATCTACATTTTAAAGTAGTCTACTCTAATCTCTAGGCACAGGAAGCTGTGCAATCTAATCTAATTTCTGAATAAATAAATATTCAGAAAGTCGCTTCATAATACCTCGCCTCGTTCAAAATGTGTCTGAACGATTTTAACTTAATACATTACAAGTTGACATAGTGCGAGGGTAACAAGTATTACATATTTTGTATACCCAACCTGATCCAGCATAATTATGCATTGTGTGTAACTAACTAGACATATTTAAACAGAACATATTCCTATGCTTCAATAACTAAACATCGACACTGTGCAGCTATAGTAAATACTTACTTAGGACCACGGACCAGCCTGTGAATTTATAATAAATGATGCAATCTGGTTCGAATGTTTCCATTTGCACAAATTCACAACCGGTTTCAATTCAATGGTTTATGTTCTTGTATTGAATTAATGAATCATAACCACTCATTAAGTTGGCATAATTACATATTATAATTTGTTAATGCTCTATCATACGCGTTGTATCCTGCTTAATCTGTATATGTAACACTAGCATTGAGGATGATTGTCATTAATAATCGGGTGTCTGACCTTTTCGTCTCGTGTCAACACGAGTCAAACTTCCCAGGAATATGTGTATCTCAGGCGTTGGAGTTGGGATAAAAAAATTGTTTTCATATACGAAAGCAGAGAGAATGGATATGATATATATGTACATGTACATAAGTAAAAATAGAGAGGGGGAGAGAGACTGCATGGGAAACACAATTCTTAAAATAACTAGGGATGCATATCAAAGTCGGTGCAACAAGATCGGATAAAATCTACATGATATTGGGAGGCGTTTATTTTTATTCCGCAAATCTATCGTGTATCGTGATCCAACTTTTAAATCAAAATAACATTTGCATTGTGCAACGGCGTGATTTGTTCCGCGATTCGATGCATTCCTGTTTTCCAAAATCCTTTTCGTTTTCATCCATTATTTAATGTTTTGTGCGAACTTGCTTCACTTGAGTTGCATTTGTGCCAATAGTCTGTCACTCTGGATTTTTTTAATTTTTTAAAGTTCAAGACTTCGGTGGACTCTGATCTGAGCTTTGTTGTTCAATTCTTGGAGATATGTACATACACATTTGCATACACACTTGTGCATGGTGTCGTCGTGATGATGAGGAGACGGCATGTCGACCAACTCTCAATTTCTCCGTGTGAAGTGAACTCGTCTTCTTCTCAACCACTTTCATGCCGTGGACCATTTGTCTCATTTTGTTCTTCAACAAGTGCTCTCAAATACATTATTCATCTCTTCTTGCACCACAACCTCGTGCCTCGTGTCACTCAATATATCTCCTATTTGGATATTCATAGCGGACAAAGTTATTGGAGGAGAAAATTACTTGCAGTTTGGACACGACAATAAACTTTGCTGTGCAGTATAATATTTAGACACATAGATTAAGACTTATTGAGCCAGGAGAAGGAGAAAGCAGGTAACAATTTAATATCTGGATTTTGGTTTCATGACATTAACCATTTGGTCGCATAATATGAAATTGACATGTAGTTTTTGTTGCAATACAATTGAAAGATATAAATACATAGATCAAGTAGAATTTCAATTTGACTCAAGAGAGAGATGAAGATTACTGTGTTAGGGTTTAATAATGTGAATTTAGAAACTATACAGTAATAGCATATGTACATACGTATTTGTTTATACGCATATATGTAATAAGTATGCATTAGTGTGATGTATGTACGTATGTATGACTTCTAAACTGCCTTTACTAACAACATGTCGAGTCGAAAGACGTGAATGTCGAAACAGAGCAGATCACTCTGCAAATTAACCTAATTGGCTTGATAACATCAAAAGTGTCCGTCAATTAATCCAATCATAGTTCGTGTGCATGGAAAAATGAATTTTCTAATCGTTCCATTCATCATCAGAGACAGAGATTAAATTCAATGGAAAGAACAGATCATTTTTGTGTTGCTTTAAAATAAAATTATTATCTGGTCGTATGCATGTATGTACATATGTACATACATATGTCGTCGCTGTCTCGGCATGAAATCGTCAGTGCATTGATTTTAATCCTGTACAGATATTTGCAACTTGCATGCACATCTTGTTTGCAGTTATAAAATTTATGACTCGACCTGTTCTGATCCATGACGCTCATTAAGATCGAAAGTGAGATAGTGCAAATCCATCATTTATGAGTACAAGGAAATGAAGTTCCAATTCAAAAGCGTCTGTTTCTCACAACTTTGGACATTACAATCTGCGGGACAATGTGGACTACTTTAATATGACAGTGATTTAATAAGTGTGTGTACATTCGAATATCTTCCATATTTGACAGATTGGTGTATTCAAACTTAACACCTAGTGAAAGGACACAGTGGAGTTCAATAGTTGCAATTTCAACACTTGCAACTACTTAATTCACGATGAAAGGGAAAAGAAGAGGAAAAGGTGTAATTTCTGAAAATGTCCCAGAGCTTCAAGTTTTAAACAATTTAGATGTCAAGAAAAAGGTAATAAAAATTTAAATGCTCATCAATTATAAACGTATAAACGCATATATGGACGTTACTACTATTTCTACAAGCTGGATTTTAGCAAATATGCACTGTAGAGTGTAGTGTACTTTTTCTATATATATTTCTCACCAGTAGAATTTTTTTTTGTCTTGATGCCCTTCAGCAAATTAAAATTGCGATCAATTATTTTGCTGCTCATCACTGGTCAAGTTTGGATAAGGATTAAGATGGGCAATTTAATTTTCCTTAATAGGACCAATCTGATACTGTGGAATTGAAAAAGGAGTTGGGCCTAATAGATGGTTGCGCTATCATACTCGGTGTGATAATCGGTGCGGGGTGAGTGCATATATCTACATACGCCTTAATTTCGAATACCTAGATAATAGCGGTGTATGCATGTAAATGTTTTTTTTATTCGCGGACTTGAATTTTGATTTTTTGTTTTTGTTTTGAAAAGTATCTTTGTGTCGCCAAAGGGGGTCTTGCTCTATTCCGGTTCTCCTGGTTTGGCGTTGATAGTATGGGTACTATCCGGTTTCTTGTGTTTGGTGGGCGGTAAGCACATACTTTAATGATCTGAACGATAGGAAATAAGTTTCAGAATGAAAATGAGTGTGAAAAATTAAGGTGCAAGTGTTCCGTATGTATTCTATTCTGCCCTTTGTATCATTCATGTAATATTACCCCTCCTCAATTCGAGTTACATCTCTATACGGCCATTAAATTACTACATTACTTATTTACTGTGAACGTTGCTTTCGAAATGGAAGATATTGAATGTTTTATGTTTTGCAGCCCTATGTTACGCGGAACTAGGTAAATCTGTACTAGATATCATGGATATGGATGTTTTTGTAAATCTTGGGTGATGTACAGGGACCATGTTGCCGAAAAGCGGTGGGGAATATGCATACATTTTCGAATCATTTGGAGAGCTACCAGCATTTCTCTTCATGTGGGTGGCTTTAATTGTTATCGTTCCATCAGGAAATGCAATCCTTTCACTCACGTTTTCATATTACTTGCTTCAACCATTTTGGCCGGATTGCCAACCACCCGATTTGGCTGTTAGGCTGATTAGTGCTGCCGTTATTGGTATGCAGTATTAACTCATTAATTGAATGTATCTTAGCAAAAAGTCTTATGATTATTCTCACTTCAGGTTTACTGACAGCCATCAATTGCTACAATGTAAAATGGGGAGGTAAGAAAATGTATTTTAATTAAAAACGTATACTGATTACGCATTCATGAAAGAATCATTTTGTGTGTATAAGATTCTATGCGTTATCATTGTACATCGTTTCCCTCTAAATCACACATTTTGTTGTCAAATCGGAAATTCCACTCCTTACGTTCATTAATTCACTGTACCCTCTGCACTTGCAGTTCATACATAATCCAACTTTTAACTAATTTTTGACAAAACTTTTTAATGGTTTTATTTATTTCATATTCCCTGATGATCACCAATCCAGCAAACTTGCAGACAGTATTTACTGCAACGAAGATTATAGCTTTGATTGTCATAATTATTGCTGGCCTTGTGGTTATGTGCGTCGGAGAAGTAAACAATCTCGCAGACCCGTTTGCAGTAACTCGGAAGGACACCGGGGTTGAGGATCAAAATGGAAGGTATTAACAACATAGCAAATTATATTATGCATTATTATTAGTTTACGTTAACCAACTTTTACCCAACAAATAGACGAAAAAGAAGTTAAAACAGTATACAGTATAAAATTAAAACAACCAGCATATGATATGACCAGTTTATAATATAGATGCTAGTCCGATTAGGAAAAACATGGACTTGTGATTTGTGGCCACCACAGACCACAAATTTCTGTAGCCTCTCCAGTGCCCGCGGACAATGATTTGGAACCTGGGGAGTGGGGACATATTATATAACCCGCTTGCGCCTACATAGTTCGCGACTATTTTCCTTGCCTTTTCATGCAAGGAATGCAAAATAAGTGTTTGAAAAAAAATAATGTTGGGTATGATAAAACAGTAATCTGAAAGTCAAAAAAATGCAAAATTTGCATCAAAAGTTAAGAAAATTTAGAAAGATCGACATCTAGCTAATTGTTAAAAAATGAATTGCATAATTGAATGGCACTATATGTAGATATAAATGTAATCAACTATCTTGAAATTGGATTGGAAAATTAATATTATTGCTATATCATTTTGAAATTATGGTTTGAGTTAGTCGTATAAAGTCGATATATACATATGTATGTACTTCAGATCCAAGAGACCATGGGGTCAAATGCATGCATTACATGTCCCTACGGCAAAATTTCTGTGGGGTCATTTTCCAGGTCCTCACTCTGAAAATCCAAAAATCCACTCTATTTTACAAAATTTCTTATGTTCTCACTAGTCAGTCGAAATTCATATGCTTCAAAGAAGTCATTGCTTAAACGTATCCAAAACAAATATTAGCTGCAGCAGCAAACATTATTTTATAATTTTGATTGTTAAATACCTTATTTTCCTTTAAATTTGCGTTCATTGAAATTTCAGACTTGGTAATATTGCATTAGCGTTTTACTCTGGACTTTTTTCCTTTGCTGGGTGGAACTACTTAAACTTTGTGACAGGTATGATTCAAACAGAGAAAAATATTACCCTCAAATTTAAAAACATTACCCACAAAGAGGTTTTTATCATGAGATGTTCCCGTATATTTGCATGCAATATTTTTTCTTGACAATTTCCTATTAAATAATTTCACCATAAACGATTGAACGGGAAAATAAAAATAAAAATTTTTGTCAAAAGAAATATTTTTTATGACAGTAAAAAAATTGTGGTTATTTAATGTTAATATTTTTGGCCCCAGAGGAGCTGAAGGATCCATTCAGGTCAGACATAATTCAACTCTTACGAGCTCCTGTAAATACTAATATCCTCACATCAGTATTTATATTATTTGTCCACGCTTACAGAAATCTTCCACGAGCCATTTGGATAAGGTAATTAAACGTATACTGATTACGCATGCATGAAGGAATGATTCTACGCGTTATCACATTATACAACGTTTCCTTTAGTTTACCTTTAGTTACGTTGGTTTACACTCTGGCGAACGTTGCTTACTTTGTGGTAAAAACATAAATTTCAAAAGTGCAAAAAATTTCACCCTGCATATTTAAATATGTATGTCAAAGTCTAAATTTATACCACACAGGTATTGACAACCCAAGAAATCCTTGATTCAAATGCGGTGGCTGTGGTAATTTAATACCTTGAATTTTGCTTCATATTTCATTTTCTTAGAGCTATTTACTAATGCTTTTTCTAATTGATTCACCCTTTATTATGGGTAACATTGTTTATTAATCTATTTTAGAGCTTTGGAGGTAAGAATTTTAAACATAACTCATAACTCAAACATCAGGTAAGAAGTAAATTTATTTGTAAACTCATATATAATTTCAGACATCAATAATCTCAAACAATATTATGCATTGCAAATTCAATTAGTCGTAGTAGAATTTAATACTAAATCGAACTTCAACACATCAAGAAATAAATTTAACGAATACATTGGAAAGAAATGTACAATTAAAATAGTATACAACCACAACCACCCTAATCTTTAATAATTTTGCTCTCTCGGGCGTCTTCACAATTTCATCCAGGCCTTATTATCAAGAAGGCGTCCTGCCATGGTTGTGACGCGTCTTTATGTATGAAGGATTGTTCTCGATATTGTAACGAATAACAAATATTCATGCTGTGATCATTTCGTTCAATACAATAAATAAATAAATAGTCGTTTGCTTGTTTTTAAAAATATGTACTAATATTTTTCTTCCTTTTTTTGAGATCGAATACTTGGACCGATGGCTTGGATTATTCCGGTGTTTGTTGCGTGTTCCACTTTTGGGTATCTAAAGAGTACTAAATTTACCCTTTTATTGATGATGTTTAAATTTGATTTGTTTTTTAGATCATTAAATGGATCAATCTTTGCAGGTAAGTAGAATTTAATTGCATTTTATTTCCAGTATTAAAAAGGTAGATGCAAACCAAAAGCGATAACTTTGGAAGGGGCAATCGAGAACGTTCCACTCCAATAATAATTGGGGACCAATGCTGTGTTTCTTGGTAGTATATAAAGGGCGATGAGGTTAAGGGGAGCGGGGCAGGATACGTTAATTAGGCTTTAGGCATAATAATTAAGTCTGAAAAAAAGTTTTAAAATAGCGTCATCTTGAATCTTTCAGCTTCCAGATTGGTATTCGTGGGAGCGAGAGAAGGACATCTTCCCAAAGCTTTAGCCTTAATTAACATTGAAACTTTCACCCCAATTCCTGCTTTAGTGTTTCTGGTGAGAAGTACAAAACCTTATAAATATATACGAGTGAAAGTAAATTTGAGATTTTGGTAATTTTTATTTCAGGGCTTTTTGTCTATAGCAATGTTAATGATTAAGGATGTTTATATTTTGATAAATTACGTGTCTTTCGTTGAAGGTACGTAATACACAATTTGAGATTGGTTATTGAAACGACGCACGAAACTGTGTTTAATTTTTTATACCAGCACTGGCAATGGGGGTCACTGTCTGTGGCCTTTTGTGGCTCCGGTACAAGAATCCTACTGCTCATAGACCAATTCGAGTAAGTAATATTTTCATTATTTTTGTTAAAAATAAAATGTTTCTACACTTAATTGTCATTTTTTTAAAATAGATGCCGATATATTTGCCAATTATTTTCTTGATCATTTGCATATTTTTGATCTTTGTTCCAATTTGCACAAGTCCAGCTTCTGAAATTGGTATGACCTCATATTTTTATTGGTTTGATGAACTCCAAGCGCAATAAAAAAATTATCGTCTTTATAAATTTACAGGTGTTGCAGTCATCATTGTCCTCTCAGGAATTCCCGTATTCCTTGTTTTTGTATACTGGAAAAATAAGCCCAAGTTCTTACAACAGTTTGCAGGTGACAGATATTGATATTTTATATGGAGTTTTATTTCTTGATTATTTTTTAAATGTAACTTTGCATTTCAGTCCATTTGGATAAAACAAGTGCCTTGTTATTCAAAGGAGTACAAGAGGAATCTTCCAAATCGTAATCTAAACTATTGTCTAAAACTGGAATTATGTTTTTTTATAATCTTGTACATGGTAATAAAAAATATTGATGATAATGTTTTTATTCTGTAATGAACAACGTCAATGAAATTGATATATCTATGTAGCATATGGCATTGAGGATTCATGCGTAACTAATACACACGTCTCCAATTTCAACTCATTTAATATGATCTTGCTTGTGGTTTATGCATTTAAATAGAATTACGTCATTGCCAGTTCAGTGAATGGGCGTCAGTGTAAACTCCATTTCCATTTAGTAAATTTTTTGCACTTCCGAAAAATTATTGAGTATTAAAAATGAGACAAATTGTACTGTTGATATTGTCATCATGCTGTCTTTCTGTTACTGAAGGAGCTGACGTGACAGGTAACCAATTATTATCCTCACTCTTTCTTTCTTGTCTCTTCCGTCATACAGTTTTCATTTGGCATCATAAAAGTAGGTGGTATGAATATGTCAATTTATGTTCATACGCAACATGCGTGTTTTACTTGCAGACATTTCTAGACTTCGACAAGACCTTTTGAGAAACTATGATAAGAATGCAAGGCCTGTTCAAAGCCACCAAAATACTACCGTTGTGAAGATTTACTTTTTCAATTATGGATTTGAATTTGTAATAAAATATCACTCAACATTAAATGGAAAATTTAAACAGTTTAATAAATTTAAATTTTGGTGAGTATATTACAGGATGAAAACACAAGACTGCTCACACTTCATTGTTTGGTCGCATTGGTATATTGCTATAAATATGTTTCTTAAGTTCGACAAAGATGGAACTGAAATAAATGTTTTGATAACCCAGATATGGAAAGATGAGCTTATTCATTGGGATCCATTATTGTACGGCAATTTATCAGCAATTCAATTTTATCCCACTGAGGTATGGCGACCTGACATCTTGGTCTACAACAGGTAAGATGCCTTATATATGTAGTACTTTATTGATATAGCGGAGTAGAAATTTATGAACCTCATTATTTTTTTACATGCATGTCAGTTATGAGAAAAGCGAGCTGGATCATTTTGGCAATACTTTAATCCATGCTCAATCATTAAACGCTAGTAATTCCATCCTATTGTGGGTTCCACCAGCAAGTCTGGTTGTCGAATGTGACAACGTGGATTTTTACCGATGGCCGTATGACAAACAAAGGTGTTCCATAAACCTAACGGCGTGGGCTCACGATGGGAGCGAAATTAGTCTTCAAGTGCAAGAAAATCATACGAAGGCAAGAGAGTGCAGATAATTGTTGTAAAGCTATCTTTGCATTTCCATAATTTAAAACCCTGATAGATGGATGACGAGCCTTTCTCGGCCAAAAAACCCTTGCAAAATCGAGAGTGGGATCTAGTTGATAATTCTGTCGAACAAAAATCGTGGACTGAGATGGATATACTCTTCACAGAAATTCAAATTAGGATGGACATTCAGCGTCGCTCTTCAACTCATGTTGCAGGAATCGTGGTTGTAGCTATCGGTTCGTTGGATGCAGTACTTTTCAATTACCCATAGTAAAAGTATGTAAGAAATCCTTCCATCTTTATGCATGTACTTAGGTATCACGGTTGCAATTTTAACTAGTTTCTGGTTGAATCCATTTGCAAAAGAACGAATCCCCGTCATCTTGGTGGCTTTTCTGCTCAACAATATTTATTTGAACTATATTTACTCCATTATTCCTGACAATGGCGAACGAGTTCCATTTCTAGGTGGGTACACACATAAATTAACATTCGAACTTTGTTCCTGAAATTAACTAACTTTCATCAGTTTGCTACTTTCGCGACTCCCTTGTAATGGTTCTTCTTGCCCTTGCATGGACAATTGGTCTCCGACACATGGCCAAGGCGCACATGGCCATACAACTTCCTGCGTGGATTAACGGACTTCTGGACGGAATTGTGGGAACTATCTTGTGTTTACGCCCACATCCAAGTCCAAATCCTAGTGAAAACTCGAGAGAAATTATAAATATGGAGAGAACTGAAGACGATCATGAAGAATTGGTAGAGGAAGAAATTTTATACAGAGGAGATTGTGGTTGGTTTGCAAATGTATTGGATAGAATAATGTTTCTCATTTATTTCACCGTGTACTCCTTTCTCGTTCTGACGTTATGAAAAATATTTCTACAAACATTGCACATATTTAAATATTTACATATATGATCCGATTACAGTTTCGAATGATATATTGCTGAATGCACTTATAATGTACAACCCTCTTGTTTTCCAAATCTTTTAAAAAGTTCTACTTTAATCTTTAGATTAATAAGTCTGTCTTGTCTCACTACTGTTTTTGTTATCTCATGCATAGACTTTTTCACTCCAGGTCGGTGAATGAGGAAGGCATTGTCCAGAATTAGGAACTTATAATCCAAGGCACACAAAATGTATCCCTGTGCATATTTGTAAGAAATAAATATAAATATAGTACAAATTTAGAATTGGAGACAATTAAAAGGGTATAATGAATACCTGAGTCATTTTGTCTCGCAATCCCTCATATGACAATCTGATGTATTAATATCATATTAATTCATTTATACTTATTGACCACCACCATATTATATTATACCTCGTGTCATACTGAGGATCGTACTTGGTGCCGATATAAATCGGCTCCCAAAACTGAAAGGGTGGCTTTCTCTTGGCTGTATGAAAAACTTGAAGCTTTTCAGGATGCAGTGGCATTTGATTCCACTCGATAAATTTGGGAATTAAATGACATTCCTTACAAATTTTATAGTGGAAAGGAATAGCTTCTCCAATTTGAAGTAGATGCACAAGCTCTGATTTGGTCTGCGGTGGCATCACTCCTTTTTCGATTTCGAATATGGGCAGGACAAACACTTGTCGTGCGGGCATGATCACAGGCTTCTCATTATTCTTGTTCTCTTCGTAATGCATTTCGAAAAATGTTCGGATTAGATTTATGCTGGGATAGAGTTCGATGTCACTTGGGAGCACGAAATGTGTAAGTGCTGCTGCTCTCGCAATATTTCTTGCGACATTTACAGGATACAATAATCCGTGTTTCATTCTGAAAGTATTTTCATTGCGTAGTTTAACAGGGTCTGGTTTTATCGAACAATTTTCCCAACGTTCTAGGAAAAAAAGTTTTAAAAAATATGTAGAACTTGTGTATCTCTCTATGCATATAAGTGAATGTTTGTGTTTTCATACCTTTTTGATACATTGAATCCAGCCACTGGAACTGCTCACCATAAACAGGGCTTTCTGAGTACAACACGTCGAAAAATAAGTGAAACGTTACAAATTGCTTAATCTTTTGAAAATTACAATCTCGGAGAAAGCTGATTATTTTTAATGTACGCTTCAAATCGTCTCCTGGCGAGTAAATAGCGATAGATACCGGTCCAGCCCAGCGGTCAACTAATGGAATCAAATTGTCTAAATATCTATAATCCCCATGAGTTGTATAAGTTATTGATTGATGACACTCTAACTCCATGCTGAGAGTTGAGATAACAAAATTCTCATACACTACAAGGTTCTTATTCCGCTTCTGAGCTCGTCTCAAGCTTTTCGTTTCACAGGAGAATGAAAACATTTCGTTTTTGAAAATATTTTGGTTTTTATTTATTTCAGAGTTAACTGATTCAAAACCTACAAATTGGTCACGAAAAGGTTCGTATTCATTAATAATTTTGTCCATTTCTTTGTACGACGATTCATTCACTCGATCATCTTCGTAATGCGTAATGGTACTGATGATGCCAATTTCGCTGTTGGTGGTGATGGTGGGAGTAGTCAGTTCTGTCACGAAATCATATCGACGGGGGTGGCTTATTAAAATCGTCTTATCCTGATTTTTATTTTCAGGCAAGAAGCGTTTATTGGTGAATTCATGATTGGATGCGACATAATTCAATGCCAAGAAGAGTCCACCAATGATTCCAAGAATAATTATGACTCTTCTTCTGCTACTCACCTTCAAAAGTCGAAAACATCGATCGATAGTATGCATTTTATTTATACCACACGTTTGCCTTCCTTAAAACTATCGATCGTTCATTCACATAATTGCACTTCTTTTCACGTTACAAACACAAAATTCTAACTGAAAAATTTGAAAAGATTTATATGAATTTGAGTATTCCAATAATCATTGCAGTATTTTGCAGAGAGTTTCAGAATTATGAGTCGGTGTCAATCACAATCTGAAAGGCTGTCGTGACAGACTGATTGCCGAATCTTGTAACTGCAATGTATATCTAGCTATGTATGATTTGTGAGGGAAAGCACGTCCTGACTTGACGCTAACGTAACAGAAACTAAACTGACCGACACACACACACACGAAACACATAAAATAAATACCGGATGCGTTTATACCCAACTCTCACAACAAGATTTCACGAATTTTTCAAGCAATCGCTATTTTTGCACTGGTGTTCTCACAGGGAGAAATGCCCGAATGAAATGCCTGCATTTTCCATTCTGGGTGAAAGCTTTTATATTTACTTTCATCGCCAACACGAAATATACAAATCGAGAGACCATTACCGACATAGGTAACCGGTGGAGTGACTCTAATACGAATGCAGGGCCATATCGTACATAGGTGATAGCTACATAAATGCCGATCCAATCCAATCCATAATGTATTCACTGTACTGCCAACTGCTACGACATAAACTAAATTCGTTCATGTTGTGAGCCTCATATTTCAGCAATCACATTCAAGCAAAAACTTTCACCATCATCGTCAGCATATAGTTAGTTAGTTGTGTGTGTATGTTGAGCAAATCGGCCTGTCTCTCAATTCCTGCCCTTTCACCAAGACTATGACGCTCGAACGCACACAAACAACATTCCTTGCACTTCCGGCTAACTCACCTTCCTTCGTTTTTACCAATTCTCTATACTGCATTATGTAGTCTACCAAATATTTCATTCATAAAAAATAGCAATGTTTCAAGCTCCATTGCATCTCACCTTGTTTGTGGGGACAGGTTTATGTAAATGGATGATTGACTGCATACACAATTGCTTGTTCTCCGAAATGTTTTTTTATGCAATTTCGAAAAATATTGGACAGTTTAACAATTCCAATGTGAAATTGGGTTTGGGGAGAAGGTTGAGAATTTCCTGTCTCAAACTGCCTCCCGTTGAGGGAAGTGAGCATTCGAACTCACTCTCTAATCAGTCTTGTCAACAGCAGACTTTTGCAGTCATTTAGTCGACTTTCTCCTCACCCTGTTCCTCGGAGAAAATTAAAAATATTTATAGAAACGTCTATTCGACAACTATCCCCCACCCACCACAAAATCCAACAAGTCGGAATTTACTTGTGATGAAGTGCACAGATAATTTCTCATCGCAATGTTATAATTAATTGATAGTAGTCGCGAAAGAACGACATATTCAATATGATGATTTAAAATCATCTGGAGGCCGAATAATTTAATAGTTTTGTAAAGGAAAAGCAGTGAAAATGATGTCCCAGTCGATGTCATGGGTATCAATGGACCTCTCGCCTGAGGTGGAGACCGTGATAAGCAAATCTTTGGCCTGGGTTAAAACACCTCAGAAAATCAAAGAGGTGCGTACGTGCGAAGAAAATGAACATTGAAACTAGTGTATTGGCAAAATTGAGTTAGAAATGTGCTAAATTATTTTTTCATTTACAGGTGTTCGGAAATTCTCAAAAAGGATATGAGAAAGGTTTGCAGATTTCGCTTGTTCAAAATTATTCTTGTTAGTCTAGTCTCTTATTGTCTAGTCTCTTATTATTGTTGTTGAATGTATGTCTTAAATCGATTTCAAACTTTTTCTATTATTACATTACAGCTGTGCACGCTTATAGTATCAGGAACCAATTAAGACATTCTGAAAATCTTGGTAATCTTTTGGTTAGCTTAAAAGTCTGTTAATTATCTAACATTTCTGAATGTGTATGTATTTTTTTCAGTGAAACAAATAAATAAGAACGAGGCCAAATATTATGAAGACATTGTATCTTACAGCAAAGAGAAGCTCATGTTGTATCCGTATCATTTATCGGACAAGGTCGTCAGGGGCCTGCGGATCACGCCATTCGAATACTACTCAAGTATTCTAGGTAATAAAAAATATTTAATCTACCTAAATTTTTACAATCTGTTACTTCATTACTTATTTGCAGAGAAAACTATGGAACACGAAAAAAGCTACGATTCTTTGCCAAATTTTACAGCAGCCGATTGTAATTAATATTTTTATATATCTCCAGCCAAAGTACATTATGTACATATGAAATATTTGATATAAAATGTTTTATATGCAGGCTTAAGGCTACTAGGAATCGGAAGAAATCAATATATCGAACTAATGAATCAACATCGATCCAGCAGAAAATTGTTTCGAAAGAAGCCTGTCAAGGAACTTTTACCCACAAAACCTATCGATATCAATATCGAGCCCTGGTTTTTGGTGCAGCCTGGCTGCATCCTCGAAGATGACATTGCATTGATAAAACCAAATGAACGAGTGCTAATAGACAATATTGTTGACCATGGACGTCAGATAGCTGGGACGCTTGAATATGACTGCGTCCACAGTTTGTATAGAAAAGGATTAGTTTATGTTGATGTTCCGATTGACAATGATGACTATATCGTAGTACCGCCATTAGAAGGCTTCGTGATGAATAGAGTGAGTGATAGATGACCGCTTTACCAAAATTGGCTCTAACCTTTTAAATTACTATATTTTCTATATAGGTGCTTGGGGATTACTTTGAAACTCTTCTATACAAAATATTTGTTTCAATTGACGAACACACTACAGTGAAAGAGCTGGCAACGGTTTTGGACATGGATGTCCAAAACATTAAAAATGCCGTATCATTGTAAATAACACTTAGTTTATCCTTACTACTACTATGTACTAATGATTTTGGTGTTTTTGAAAAATATTTTTAATCACAGATTTTGTCGACTAGGATTTGCGTACAAGAAACAAACTGGTGTTGACCTCAATTCGTTGGATCCGTCTTGGAAAACTCATGTGTCTCAAATCAAAAGGTAAGTTTCATTTCCAAGTTACTCCCCGATATGTTATTATATGACATGATAACTTATCTTTGTTTAAATAAATGCAATAGCCGAACATACACAGCACCTGAAGAATCCCTCCTCGTTGAGCTTGAATCCGCTGTTGCTGAAGATGACAGCTTTCCATCAGATGCAACAACAAATAAGTCCAAGTCATCCGCATCTATTGAAAGAAGCAAATCCAGCATGTCCATTTCGAGTGATAATTCCTTCTTTGCACCCTCAAGCACTGTGGGCACTTCTAAGCGCATTGCCTTTTTATATGACTCAACACTTACGGCGTTTCTGATGATGGGGAATTTAAGCCAAGGATTAAAATCACATGCAATAACAATGTTTGAAGTTGGAAAGATGGCAGACGAGTCCCTAGACAGTTTTTTGACCGAGCTTGACAACGTAGAAATTGTCGAAGGAGAAGGAGAAGCCCAACGCTATTTCGAACATGCCCGAACACTTAAAGACACGATTTTATTTTTGAGAAATAATCCTTCCATGGGATCGATGGCCGTAAGTGTCTAAAGAAATCATTGTACTTGATGATGCTATTGTATTAACTGATAATAACGGCAAGACTGACTGGAATGTGGAATCTTAGGTCGATCTCCTAAGATGTGAGAGTCTGCTGAACTTGGATAGAAATACATGCAGTCGTCTGTTAAAGAAAAATTACGAGTACAGTTTTTGCCCATTATATTTCATTACTATGTGATAGGTCTTTGGGTATTTAACCTTTTTAATTAATTAATTCCTAGATTATTGGTTTCAATGGCGCCTTTGAGTAATGAGGTCGAGCTGCGAAGCTGTGAAGAACTTCCTCACTTCGGTCCTGTAATTCCACAGATAAATTCAATTTGGTTTAAATTATTTTTGTATTCAGTTGCAAATAGTGGGCCCACATCGGTGCTGTTATCTCGAGGTTTGACCTAAGCATTATACACGAATTTATAGCAAAATGTTTGAATGAAATGCAAATTTTTATCCCCCAGGAACACTTCTCTCGGAACTTCCGCTAGAACTTCGTGAATGTGATAAGATTTTGGTAACTTCGTGGGGTCATGACGGAGGGGTCATACCAAGTGCGAATGCACTGTTTACTTTAAATGATATGTTAAATCATTCTGCCTTATTTGTACAAGTAAGCATATCATATTTAAATATTCTTAGTCCAACCCTTATGAATTACATTCCTACTGAACTGCACAAGTAAATACATTGTTTTTTAGGCTTATGGAATTAATGGGGAATCGTCTATTATCGTTGTCCCATTTCCTTTTTCAAACAAGAGCAAGAATGATGACAAGAAAAGTAATATTTACACAAAATGGGCAAAACATCCTGCCATTATCAAGTTGAGTCGAGTTATTGATTTGGAACGAAATTGTGGATATATTACCATGATAAATATTTGTGGGTCGAAATTCTCGATGGCACACACAAACCAAGTTACACATGATAATAGAAACAAAGATTTGGTTGTTCAACCAAAACTTGAAGATGTATTAGAAGAGCCCTTAGGAAACGACGAAGATGACAACTTGAGTGAAGAAGATTATCATTTGGTCCGAAGCTCGAATTCTATTCCACCCAAAAATGGTTTCACTGACGAAATTTGCGAAAAAATTTATCAGGAAGAAATTGAGAATGAACTATTTAATGATTGTCCACAAAATGACACTACCACTTGCACATCATCTGAACCACAAGGGTTTGATGCTCGTCAGCAGAAGCTAGAATCACTTCGGTTAGACTTGAAATTTGGAGATTTATCCGTATTGGACAAAACAACAGAATTAGATCATCAGAATCTAGAAAAGAACCAAAGAACCAGCCAAGAAACAAATTTGCGCTTTGATGATTGGACAATACTAGATTGTTACTTTGGCATTCCTTTATTTGACGCTGGGGTGAATCAAATTATCTGTGACCGCATGTTGAGCAATGGATTATGGGACTCTTCCAGGTTAATATAAGCTGTATTTATTATAATTGTGATTGAAAAATTGTTTTTAAATATATTTATTCCTTGAATAAAATAGCTTGGAACAACTGGTGAAATCAAATTCAGAGTTGGCAGTCAAGTTAAAGGAGTTCATCAATACATATCAGGTATGTATGCGGAAAAGCGTTTTATTTTATTTTTATTTCTCACAGTCATTTTATCCAGTACAATAATTGCATCGTATTAATTAATTAATATAAGCGAGACTAACCCTTGACAGAATTGTTTACTGGTACACAATATGCATAGTTAATATGCATCTAATCCAACAAGTATACTATTGAACCTAAAATTAGCTGGCTGTGTGTAACGACGATGATCCATAGATTTTTTTCTGTTCAGTCATTTAAGTGATTTTGCAAGGCAGTCCAATCAGTATAGCATAATATGCAATGATAGTGATCACAGAGAGATGAGGCAGGCAAACTAAATTACATTTTACATTTGCAGGCACCTAGTACATGGAGCGAAGATGTGCCATTACCATCTAAAAATTTCTATTGCCACAAGGGTCGTCTTGTGGAGTTTTCTCCCTGAAATCAACAAGGAAATTATTAACGTTATGAACATTTATTCCGTATTTTATTCTTCTGTGACCATCATCTGTTAATTGACATTCCTAATTATAGTTGATCTTTATGAATTAGCATGCCATTTAAGTATCTGTACAAATACATATTTAGAAATTTATTCTCTTAAGTTTTCTGACTACGGGTCAAATATTTATAAACTACCGTCGCCTATATTGATTTTAGTGATAATTGGTACCTGCTAAGAAAATGACGCATTCAAATACCTACATATGTATGCATTTGCTTACATAAGTAAATACTACGCGTAGCTACAGTTTAAATATGGTATACTGGTGATTAATTAATTAAGATATTTTATGAAACTGCAATACATGGTTATACTTGACTTATGTAAACTTGCTAAATAAATAAGTTAAACTTACATAATAAGTTAATCAAAACAAATTCCTAGTTCGGAATAAAAAAGAACTTTCCATCGTAGGCCAAAAGTGAACCTTCTTTGGTAGGCAACAGTTCGTTACCACCGTAAAAGAAAGTAGAAATTCACAGAAAAAGGCCACAGACAAATATCAGTAAAAGTCCCTATAATGTTACTAATTGCCCTAGTAGCTCAGAGGTCAGAGCACTTGACATGAATTCAAGGGAGCCGTGGTTCGATTCCCGGCTGGGTAACAATTTTTGGCATTATTCGGGATTTACGTATTTGATTTCTAAATTAAACTTACATATTATTCGTCGTCTCCGTTTTCAACATTTTCTGCAGTTTCAACAACGACCACTTCTTCGGCAGCATTCTCCTCCTCGGTGCCCTTTAAAATCCGTTGAAGGATTAAACCATAGTCCCCACTCGTGTCTTCGGCAATGTCATCAACCAGAGAGGTCGCATACTTCTCTTGGTAGCAGACAAGAATGTCCAGTAAATCTACTTCGGATCTGGTAACAATAAGTTGAATAAGAGTCTCGTCATCGGTTCCGGCCCCTTTGAGTGCGGTGTGCACTCGTTCAGCATGAAAACCGGCCACGCTTCGGAATATTTTAACTATACAATCATTTTTGCATTTTTAAACCCAGTATTTCATAAGATTCAGTCATTAAATAAAACTGTACAGTAAGCATTATATTTATAAGTACCTAGTGCAAGGTATGCATCTCGCATGCTTCCAGAAAATTCTGACTCAATTGTTTCCTCTATTTCTTTCCCTTCTGAAATTTCCTTGTATGCATCAAAAACTGATCGCATGTGCGGATAGCTCCGCGTGTTGAAGACGCATTGATATGCTTCTTCTGACGTTCCTGCCCCTTGACTAGCCTCCAGCAGCGTCTGAATGGTTTCATAATAAACTATGTGAATCAATGCGCCACTTTTTGCGGTTATAAATTAATTATTAATAACCACCTTGGCATCTTCTTGAACCTTTTCGTCGTCGACGTCGTCGCTTTCGTCACGCCCTCCATTGATAAGTCCAACCATCAGGGCGCGTATGTTGCCACTCAGATCTTCTGCGACATCCTCTTCCATCTCTTTCCCGTACTCTTTGGTACAAATTATACAACATGCAACATTTATTTCATGATTAATGAGTATTTAGGTTGTAATGTTGTAACATTGCGAGCGACCGTACTTTCTTTATACGCCACCTTCAACGCTTCTAACTCTTCATTCGTTCGAACGCAGAGAAGCCCAATGAGAGAATGCTCGTCTGTTCCTAGCCCCTAAAAATTTCATGTGTAATTTCCAATTGGGTAATTAATTTAATTAGTTGAGATTCATTGCACATCCTAATTGAACATTTGAGGTGGAGGCTGATAAATGAGAGTTTCCATCCAATGACTTCTATAATGGTAACAAATGTTAACCATAACGAATGTCCTACATTTATCTGTGGAATTAACGGAACGCCCCACCCAACTACTGCCTACTTCTTATCACGCTATCGTGCTACGTTCCAATTCAGACGATTGGATCCGAATGGTTTGGACGACACGGTTTGGTAACATTTACAAAAAAAATCTCCTTCACAAGTGCCACTTTCTATGTTCTAACTGCATAAATATGCGTGTCCGTTAAGTTGGTAAATACAGCTTGGAATGTCATATTACGGAATATTTCTATAAAATATCCATCTGTAATTTGTTGCGATTTGTGAACACGATGATTACATAAAAACATACCGCAATGGAGCTCTTGACGCATTCAATGATGTACTCCTCTGGAGGTTTCATCAGAGCAGAAACGATTTTTGAGAATGATCCGCCCAGCTCACTTTCCAAATCTTCACATAAATCCTGAAATTAGCAATGATTTATGTATTTTTATATAGCTCTAAATACATGATAGACCGCATTGGTTTAAAGTAGTCTTTTCTCCTGCATTTTGGTGTAGACCTGAAGAAATCAGCAGACGCCATAAAATTTATCCTGCAATATCTACACCTGAGAGACTCCTAAATCCTTATGGTGTTCATTCTTTTGCCATACATGCATTCAGTCTGTACAGTAAAAGCTGTTCGTTCAGTTTTCCCATTTTGCATCGATTTTTTAGGTACTGGATGCAGTCTGTCGGGAGATCTTGGCTGGCTCCAGATGACCCTGACCAGGCGTTCCATGCCACATAAACTGTGAACTTTCTCATCAAGGTTGAACCAATTCCAGAATCCCGTTACCCAGTGTAGGATACACGTATATATGATTTCAAGTTTGTTAGATTCGGATTGGGAAAGAATTTCAAACTTTAAATACTCAATTTGCATTCCACAACACCTGTCCTAATACCTGTGTTAATATGGAAAATGAAACGTAGAAAGTAATTCCATATTGGAAAACATATTTCATATGGCTTATTGCATTATGATTTATGCGTACTACCAGTTCCACGTATGTATTGTACTTATATTTATCTATAGTACCTATGTAGTATGTAAATAGGTATGTAAGTATGTACATACCTGGCATTTACTTAAACACTTTGTGACCTAACTTTGTGTAATCAATACTGAATTATATTAAAACCGATACATATTTTCAGTGTGGATAAGTTTGGACAAGTTCTTTGGACGACTGTTAAATATTTCTTGATGAGTACATATGTATGCCTCAGGTCTCTGGAGAACATTGATGTTTTTGGATAGCTGGCTGGGAGCCCATAACTCTACTCTCGATTGACAATAACAAGGCTCTTCACAAACAAACAACTAACAAACCTATGCCGTGAAATTCATGACGACCACGACGACGACGAAACGACTGTGGTAAGCTTAACAGAACCCATGAAATCCTAAAACGGAATTTCCAGGATCAATAATTGAATGAATCATCCTCACTCACAATGAACCTTTTTCTTTGTCGCGTATTTAATCTGCGACATCATACGTGCACTAAATAACTGACAAGTCGTCGTAGGTTCATTCAAGCACAAAAGTTTAACATAGCCCAGCCAGAAATAGTGTGTGGCCCAAGTGGTAATATGACATTCATCGTTTCCTTCGTTAGCACAAAAAGGCATTTGTTCCAGAGGAAGATTGTCGGTGAGACAGTGTAGTAAGCGTCTCGGCCTTTCTATAATGGCGATCAATAAAATACTACCGTAACTGCTGAGGATGAATCATCAATACTCGTCTCTCCGTGCTAAGTATGCCCAGTAACAAAGTCTATCTACCATATATCGCATGCATTATAATGAACTAAATGCAAACAATTTACTCTACACGCGATTTATGGAACCAAACTGTAAAATAGCGATTCAAATGACTATGAATGAATTTGTGTATGTGCGATCCTTCAGACACGAGTAAAATAATATGGAGACTTGGGTGACACATACCTTCCCATACATGGTTTTGTATTTGTCCTTGATTTCCTGTCGTTGTTCGTTCGTGTGAGATCCAATAACTTCAACAATTACATTTTCCTCCGTCCCCAATCCCTTCATTCCATCGTAGAGTTTCTTGCATGCGGCTTCGCAGTCGAAATCAGTGGGACCCGTGACACTCCCCTATCAAGTATCATCAAATAATGCACATGTCAGATGTTTTAATACTTAATTAAAATTTCATAAATTACGAAACTTACACGTGATCCTGTCGAGTAGAAACTCATTTTCAAGAACTTACACCAACGTTTAATTTCGTATGGACTTTAAGTCAGATTATGTACTGGTCAGACAATTGGTGAAAGTATGTCAGTGTTCAGGTTGAGTCGGTATTGAGAACTGAGCTAAATTTTCTTTCTTCTTCAACAGACAGACCCAAATTCTGGGATAGACACCTCGCGACGATGGAAAATGTTAGCATGGAGCGGTGCCCGACTATGAAATGATCAATGTAAAACACACAAGCATGCCAGTAGTCACAGCTAGCCGGTGAAAGTCACTGGTTGGCTTTCTCTCCCGACCCTCATCCAACACCACGGAGGAACCTTATGCATGAAAGGAATCCACTCACACTGCCATAAAGCGTGCCGTATCCTTGGCTTCGTTCCACTTGGGAAAACCCAATTGTTTGCCATTCCAAATGGCAATTGCGCATTGAGAAATAAATTCGATAAATTCAATAATAGCTGAGAAAATTTCCAAATATACATTTGCATATTTATTTCATATCTATAAGGCTTATGAAATACGTTTATGCAGAACTCAAATTACATATTTTCAGTTTTTCCAAATTTTACATTATTTAACTACTTTACAAGAACTGATGAAATAATTATATTCGACATGCATTGAAAAATATGAAGGTTGCATACTTTATGATTTATTTACAAAAATACATGGTTAGATTATAAGAGAAATGTTTTATAAGAGAAAGCACATTATTAATTTAATTTTTTTGTCAGTAAAAATTAATTTAATCGTTTTATGGACAATTTTAGAACAAAACTCAAAATACAACTTAATTTAATTGGACACTTGACATCGGACTTGTCAAACTAATAATGCCATCCTCTGCATTTGAGCAAAAGCATTTGAGGTAAAAGTAAGAAAACTTTCTCCAAGAGAGAGCAGCAGCGAGGTCAAATGTAAAAATCGCAGAAAGTTGCATGGAGAAAGCACCAAGAGCTAAACTACACTGCTCGTTGTATTGTAGATTATAGCCGGTGCGTCTCAAATTTTTGTAAGAATATTCTGGATTGCATATTACATGTGTATGTAATTATAAGACAGATCTCAATGATCATGAATATAGTCCTTCAAATAAATACATATTTATGGTAATTGCATCTCTACTAACCAGCTGGTTATCGATGATCATGAGGTTCATGTTATCTAACTATATCATTAACTCTGCTTATGAGGAGTGCATTCTTATCGCTGTTTTTCCACATGTCTACATACACAATTTAACATCTTGTGTCTATCTCTGTACGATCGTCAAGTGAATGTTTGAGAAAGTTGTACTCACGTATAAACTGTAAAGCAGATAATATAAAAGCACTGAACATAAGAATATAAAATGGTGAAAATTGTAATCGTTGGTTGTGGAATCAACGGTTTAAGCTCAGCAATTCGAATCCAAGATGAATTTCCAGCAGCTGAGATAACAATAATATCTGATAAGTTTACTCCTGAGACAACCAGTGGTACGTAAATTGGGAATATTATGTATGTTAAAAAAATCGTACATTAAAAGAACGCGTATTTGATTATTTTTGTAGATGGTGCTGCAGGAATTTGGGGTGTGCACATTTATTTACCACAGAATTGTCAACTACCACTGAATTCTGAATTAGCGTCCCTAAATTATATAATTTTTTTATCCTGTCCTCACTTTATCAGGCCCTTACCTTCTTGGCACCACTCCCGCAAATGACGTTTACCGGTGGTCGAAGGAGACTCATAATTTCCTTCGGGACACCTGGAAATCGCCAGAGGGAGGTCTGATGGGGGTCTCAATGTTGCCCTGCTTCAGAGTTTCTTCCGATGATGATTTTGCTGTGCCAGACTGGTCAGATGTGGTGTATGGGTTCCGCTCCTTGACGCAACAAGAATTGCAAAAATTAGGAAAACCAAGTCTGAAGAAAGGATATGGCTTCGTGACATTTACCTGCGAAGGACGAAAATTGCTGCCATATTTGCTGAACAAATTTAAAATGAGGGGAGGACAAATTTTGAAGGCCAAAGTTCAAGATTTGCATACCTTGGGAAAGGCGTATGATATTGTGGTCAATTGCACTGGTTTGGCTGCCAGGGACCTGGTTCCCGATGAAACTGTGCAGCCAAAGCGAGGACAAATTATAAGGGTTAGTGGACTAACCGTGTTTTAAGCTTCTTTTTTTAAAAATAAGCTAAGAATACAGTGTCTTAACAAGGATAAAAGAATATCTTGGCTTGAGACGTGCAATCTAAAAAACACGCAGCATTAAAAGATATTGGACATGGATGTAATTTTACTAAAGTTGCTCTTTTTTAGTGTACCACACGTATATACATGTACCATGTACCATATAGCACAATATAATAAAGGGAAAGAAAAGTTTTCTAATACGATTACTACTTGTAATACAGACAGAAGGAGATCAAATGACCAACTTTCAAACAAGAGTCAAAGTCAAAAGTTTTGAAACAAGCATACAATGTACATATGTATAACTAAAGGTAGGATTAGGTGCATATACCAACAAATGGAACAAAAGTTTCGGAGAGTGAGAAAGAGAAAGGTCTTTCTGTTATTTTGGATTTTCTACTCCAGGTACATGCGTCTTATTTGGGATGCAATAAGCAAAAAGTATATGCAAGACCAGACTATATGTAGTCACGAACAAACTCCAATAAGCAAATTAAGAGAAAGAGTAAGAGATAGACTATACGATTCTGTAATCTGAGTTTCTCATCAAAATTAGCAGGAAGATAGTCATGCAGGCTTCAAAACTTGTGCAGTTTACAACGCAATAGGACCAATTTCAAGGTATTTTCCCAGAACAGAAATGGGGAAGTTGGTTGCAAATAGCTGAAAGGGTTTTAAAAAGCTTAAAGACATTAGATATTTTATATGCATATCTAGAACATCCATTCGCGTGGATTTTATATGATTTCGGATTTACATTTACGAGCTAGGGTAATTACTTATCGATTTTCCAAGCAAAACTGAATTGTACGCAAATACGTAGGCAATACTTAAAAACGAGAGGAGTATAAAGTCATCATCCATCATTACCTCCGTAACATGGGAAGAGGTTAAAGAATTACAAATGTATATGCATAAAGAAATTAGGTGGATTTTACGTCTCATGTAAGCGTAGATGTGTGTATGTATTTATAAGCTTTGATTTTGATAACAAATTTGCAGGTAAATTCGCCAGATATAAAATGGGCTATTCTTAATGACGACGACGATGGAAATTATATCATTCCCAAGTAAGCTAATCAAAGTATCATCGTTTGTTTTTATGACCCTTGTAACCATCATCATGGTTTAAAGGGCAAATACCCAGGTATACGGATTGGGTTACCTATATTGCTCATTACTATTATGCTGCCAGTTACAAAACCAGGGTGTTGTTGTTATTATTATTGCCGTAAACTTTACCTCGTTGTAAACCCAGTTTGCATTAATTTCATCATCAGTACTGCCTTTTGTGGTGGTCGTGTCGTGTCACTTACTTATTACTCCAACATAAATAGAAGCTAGGCATGACCCTATCTCCTCAGCTTTGGAAGTGAACAAAGCTTTGGTAGAGCCTGGAGGGATACACATGAGATTAGATATGTGATGTATGTACGATACATATGTGCTAATTTTTGATTCTTGATTTTCAGTCAAGATTCAGTCGTCCTGGGCGGGACACATCAAGAAGGTATAAGCAGTAATAAGCACTATATATATGTACATATGTAAAGAAGAACTATTTGTATGAAGGAGACTGGAACTGCACCACCTATCAAGAAGATACGACTTTCATTAAAACCGGGTGTGCTGCCATAATTCCAAGTGTGCAGGTTGTTTGCTGTTTTCTTAGCACGGTTCCTCTTGCTTGCTTGGTTTACAGATTCTTTTTATACTCAAGATGCCAATCAATGTACGCTGTGTAGAATAATTTTATGCGTGCATATAAATCAGTACGAGTCATTATAAAAGCGTCATGAACGAGTTGATGCCATCTGGTCATTCAGATTGCGTCGTATGGTCCCGTTAATTGAGGCGCTTATGCGAGCGTTTCTTGTTAACATGTGTAGCAGAATTTTCATAAATCACTAATTGCTTTGCCTTAGTTAGTGCTTGCTAACCATTGCATGCTGAATATTCCGAAGGACAACTGTGCGCGTTTGAGCGAGTATCGTTCGCATTAACAAAATCCTTTCGTTTAATGTCATTTTTCTCAGTCTCTGACGACAAAAAACGACTTAAAGCTGAGCTTCTCCTAGTCTACTTACCTACTTACTTTTACTTCCTTTTTTTGTTAACAATTAAGTTAGTTCATTGCCTTATATTACACAGAAGGTATTGTACCTCGAGTTCATTATCACGAATTGTGTAAAATAGCAACAGACTGTCAGAAATGCTTAGTTCGTGCTTAAAAGTGAACTTTGCGCTTTGTAAATTACGAAGGGTATTGTAAGGCATGATTCGTTTGTTTATTATTTATTTTTTGGTTTCTAAACTCTTAATAAAAATTATTCCAACTTTTATTAATGCAACAGTATATTTATTAATGCACTTCCAGGATATTACTTGTGCAGGAATTATATATAGTACAAATTTCGTTGACAAACAACATAAATATATACACAAATATATACGAGAGGTGACTGCATGAGTACAGGTACATAGGAATGTATGCAAATTATAAAAATATCATAATGAGACTGCTCTTGCTTTGACAAACCACAAAAGGTAAATGTTATAGGATAAATAATTTGAAGGTCTTTATTCAGAGCTTCACTTAAATAATTTGCTCTCAGGATGCGCCTTTGATTAGAGAATGGGTGGGGTTACGACCTGGCAGGCCAAGCGTGCGTCTCGACATGGAAGTAATACAACATCCGGGGGAAAAGCCTTGGGTGAGTTCCTTTCCATTTTCTCACATGATGAACATACTTTCACGTCCAATTCCTTTTGCACATTTCTTTTCCATTTCACACTTGCATTAACTCACCAGCCACCACGTAATAAGACGGCGAAGGGGAGCAGGAAAGTCAAGATGAAAGAAAGTGAACCGGTTGGTTGGCACTAGACCCTGAAAAACAAAGAACTGCACCACAACTCACTTTGCAGCCCTTGCCCCATTTCCCCCCACTGCCCATTTCCTTCCGTGTAGAAAGACTCCTTGGCTAATAAGAAAAACAACCGCAACACATCCTCGTTGCCAGAAGACTTTCTTGCCTTCCTTTCGGCATGTTTTTGTGCTATATGTAGATAGCCAAGCTCTTTTATCGGGGTGCTGAAGTTGGACGAGTCAAGTGGTTTTTAGCAAGAATGAGTCTTTCTCCTCCTCCTATATTTGTAAAAATTACATTTTCTCTGTTTCTCTCTTCACAACGGAACAACAATGTTTACGAGTTTCTTTCCAAGCCGACGCTAGAAAAAGTCCACTCCTTGTGTACGTATGCATATGTACATATACTGATGTGTACTGTGTACATAGGCATTTATATTATTTTCACCCAGACCATTTTGACTTATTAGGTTTGTGCTATATGTAATATGTCAGTTCAAGGAAAAAGTGACAAAGTAGGGCTAAAGTTAGCATTGTTATAATCCACACTACACTCAATGTTGTGCGAAATTAGATGGGAGAGCACTTACACTCTTCTTTGGTATCCTGGGGAGTAACCAGTAATGCAGAAATCTTGTCGTGTAGCTCTTACTAAAACCTAAATGTATATTTAGGTTTTAGTACAGTCAAAGAGAGTACATAATATATACATAAATACGTACTTGCAAATATTTTATTTGGCTGTACATTTGTCAGTTTTCTTGGTTTGACAGTCTAATATTTGTAATTTGCATTGCTATGTACCAAATAATCATACAGATTGGATTGCATGTTTAGAACAAAATGAAGTATGCGCACATGTACACAGGATACCCGTAAGATTTATTTTGTGTACAACAACTGGGCAAAATCCTGCTTGAGATTTCATAAATATGCATTTAGGTTGAAGTGTACATATATAACAATCTGCTGAGTAGATCCTCCCAATTTGCCTCAACACTCATTGTTGGTGGGTTGTTGGACTTATCTTGTTGGAAAGAAACAAGAAGGGGTTTAAAATGGGATTAAAAGAAATTGGATTAATACGGCTGAAAGTAACCTCAACTTTGCTCCGAGTATGCACTCCCTTTTGGGCACACTCGTCATAGCACCAACTAACTAAGAGAATGTGTTAATAATTCGGGGAATAATTGGTGGGCATTGTTTTTTTCTGTTTCAGTTCTTGTGCTCTAACTATGGACATGGGGGCAGCGGATTGACGCTGTTTTGGGGCTGTGCCAAAGACACGGCGGATCTTGTGAAGACAGCGACACAAATGTATATGCAAAGCAAACTGTAATTATCATCAAAGGATTTACCGAATTTTAATTCAAATGTCAGTCAATGTTATTCATCCAATAAATTTGGAGTACAAAACTTACCGTAAAGCATAACGATGATTTATGATAATCATTTCTTGATTGTTGTGGAATGCAGCAGTTCATTTGGTAAGCAATTGCGTCAATAAGTTATAAAGGGAAGCCTACAGACATGTGTCAACTTTATTATTAATTATCTATGATACCCAAAAATACTATTATCACCATTACCGTGCTCAATTTCTAGTGGTGCATTTAGTTCTTATATGCAAATGTGCAGAGTGTAACGAAATGTAAGAATTGCATACTTGAGGGAAGTATTTTATTCCGAGTTCGTCCAGCTTATGTAGGATTAATGCAGCCCCGAATTTTGTGTAACCTGTGGTTTGACAAATCGGCTGTCGATTTGGATGATTGCACGGTTTTCCATTGCCTTCATATTTTCACTTTATCAAAATTACATATTTAGCATCCCTGCCTACATATAGCATGACCCAAACCTATTTGCACACACATTTATACTTACATACGTGCAATATTCGGAAGACACTTACAACAGAGTAAATAGCACAGAAATATTGAAATCAGCATGACTGCTAAAAAATTTGATAAAAGAACCATTTCAAGTTCACCCAAAGAAACCACAAATTACAGAATCTTTAAAATTTCATAATGTTCATTATGCGACATTATCGTCTACACAGACGACCGACCACTCAAACTGTGACAGCGCTATTCTGCAAATGTTTATCAAGCGGATTGATTATAGATAAATGGCTTGCTGTCATCACTCATCTTATCGCCGACGGATATTCTGAAGCCACACGCCTCTCATTATACCCACACCGTCGGCAAGCGATGAGCTGTTGTTCAACATTATTATAAAGAAATGAGACGCATACGTACCTTCTTCCTCCCCCACATATACTGATGCAAAGGTAGGAATGAAGTTTACCATACCGTTCGTTTATTTTTCATCATCAGCTCAAGAGTTGGCATCTTCCTCCCATTATTCACGACAACCCCGGAGGCAGACATGACAATCATACCGTATAAAATATGAAGCGAGTGTGGTGAGTAAATGTCTACTTTCTTAATTATCACAGAGTGAAAGAGAATAATAACACAGAAATATGCGCACACTCGTATATGTAGCAGCATACAACAAACTACAAGGCCGAGCGTGATTCTTGTCTTCCACATTTTTTTGAGATCACATCATTTCATTGCTCCCATTTATCCACGAGAACGCACGATATCTGCTTATTAAATATGTGAATGAAACGCTGAATGGAAACTGCAAAAAAAACAACGCAATTAAAATGTTCCTTTTCTTTCAGGAGAAATTGACTGACATTGAAGTTTTTGAGGGTATAATTGGATTATTAGTATGGAAATTGAAAATAAGAAGCAGATATTTGAATAAGACATTCAGGATTCTGAGATGTTTGGTCTTATTAAATCTCACACTGATCTGTATTCACTTACTTACGTCTACTGGGTGTTTTTCCAAGTGGAGCACGTACGATTATGATAAGTATAAAAACGAGACCAAGGCTTATAGCTCATAAGAAATGTAGCATAAGTACGAACATATTTTGTTGCACGGGCAGAAATCGCAGAGCCAGCAGATAATTATTACGAATTAACAATGACAATGAATCATAGCCAAAATGAGCAATGAGCCGAGTAGTTTGCATTTCCTATGAGATTTCTTCATTTTAGGAACTAATTCGTTAATGTCATCGCACTTCATAGATCTTCCTAAGCACGGATGAGTGCAAGACTGTGCAAGACTCTGGTTCATGGTCATAATGAAGGTTTAAACCATAAGCTTTAAACCACAAAGTCCCAAGAACTGAGCCAAGTCGTAAACATTACAAACTGTGTGGCGTTAGTTTACTGGCATATATGCTAATGTCTTGCTGCTGATCCCTTGATTACAATATACGATACATAATTCGGGCGAAGCCGACTTAGCGAAACTTTTTTATTTCTTCCTCTCTCCTACCAAGCACCGAGATTTCCTACGTGTGATAGAGCAAATGAATAGGAAAAATTGTTGTGTGGATTAGATTTGGTTGTTGGCATTCAACGAAATGAGAGAAAACAAAGCAACTCGCATATGATATGATATGCACATGATGCACGCCACTTGACTTTGGATCCTATTGTACTTGGGAGTCGTACAAACGTTTCTACGTAAACGCATATCCCCTGTGGGAGTTACTACTCTCCATCTTTATCTTCCGGACTCTTTCTGACCCCGTCTCCTAGTTTTCATCTTTTATAAATAAGAGTCATTGTGGCCTCGGACTGATCAGTTACAACAAGCGTTCCTTCACCGACCCCAAGTACACGACAATCCATGACATTCTGTTAATACGAGTACATTTTGAAAGAAAATTTTAACTTTATGGAGCAGTGAGTCGTGCGTTTATTAATTTGACCAACGGATTAAGATAAATAAAATAACGATTTGAAATGGTTCCATCAAGAAATTTTTGCAACGTGATCCTTGTGTTGGTGACAATTGGCAGTTGTTTGGTGGCAGTGGAATGTCGGAACCCACAACGTCGCAGAGTGAGTGACAGGCAGAATAGCTTATGGAATAGTCAGAATAATAGCGGGGGAATGTCAAACAATGGAAATCCTCGTTTTGGTGAGCCCATTTTACTTAATAAATTAAATAATAAATTAAATATGAGCTCTTGTCGCGTTGCGTCGATAAGCAATCAATTAAGGAAAAGTGTATGATAATGATTAAATTCAATTTGTCTCCCCAGACTATGAAACAGGTTATGCTACCGGAGTAGCTATGAAAAAGGCACTCGGATTAACAAAGATTGTTCTTTCACCAATCGTGCTTCCCATGATATTTTTCGTTGGAATCGTTCTTCTCTTGTTTTTTGCGGTGGTGGGATCCTCGGCCGTGGTTGGTTCCTCGACCTTTGGTCGCAAACGGGTCCCATTCCATTCGAATGGATGGGCCAAGTCGTTCTCGTCAAGTACTGCCAAACTTGCAAGTGACGTACTTAATAGTGATCAATGTATCGAGAGAATTTCTTGTGAGGTGTTCAGAAGGGCGAAGAGACTTGGGATGGAAAATCTCATCACGAGGTTCGTACAATTTACTAGAAAAGCTCCTTGATTCACACATCCATAAACTTGTGCATGCTGCTCTGGCACACACAGTTCCAGACGAAGCGAATTATTGAGAATTCGGATTAAATTGAGTGATTTTGATTTCTCTCCATTCAGTGCAATTCAGGAGATGCCATCAAGTGAGAATGTAATAGGAAGAATCTCACGCTCCATAAAGGATCCAGCCGACTGCAAGGAATTTACATGCAGTTCTTTGGCCCTAGTGTCCCGAGCGGTGCAAGCTTTTCAATAACAGGATGAGGTCATAAGGCCGATGTCCTGCTTTCACAATTTATTTGTTACAAAATGTTGGTCATGTTGTTTTCTGGTAAAATGTCATTTGTACTTAGGAGGACCTGCCACCGTATTTATTCATAATGCAGATCATTCCAAATAAATGGCATTTTTTAAACATATGTGTGTGACTTATTCATTCTATTTATTTATTAAGTTAAAGCTAATGACGGAGGAATTGTAGACGTATGTATTGCAAACTTTTCATTAAAAAGTAATTTGTAGATTTTACTGTTTTCATTATATATGACTATGTAAACTCTTTATGCTGTAGGTGCAATAATAAAGTGATATATTTATGATCGTAATAAAAGGGGACGATTTTAGCATTAATTTGACTCACAATTTAATTCTAAGAAACAGACGGCAGGCAACAGATTGAATAACTTCACTCTCTAAAACTGCGTTGTCATTCTTACGTTGTGGCGTTTGTAGGAATGCATACATATGCATGTAAATAGTGTATAAATGTACACACGGTTTTCTGCTACCTGAATTCACAGTATGAGCTCACGCACGTTCCACAGATTACCAACAGCGATGCGTCTCACCTACTTGATGACAACTTTGGCATTCTGTGCAAAAACGACTTTCGGTGAATATCTAGAACGGTCCGCTATACAGAAACTAAATAACTGGCCGACAACTTATCAGTATTCATGAATGATAACACTCGAATATCAAAGTGTTCTCGCCAATAATACACACTTCATCGTGTCCTGACGCCAACTATAATTTAGCTCGTTAGGTACACGCCTCTTGATGATGAACTTGATTTGCATTCAGACTTTGAAAAACTCATCCTGAAGGCTGAAATGGATGTTAGTGCTGAAACGTGTTTAACTCAATTTCAAGGGTTTCTGCTGGGATTTACAATTACGACGACGACGAAACGAGGAAACTGTGTGTTACGTTCCTTTGACTCTTATGTGTGCAGGAGGGCTGGGCTCTGCCATTCATTACCAAAGCAGCAGCATCAGAAATTTCAAACCTATTCATTCTGCAGGTTCAATGATGACCAAATGAGGAACGCTTTGTTGATTTTGCTTCTATTTTTGTGATTGGGTTTAAGGGTAAAAACCGGCAGATGTTAATGCATTTAAGAGTTTTTATGCAAAAGACGCACATAAAAAGGGTTTACCTTAATTTGGCTCTTTCTGTTAATTTTGCTTACTCTACTTTGCCTTCAAAGGTTTCCCAGCGCTTTGCTCTCTGAAATTCTTTGTAATAAAATGTGGGCCCAAACAAACTTCGTTTTTAGTTTTGATCTGGCTTTCAACGCTTGCACTTATTGATTGTATTTCATAGTTTTATTTTACAATTTTGAAAGTCCTATTTTTCAGCAATTTTTAGCAGTGCGTATTAAGTGTACTTCTTATTAAAAGTTACAAATGACAAATCGTAATCAGTGGTCAGTTTACAAATTGCCCAGTTCGACAAATACGAAATGAGAGTTGTTTTACCAATACGCGATTTTAAATTTTTTATCAGCGTCTACTTTGTCATAGCATTAATAGGTTTATCAATGGCATCGATTTACGAAGACGAAGACCGAGTAAACTCTGAAGGTATGTGGCAAAAGCCATCTAAACATCTTGAACCCAAGATGAGTGCTTCAACTGGCCAAGGGAATTCCCGATTTGGTAAAATACTATAAAAATTATGAAAGATTTTGGCATAATTTTGGATGCATGAATATCACATTTACCATTTTGTTTGGTGCACATGTGTATTTCAGATGTTGGAGGAATTCTCACAGCAGCAGGGCTTAAAACTGGGGGCAGTCTTCTCGGCCTCGTAGTCTTCCCGTTTATATTCCCAGTTGTTGCGTTGCTCTCCATTGCTCTATTCATAATCTCCGTGTTTGGAGGAGCATCTCCTATGATAGCGAGTGGTCGTAGGGTTGACAACAATGCAAAATATGGTCTGGCCGCACGAATAGTGGAAGTTCTGGGCAGTGAGGACTGTGTTGAACGCATTGGCTGTGAGATATTTGATATGATGGGACATAAAACTAAGCTCCTCAGGTATGTACGCCATCAAGGAACGGTTCAGGTGGCACATTGATGAGATTTTCAATCGAATTATCACTGGATTCTGTTCTTCAGACTGCTGCGGAAACTAAACTATTTCCCGGAACCCGACAAGGCTGCTGGTGCGACAGGACAAAGTTGTTCCATTTTCAAGTGCGGTGTCCGAGACCTAATTGCAAGAACGTGGGGATAAGGACCAACTTATTCTACGGAATAATATATTTCTCTGTATAAACGACTAACCAATTCTGCATGCAATCCATTCACAAGAACGAGATCACCTTTACCATAAAACTGTATATTTATAGCTTTATCAATAAATTATCATCACCAAATATAAATTGCCAAACGAGTGAGACAGCTCTAAATCATTATTACTATCATTGTCATTTTTGTGATTATTATGTTTTCATGCACAATATCGGTGTGACTCTGCAGAAAGGAAGGAAGATGTACAATGGCTTAAATGCTTTTGGTAATATGTACAGCTTGTATTTGTACTACATGAGCTTTCATATATTTCAAAGCCCATGCAATACCTACGTTATTCAGAAAATTCAGTCGACCTGGCTATAAATAGACCCGAAAAAGACCCGAAATCGTAGTTTGAGTTTCAAAGAGGGAGATTCGGTTATTTTTGCCACGCTGGATCTGAATTGAACAATGTGTTCCCATTAACCCAAAGTTTGAAGTCTAGCATTTGTTGGGAATAAATAAGGGAAATTTGATTTGCAGAAATTTCGAGATTGGATTCGTAAAAAGGTTCAATCTAGTTTTTGAAAAAAGACAAGAAGAGATTGTCTTTGAGTTTTGATAAGGACATAAAAAATATAATGGAACAACGTGGGTCGGTAAATCTTGCGTTGACTGTTGGCATGATTGGAAGAGGAAAGGATTCCCAGCAGCGGCAGGACGGGGTAGAGTACGTTGTGAAAAAGTTATGTCAACACATCAGGGGAGTGGTGACTGGGGATGAGTGGCGAAAGTATGAAGCATCAAAGTTGGATCCAAGTCGCATCGAACTTTTTTTGGATAGGAAGGAAATCAAATCATGTGTCCAGAAGTATCTCAAACTCCACCCGTCTCACAAAGATAAAACCAAGGCGATGATACTCAAGAACGCTGCGAACAAAGCTTTTGGCTCGGGAGATAACTCGGGAGCACTTCATCTTTATACGCAATGTCTAGCTTTGATGCCGCATGGAACGAAGGGTAAATATACACAGTCCTCATTATTTATGACCCCCATTTCATTCTCAGAGAGCCCCCTTCATCGTTGTCACCCCCACTTTTCACTTACCACACTTGATGCCTACCATCACTTCAGTCTTATATTCACGTATGCATATACGCATATCTATATGCATATGTATGTATGTATGTATGGCCGTGCATTGAATTCTAATTCCATTGGGAATGGGTCAATTAATTAGCTGATATTATCATATTAAACAGATGTAGCTGTCGTGTATGCGAACCGTTCTGCTGCCCTGTTCCATCTACAAGAATATTGGTTATCAAAGAGGGACGCAGAGTTAGCATTTCATCTAAATTATCCAACTGAATTACACTATAAACTATTTGAGAGGCTCGGCCGTCTTGCACATGGGGTCGAAGCTTCAAGACACTTTCAAGCAGCCATCAAGGCTTTGGAGTCATCCGGGTTGGACGAGTTGAAAATGAAAAAGACTAAAAAAGTTTTAGAAGAGCTAAGAAAAAATCCCGCAGCCATTCCTCACGGCTTCCATCAAAATCAAGGCAAGTGAATATTCTGTGAGCAGAGAGCTGATGCAGAGAGAGAGAGAGAGAGTTTCGTAGAATAAGACGAAAACTAATCCTACTACATTCCAACTTTAATTGAATTGTCGTCTTACACAATGTTGAGCAAGAGAGAAAATCTGATTGAATAAATCTTTAGGAGGAGGAAGTGCAGGTGCCCAACAACCTATTTCTTTGCCTACTCTGCCGGACATTGCGGGGGGACGGAGTAAATATTTGAGAACAGCTTCCTCCCGACTCACTCTGCAATATCGAGAGAAACAAGGTATGTATGTATTACATGGGACATTTATTAATGGAATATTTATTGTTGGTGTCATTCTCGTTGTTATAATAATTATAATACCACTGTTCAATTAATTCCAATAAATAACGTCTACAGGTCGCTTTGTTGTCGCCAATGAGGCATTTCGACCGGGGGATGTGATTTTGGTGGAACCAGCATTCGTTTCTGTACTAAACCCAGATCAGTACCACAAACAATGCTTCGAATGCAATGCCCCGTGAGTGAAAATTACAGGGGATCCCGAACAACTCATTATAATACGTCTTAAACCCGAGGTTACGTGGCTGAGGCTAAAATTTCCAATTACAAAGTACGCCTTGCTCTCTCAACTTTCATGTCCTGTTCTTTGCGTCACTTTCGTCACGCGAAGTGCTCGTAAATAACGGACGGATGCACGTTCAGTTGGTTACCGCGTCGTCGTCGTAGAATTTTCGAGCCCTTCTCCATTGACCTAAATTTAGGTGGATCACACCCAAAAAAGAGAAAACTTTATCATTCATGCTAAAATAATAAGGCTAATATCCCAAATACTTCTCAGAGCATGTAGCCTCACACCATGGAGCCCCATGTTGGGACCTATGGAGCGTATTTTAAGTACATACATATGTACATCAAGCCCGTTACAGAGAGATTTTTGTTTCAGATTGCTAGCTCCCATTGTTTGCGAGACATGCATTTTTGCATCTTTCTGCTCAAGTGAATGCCAAAAGAAGGCCCAGCAACATCATCAATACGAATGCTCCATCCTGGGTATTCTGAAAAACTCGGGAATTTCTGTCATCTGTTACATGGCCGTCCGAATACTCACAAAGGTAATACATCATTACACCTTTACGAATGCATCCGCAGAAAATAAGGTAAAAAAAAGTATAAAGAAACGCAATGGGAACTCTACTCGTTAGAAATTCGTCATTACGTGGGTGTTTCTACGTTTGATTTATTACTGCGCGAACCCTTACACACGTGAAACCTTGACTTGCTCTTCCACCACCACCCTTGAAATTCATATCCCAAACGCTAAAACGCTAGCCATCGAACATTGACATGCGATATTCTCGGGCAAAGTAAAAGTTGCTAATGCTTGACTTGTTCCCAGGCGTAAGCACACTGCGGACATTTTCTAGCTGACTAGCTTTCCCCGAATCCTATAGAGTTTATTGCAGACCGGATTAAATCCTGTTCTGCTTCTCCTTCCCTCCACGCTATGAAACGACGCAAATTATTTGTGCGTTGGCCATTCAAATTTAAATAACACGGAGTTTGGTCCTTTATATGCAGCTGATTAATAAAGTTAAAAAATAGCAACTACTTGATGTTTTATTTTTATCAGTAATTTTATCAGTAATTTAATTTTTACAGGATGCATGTAATGTACTTAAAAGTGTTTGACAAATGGTTTTTCTTCCACAGTAAATATAATTGTCGAAAAAATGAATTTCAGAACAATCCCAAAACTGTGTTGGAGTGGTACGGTCTGGCCGAGAAGACGGAACTGGAAGAAATGTCCCAGAGTCTTGAGAATAAAGTCCCCATGGACCAAAGTAATAATTGCCTAGATAAAACTAGAACTCTGGAGACTTTAGGATTTAATGAAGAATACCGCACCGACCATGTCGCACTTTTTCATCTCGTGACCCACAGTCAACGTAGAGAGCCTGAAGAATATTTTCATCAGATTGTGATGGCCCTCTATCTCCTTGAAGTGCTCAAAACAACGTCCTACTTTGACCAGTTCAAATCCTGTGCCTCGGGTAACATTCGAATTTTTTGTGCAATAGTCCCGAGTTTTATTTCAAAACAACTGTCGCAATTTTGAATGCAGCAAGTACTGTAAATTAAGACAATAAGCCATTTCTTAGACTAATCCATATCATTCACTGTATATTCGTATGTATATATCGAGTATGAAAACCAACTGGGTGTATACATATTTACAGATACATACGTAGATAAACGTAGAAAGTAAGTATGTTGTGTTTTATCCTGAGAAACAAGAGAACGACATTATTCATGTTATGCATACATACATACGTATATACGTCCACTTGTGCGTACCGTGCAACCGACCTATGTACATATGCATTTGTATGTAAGTATGCATATCTGCTATATCGTGAAATATATAATTTAATAACTTAAAAGTAACATTCATCTGCATTTCATGACACGTCCATCCTGAATTTGAACCACACTTTTAACTTGAGCCTCGTGTGTTTTAGGGAAAAGTGACACGAAGCAGGAGAACGGCATCGGAGGAACATCTCTTCCCTCAAGGGACCAACGATGTGAGGAGAGTTTGAGGGAAAATGGTAAAAAGAGTCCAGATGAACTTACACCAACATCAATTTCCCAAAATGAGCCTGCTTGTCTAGAAGATATTCCACGCGAAGTGGAAATAAAATTTGCAGTTTTGCTCCTCAGATGCCTAAAGTCTCTCCAGTTCAATACTCACGAAACTGCTGCGTGGGACGAAGAAAGCGACAAAGATAACTCCGTGGGCCTTGGGGGTACGTTGTTGAAGGCGAGAACAGCTCTTGGTTCATTGTTTCATTTGTGCATGCTTGCGTTGGTTTCAGGGGCTCTGTATCCAACTCTCGCACGTAATTAAATTCTTAATTAAATAGTTATTTAATACTTAAGACTTGTACTATTTACTTAACAAGCAATCTTTGTTTCGCCAGTATTTAATCACTCGTGCAACCCTGCCATTGTCCGGTAAGTTTACTTCCGAAATTGTCTCCCATTTGCATCGGAGCTCAAAACAGACATTACAAAAGGACGCTAACAGTATGAACATGGCCACCACCTTAATATCCTACGTTATTGTGTGTAGTGAAACACGAGACATTGAGCAAAATAGTTACGTAGAGAGAAAAGAGACACTGCATCTAGTACGCGTTGAGTTTTATTTCTGCAATTTCTACACCGAATCTAGTCCAACAATGACACACAACTTTTATCTCGTATGAATATGAAATCATGAAAAAATAGGACTCAGCTGAAGATTAGATGGTTTCCTAGAAAAGTTGCTCCATTTTTCCAACTCTCGGACTATACACACATGACCTACTCAAGAAAACACTTTCCTAGCAGAACATGCACATCCACTCACAAATGATATGTCAGCCTCGTAAAGTGTTACGTAAAAGTTTAGGTGATTGTATATTGCAGATATATGTACGAGCATACTTTTACGTACTCCCTTCTTGGCAAAGGGCTCCATTTAGTTTCATTCTGACGAACAATGCACACACGCCTCTGACAAGGGTTTGCTTTCATTCCAGAAACTGAAGGAGAAAGCATCAAAGAATTAGAAATGTTATAAAGGGCAACTGCTCACTGTTCTGCAGAACATGTTTAAAAAAACATTTTATAACGTAGGCGTATTATAAAGTCATACAAATTTCGACATGTGATTTTAATGCACAAAACTTTGTCGAATGTGGAAAATGAGTTGGTAGCACTTCAATTGAGCCAAGATACTTAACTTAATGTATTTTATTTTTTTTGTAGATATTTCGTGAATGACACAGTTGTTGTACGTGCAATACGAACAATTGTTCCAGGAGAGGTAATATATTTAGGTATATAAATATAAATAATATATGTATTTATATGTATATCCGGTTACAGGTCGTAACCGAAAACTATGGGCCAAACTATTCCAACGTTCCTTTAGAAGAGCGACAGATGCGACTTAATGATGTTTACTGGTTTAAATGTGAATGCATCGCCTGCTTGCAGAATTGGCCGGCTTTTTCAGAAATGACAAACGACATGATGAAATTCCGCTGTGAGTTTTGTCGCACCTTCATATGCAAATCCGACGAGAATATGGGGATACTTTTCAACTGCGGAAAATGCGGAAAATCTGTCAATGTTCTCAAGGCTATGAAAGCTATTCATGAAACGGATGCCAAGTATTCTCAGGCAGTCCAATTCATCAATAGTGGAAATTTTGAAACTGGGCTGGGAATGATACAAGAAAACTTATTCACTTTGGTACAAAATTTATAAAACAAATTATCAAGCTCTCGGATCAAACTTTTCTTTCTAACTTTACTTTTCGTATTTATGTTTTTAAGGAAAAATTTCTAATGCCACCTTTCCGAGAATTTCACATGTGTCAAGAACATATGAGACGATGTTATCTCACTTTAGGAAACCGAGTTTCCAAATTACCCGCATGGGATCCAGAAACTGTGAAAATGGACGATTAGAATATGATGAGTTTGAATCTCGTATGAATTTGTATTTGTATGCAATTTGTACTGATTAATGAATGGGTTAAACACGATTATTCAGCTGAGTTGAGATTAGGTAAGTATGCGTGCAACTGAATATAACTAGTTACACTAATAATGTATTGGAAAGAAATAACTAATTGTGTAATTTATGCATGAAGTATGAAAAACACAAAAAATGAATGATATTGACTTTGGAACATGTCAAAATTCAGCGACAATCATTTTATTTCCATAAATTCACTTGTCTCTATAAAATAATTTTGAATAAACTCTGAATTTTAAAACTTAGCATAAAATATTAATATTTATAATTAAACAGATTTGTCTGTCATCACAATTTGCGCAATCACAAAAAGTCGAAAGTGTTGCATGATGCCCAGCACTTGCAAAAATTTGCAGTGCAAGCTGTAACGCTGAATGAGTATGTATCACTTAACTTAAATGAATGACCAGCACATAATATAACAATCCGAAGGGTTTCACAACTCTAATTATATAAACGTCTTTTTTGATGCCACAAATTACCGAATTTTTGGAATTAGCAAGCGACGTACAATTTTTAATATGTATTATTTAGTCTCCGCTGATTGACGTTGACAAATAATTTAGAATTTTGCTCGTTCTTGAACGTCAAATCCATTGGCACGGATAAAGAGTAGCACAACAACCCAATAAGTGTCAAGTTTTTGTTAACAAATTGTATTGCTTATTTGTCCAATAAAATTTAAATGAGTTTCAAATAGTTTACTTTCTATCATAACATTGTCATATACATATTCGCACAGCATGTCTATTAACTATTGCCAAGTTTTGCACACGCACTGTTGTGTACTATGGATGTAAGTATCATCAACTTGTACCTCACTAGAGCCATGGAGAATCGTATTGATGGACTGTAGCAAGTTTTCTACCGTGACAGAGTGCAATTAATCTTAAGGTTAACACTGTTTAATGCTGCTGAATGTCTCTAACAAACTACGATTTTTGATAAGCAACTCTTGCATGTACGTACATATATTTATTTCATTATTAATTGTCTCCAATTTGATTTAATAACGCTGAAAGATACTGTTTTTATTTTTGAATGGTGTTTGGTTAGCATATACATATGTACATATGTAAATATGTAGTCTACTGTGTAAGTAACCTGCTGTGATGCATTGCAATAGCTAATATTTTATAGGTAAAGGGAATGCATTGAGGTAATGCCAATTTCGTTTTAGAGAAATGAAGCCTATTCACTATGATGAGTCGAATCTCCTACAGAAATAGTTTTAACTGGAATATGTACCTGCGAGTGGATATGATAATGTTGTTTGTTGGGCTCTTATTTTAAAAATAACTAAATTACACTAAAGAGTAAAATATGTAGGCGCTGGCTAAATCCGTATTCACAATCACTGGCATGTGCATGATAAAGCGTGCTTTGACATAGTGATATGGAATGATGCCACGTACTCAACTTCAATTACAGCTTATTTTTTTAAATTGTAAAATTAGCAACGAAGCTAACAGTGTATATCATGGAATATAACAATATGGAACACGACGAGCACATGCAACTTGGAGAAAATTCTGTGACGGCAATACGTTTAACGTGTGAATAAATGTACATACATATACACTTTTTGCATCATAATAGTTAAAGGTGAATGCTTATTAGCTACAATATTGGAGAACCAGCAGCAAGAGCAGGATGAAGGAATGAATGAGAACTACTCATCTTGAGAGTGCTTGGATATAGCGAGAAGAATCATGGTCAATTCTTTCTTATTTATCTTTCCATCTCTATTGAGGTCACACCCACTGAGAATTGTTTCTTCAAAATCGGCCAGATCTTGGACGTCGTAATCCTAAAATAAATATATTCACACATCCCCGGCATTATTTCTAAAATTAATCTTTTAGCGTGGGGTGAAATATTTATACCAACAATATTTACACCAAGTTTTTTTTATCGAAATAAAATAGTAAAGTTTTAAGGGCTTGCCTTCTTTGCAAGTTCCAGGAGATCCTTCAGAAACCTTTTAAAGCAAAATAACGTTTTTTGGATTATGTAATGTACGGATGCAATTATGTCATCAATAGTTTTAAGCCTTCAACCACAATAAAGGAAGCTACCCTTAAGAGTTGAGATTGAAATATATCTATCTGCCGAATATTGGCTGGCTACAATCATTGCAACTAACGCATAGAGATGACTAGATATAAGTTGCACTCACCCTCTAAGTTCCTCGTTCTCGATAGTGCCGCTGTTATCCTGCACAAGCACAAATAATAGTAAATAATTAGTAATAGTAGTTAGTTGACATGAAGATTAGTCTTTACCCGATCATAGAGAGAGAATACTCGCTCAATGTCATCCTTGGTTAATTTTGTTGCCCCCTAAAAACCAAACATTTGTTTAGCCAGAAAATCATTTCTTGCTTCCGTGTGAAATTCCTATTTGCACACATAAGAAAAGCTTAATATGTAAGTTTCCAATTGTACAAATGCTGTTAAATTGTTTGCCTCCAAACATTCTGTGCAAACAAGAAGCGATCATTCCAGAGACGACCTTGCTATGAGTTACGAGCTATTAGTTTTTAAACTGTTAAGATATCTTCAATTTCTATGTACCAGCTTTTATTAGCAAAGCGTTATTCAATTTCAAATATATGAAGCCGACGATGCGTATAAATGTTTTATTGTACTATGAACGTGAAGCTTTGACAATCAATGTTTCTCACCCTTCACTGCTGCATAATTCAAAGTCAATGCAGAGAGTCAGTAATGAGACAAGCCAGTATTTCTCAAAGTAACTATGTGACCTTTCTCATAATTCTCATAGTTCATTAGCAGTGGATCTAGCATGACCCATCTTGCATTCCCGAGGTGTAGTTTTGAAAGTTATTTCTAAAAACATTGAGCCTATGCATATGTGATGTATTTCGCAATGGCCTAAATATGCATAGATGTACGTACATATGTACATATGTAGATCTAAACAATAAGTTTCGTTTGCCAAAAATTTGTGATTATGTACTAGATATTTCTCTGACCAATCTTGCCTAAAAATGTTGTGTTATTCATTACTGATTGTGTTGAACATATGTATGTATATAACAAGTTGGCGTTGATATACATACTTAAATATAGTTGAAATATTTTATAGCATTTTAAATTTCATCTAAGAATGTATCGTTATTTTTCAAATTATGTGTAGCAGCGTCTCAGAAATATCACAACTGACAACGCATGAAACGATCCGCCATTGATAGAAGAATTACATGAAAATATTTCAAAAACTACTTGGTTTGAAACCATTTCAATAGTTGAATACCACAAATCACATGCTGGATTATGCTTGGTTACGTAATTAGAAATTTATTCAAGGAACCTGGCCCAGAATTTGGAATCCGTTAATGGATAAGTTCAGAATGTCAATGTTATTCCTTGAGCAGATTCAAGGTTGATTCTGTGGATAATAGAACCAGTCACAAAATGGAAATTATGCTCCCTTTGTTCGAAATCAAAGGCCGTTGTTTGGTGACTGTAATTAGAATGAAATAAAGCTATCAAACAATAAAATCATGGTCTGGCTCCTATTTTCGTCGTTGATGAAATGAATGGTAATTCGGGTAAATACAAAGATCGATTGCATGTCGTCCATGTATTTATCGTGTGGAATTATTCCAGTCAAACGCAACTCATGGTCTCCATCCACCATTACGCTAGCTTCGCATTAACAGCTTTTGCATGGGTGGAAAATTATATAATTTGTGTTTCAAAGCAGCACGACATTGAACACCAAGCTAAGTACATTGTACACCAGGGTCCAGTTATTATAAAAGCATAGCAGAGCCATATAATAATAAAATACGTATAAAGCTGCCGTAACTGTCGGGTGGACACAGCTAGTAAGCAAATACAATATGTAGTAATAGTGGCTGCATGATTTTCCTTCATCACCGCCCTTTCTCCACTTTCATTATCGAGTCGACAAAGCATAGATCGATTCACATTCAGAGTCCCGTTGTTTGATACGACCCGCATTCAATGAACTTAAAGTAGTGAAATTTTCTGAAGGCAAACGATTATTTCAAGTCGATGAGATGTTATCTTCACTCAGGCTCAACTTACACACAGGAAAACGTATGCATGTACATGGGTGAGTATGTGGCGGAATGTGGCACAGTTTTAACATTGACACCGCCCATTGTGGAGTTCATTTCACATTCCGTGGAAAGCATCATGAACTGAAGGTTGCGTGAAATGGTGATTGCAATTGAAGGGGTTCACCATGCATCATTCTACATACTGCCAGAACTACCTCATACTTTTATACTCATGCAAATCAAGGATTCTAGTTACGACCTATGTGTCGACACAAGGAGGTTCACTTACGGAAAATCCGGCCTGTTTAACATCAAGCAGAAGAGACATAAAACAAAACTCAAGCTTTAGATACGTATTTCGTAAAAAGAGAAATTCAAGACACATTGCAAAATAAACATCGAGGGGATTTCATGAATAATTTTTACATAGCGGTCATTTCATTTGATAATTTAGTTACTTATGATAGTACTTATTATAAAATTGACAGTTCTATATACATATTGACTGGGAACTGGTTAAGAGTGATGGAATTTCTGCCCGCCAAAAACACGTGCCCATTTGATTAACATTGCGAGCGGGCTGAAATTCAAATCAAATCCATCACCCTTAACCAGTTCCCAGTCAATAGTTTCGTCGAAAGTACAATTTTTTCATACTGCGACATTCCTAATTTACCATTAAGTTAGGTTATTATCTGGACGAAAAATATAGATATGTACATGTGTCATACTGGTATTTGGCAGAACAGCTTGAATATTAAATGTTTGAATACTATTGTCAACTACTTTGGCTCCATTTTTATTGTATGTGTATTAATTTTGATTGACAACAAAATAGCATCCATGTCGCCAGGAGTTCCGAATATAACCTGCTGGCCTTATCTACCTGTATACTTACGTTGGTTATGAGACCTATGTACATAGGTTGTTATTGAGTTTCTACATATCTTCTCCATAAGTAGGACTTACAAGAGATTTACAATTTCTATCCGATTCTGTTTTTTTTAAATTTTACTGTCCGTACATAAAAGTGAAGTCCTATATCGATTGAGTCTCAAGTACAATGGAGAGTGAAGGAACGTGCTTAGAAAGTCAAGTATGTTAATATTTGTGGGCCAAGGACATGTACACACAAACCTTTCTTTGAGTATTGATGATTTAATCATGCTGATGGTGATTCTCTCTTGTAAAATAAACTGTAATTGATGTGGCTGACGTAGAATCCACCAATGCAAATGACCTAAAATCATTTTTTATGCACCATGCTGGATCAATGCATGGACATACGTATGGATATATGCAGATGTGTAAATGGAACGGAAGTTTCCAAAATACTGGGTAACTAGCTATGTGTAGTACATATTACTTGGTTGCAGGGGACACAAAGCTCATCCCAGAGTAGACGATAGGACAATAGAGAATAACACGCTGTACACAAGATACGCCACAACAGGAAACGAAAGCAAACGAACGAACGAGGATCATGATGAAGTAACAACTGGACTGAACGGCAAGAACAAGAGACTGGACCACAGGAGGAATGGACCACAACGGAGAGAAAGGGGTAGAAAATAAGAGAACTGTGTATACCTCGCTTACCTTGAATACTTGTCGACAGAGGAAATTCTCCTTCACAGGAAGCAACCTACATCCAAACAAAAATAAAAGTCATTACTCAAGCTTTCCCCCCTGGACTGGAGTCACATCAGGATTCCACTTTCACAAAATGTTCCCACTCTTGCTCTCCCATTATTTGCATACATGTCATGTTACCACAGCTCGTACTGCTCAGCTCAAAATTGTGGTTGGACTTTCACTCATTACTTTCTCTCGCCCATCGCTCATTATTTCTGCCACTCCTGAATATGAAAAGCGAGCTCATGGTCAACCAATATTTGAGAGATGGCTTCTTTTGTCCTCATTTTTGACGTACCAGTGTGCACCATGATTCTGATGAATTAATGAAAGAGAACTTCTCTTGTGATAAATGACGCCGACCTTTATTCTAGATAATCATGAGCTCTTTTAGAATGCATGCAGTGTGTAGAGCTGAGTAGGTTTGTGCGTATGGTCAAACAATAGAATTTCTAGAACTAGCTCATGCAGCCGGAAATAAACAGCTTTTTTGACAATTCTATCTGATGTATGGAAATATGAAAATGTGGAAATCGTAAAATAAACAATTATTTTAAAAGTCATATCCAGATGGATGAGCTCAATTGAAAAGTTGGAATATTAAAATTATTTTTCAAATAAAATTGGGGAAGATAGACATCGGCGCAACCGAACTTGTGTATCTTGGGACTTTTAAGTAAAATATTAACGATCCGTTGATGGGCTAAGCAAAATACTTATTGACTAAAACGTATGTCAGCAGGATCTGTGCATGAGAGTTCTTTAGGATGGAGAAGAAAAGTCTGGCGATAAAGTCTAATCTAGATGAAATGGGCTTCCCTTTTGTCATTTGCCAGTCGGACGTATTGTGATGGAGAGGTTTGGAACCATACTGATTGTGTGGAGAGAGCACCTTGCATAAATCACCTTTCACCCTTTTCTTTCAATAATGCAGAGTCCGCACTTGATGTTTCTCACACGATTCTCAATCTACCAACCATCTTGTTTTTACCATTCTTATGATTCCAGTCCTTCCATTCTTGACATGCATTACTCTAATCCTGCGATCGATTTCGAAATCGATTTGATCCCAAAGTGAAAATAATGGGATTTCTTTGATTTGTCGGAATCAATGGAATTTATCACACAACAGGAAGCTAAAACACGTCTGGATTATGCTCTTGGACCTTCTTTCGAGTCGGAAAATATTTGTATTTACTGTCCCAATCTAAGTACTAGCTAAACAGTACGTAGTTCTCAGCCCTACTATTCTTCGTATATAATAAGATCAAGCGAGATATCTTACTCCGAAAGGTAAACTTACTTGGCCATTTCTGAAAGCTGCAACTTTCCATCCTGCAATATTATACAATTTTTGTAATTAGACACTTGCATCAAGTAAGTTTAAAGTACTGGTTGGGCCCTATGTTTAATCAGGAATCCAGTGAAATAATTAATTAATTATGCACTTACCTTGTTGGCGTCAAACACTTGCAGCTATGATTAACACAAAAAATACGGATTAGCACCATATGCAGTACAAAATACAGGTTAGATTTTTCGACGGAGAACGTGTTTGTCACATACCATGCTGTCAGTGTATTCAATCAGCTTATCTTCGGTAACATCGGTTCTCTTTGCTTCGCGCAAAAGATCTCTCAGAAAATTCTTTGAAAGATAAAAATAATAAAATTAAGTTAAGAAATTTTCATAAAATGATCAAGGCAAGGCTTAACCCAAGCATGTAAATGAACAGTAAAATTGTATTCAATAGATTTCGGGTTAATTATGCATCTCAATTCTCAGATGATAGTCAAACATTAGTTTACCTTTAGCTCATCAGCTTCTATGTAGCCGCTCCCATCTGTGTCGTACTCACGCCATATCTATATTCGTACATAAAATATATGTATAAACTATTGTAAATAGTTTCAAAATTGTCTCAAATACTCGGATATGGAGAATTTTTAAATTATTTCAAAAGTTGGAACGCTCTTAAGCAAAGTCGTAAGAAACGAGGATCAGTAAAAATAACACAAATTCTCCAGGCAGAGCTATCAATATAATTTCTTCTTTCTCTCCTTTTCGTTGCATGCAACCGACCGAGTTTGTTGTGAATACTTTTGTAGTTTTTCTTCTCCTTCTCCGTACGACTTCCTTGGTATCTCAAATTTCTTAATTTTTTATGGGGCACGTAGGAATGTGAGAAAATGCCGATATTTGTCTTTGCTGCAGACAAAACTTTTTGTCCTTATTTTGAAATGTGGATTGTAATTCTAGGAATGTCTTAAATGTTCCACGTGTAAGTGTGATGGTGATTCACAAATTGAAAATGCAACAGGAATTTCATTATCTCACCTTCATAAATTCAACGCTAGATTCAAGAGGGTTGTCAAAGCGGAATAAGAGAAGGAAATTCTCCTCCATCGGAAGAAGTTGCGCAAGCTGTAATTTAATAGTAAAATTTTAGATCCTGAATGTCAAATTCACATTTGAGAAAATTGCAGATGCAGCTTATTTATACAGTTCATTGGTTTGTGCGATTCATGTCGAATTCGATATAAATCCTTGTTCGTCATGTTTTATGAGTGGAAAAAACAACAAGGAAAGCAACATTGACCGCGTGCTCGGTTCACGAATTAATTGGACGAAGATCAATACATACTCAAACTCGATGTGTGCACTCCACCAATTTCGCTATCCGTCCGTCATTAGCCTTTCACTTGTGAACTATATTGCTTGGGGAAAGTTGGACAAGCTAGCAACCTGCAGACCGAATTGGCCATTTAAGTATGTTCAATCCATTACTCCTTCTCGCCCATGATTGTTTAGTTTGTTCAAACAATATGAGAACAGTGGCACGCTGTCGTTATTATTTGAAGAATGGGCTTCCACCACCATTGTGAATGATCAAAACGTACGAACAGCTTCAAGTGGGTTTAAGGGGCAGCTAAGAAGCCAGCTAGCTAATGGGTGGTTGGAATATTTTAGTCAGAAGACCAAGTTTTCAATCCGTTTGTCGCCAACAGGAAGGGAAGTGAAGGCTGAGGAGAAAGGAGTGAACAAGAGTCAGTCCGTGTAGCAGTAGGTTTGAAGTGGTTTTACTAAATTGCTGTTCAGTCACTTTACTGTCTCGTGTAAAAGTGAACACAGTGTTCTTTCCATTTGCGACTCTTCTCACATGTACTTATGGCTCCCCATTAGACGGATTGGACACATTTTCTCTCACACAAACAAAATGAACCTACGATGTAAATACATATATGTTGCTCTTCAACGCAGCTCACGTACTTGTCAGGGCCCAGTGTCGTCGCTATTTATGTTCCCCAGGGTATTAAGTGAGGGCTTTACCGTACACCAGCAAGCAATATGTATGCACATATATGTATGCATGGGAGCTACATGTAATAGTTGGATATGCACAATCTATCAGAAAGTGAAAACGAAGGACGCATTTTGTTGCGAGTATTTACTTGGACATTTAAAATGTGGTGGGCTTGGCATTGTCAGGTACTAATCTAACTACAAGAGCGTGGGCAGGTAAAAACTCGCGTGCTTTCTTCCCCCAAGGCTAATTTAAGAGTATGAACTTGTATACCATACACACTGCAAATACACTGTATATACATACATATGTAGATATGTATTCAGATCGTGAGCATGAAATTTGGCATTTTATACGTGGATTGCAAACAAATGATACAATTTAAATCTACTTACTTCACGGATGTCGATCTTTCCGTCTCGGTTGTCGTCGTATGCTAAAGAAGTTTAAAATACAACAAGGGATTTTAAATCTTGAACAAACTTGGATTAGATTGACAAGCACACGTTGGTATGCAATATATAATAGTACCCTCCATAAAGCACTGTTTTAGCTCCACCAACATGGCATCAGACACCGCCTGCAAATAATTTTTTATTAACGCCCCATGTACAAAAAAATGACGTACGCAACCACACCCGTTACATAATGAGGAGAGGTGAAAAACTAGTGGTGAAAGCAGGGAAAAACGATTCTCACCTCCGGAGCAGTGTCGGACGCATTGACGCTGGCGACGAATTCTCGAAGAAATCCATCCAACTCTGTTCCTTCGATGTACCCGTTCCCTGCATTCATTTGTTACAAAGAAATTAATCACCGAGCTCCTACCTCTTTCATTCGATGACAATTTGTCTGACTGTCTTCACTAATTGAATTGGAAGGCAGGAAAGGAATTGATGAATCCCAGACACGTTTTTGCTCACAGACATTTCTCAGGGACAAGAACAAATACAGGGCTTACACAATTACTCAGTACGAAGGACATACTTTGAAAATAGAAGTAGTTAATATTTTAGATTTTGCTCTACTTAGAAATTACTGGGAAAAAGTAGTGGGCGAACAGTCAGATTTGACATAAACATTGTTTGCACGGATTTTATAAAAAATACTGGCTTACCAGTCAATTAGTGAGTTTATATAATTATTATTATGACGATTTTTTTTATTAATTTGTAGGACGATTTCATTGTCTACTGGATGCATGCAGTAACCTGATCATTCCAGTTGAATGTATTATTCGTACACATATTTCTACCGATACTTGATTGTAAAATTAATGTCGTTGTTCTCATTTCTGTGTGTTCTATCTAAGAAACTAATGAAGACATAAAAATTACTTACCATCCTGATCATAGTGATTCCATACTTCCATAAACTGATTCGCAGTTAGCTTTTTCACTTCTCGACTGGTGGGATCTCGGAATTGTCTCATGAAACTGGAATTGTTTTAGTTTGTTTTAATTATTTTTAAATGAATAAAGCAGAAAAATGTATTCCTTGTCAATGTTAGCATCTCGTGTTATGTAATCTCCTACAAAATCAGTTTGTCTTACTTTTGACATTTCTCCACGTTCACTTTCAATTGTCCGTCCGACGGGCTACTGTTCAAAGTCGCTGATGCCATTGCCTTTACGAGAAATAAATGGGTGATTTATTCAAATTGTCGGGCATCAATTTCTCCAAAAATATTAAAGAAAGCTGTGTTGCTCAACAGAATCAAACAAGCTTAACCCTAAAGCTGAATGTGTTCCAAATAAAAATGTTGTCCGTTACAGAAATGCTTACAAGCCAACGACACTAGTACGAAACGACATTATATAGATATTCACATTAATCGGCCAGTTAAAGAAATTTGACAACTTGCCATCTTGAAACCATAATATAGTCAAACATTTTGTTTTTAATCTTGTTGCATTACTATTATTATTACTGTAAATGTGTCGGGAAAGTTGAAAAAGATGAAAATAAGTAAATGAGCTACTGAATGGTGTGAGAACAACAATGCCGACAGAATAAGTACGTATTTATAAATATTATGCTATTACATAGCGCTCTATTGGTGTTGCATAAGTAGAAGTTATTAAAGTGGTATTTTTTTTCAGGATTGAAAATAAATGTTGATATTAGCTAGCAATAAATGCGCAGTTTATAATCCACTTTGCCGTTCAGGAAAAGATTCTCACCGGAAAAAACTGCTTTAGAGCTGAAGCTCTACTGAAGAGCTTTTTAGCCTCAGTACTCAGCTGCTCTGCTCTGCTGCTAACTTGGTTCAGCATGGTTTTACTGGAAACGGCAAAATGCGATATAAAAATTGGCTGGAGGAAGTACGTATGTTGGGGGGAATAAGCTCCTCACAGGGACAGAAATAATTTTGGACTGCAATTCCAAAACGAGAAGGTACATAAGGAAAGTTTGCACTACCACCAGCAGCGGAAACAATCGTCTTTTTTTTGCGCAGAGGGGAAAGGAAGGGACAATTGTACCAAGTATGTGACCCATAAATAAAACTGTGTTCATATCGTTGCGCAATTTTATAGAGAATATGCATGCAAATATAAGTTCTCTGTAGAAATGTAAATACATAATTTTTTTACCGGCCCAACTCAAATGCTTCGTTAAACTTGCTAAACTTTCCTTTTCCTGGCACGCACGCAAGCAGACCAAATGACTTGAAACCCAGTCCGGTTGGTCGGACCCTGACTTTATCTTCAACAAGGTGGGCCAAAACTTATTCTTCTGGGGACAGAGTCAGTAAACCAAATAAACTAACAAAATTCCTCTCCAACTTGGAAAAGACTTTAGTCAACCGTGTATATGTTTGCATGTACAAAAATTCATTTGCACAACAACTCCTTAAAAGTCGTTATGTTATGACATGAAAATAAAAGTGTTTTCTTTGTTTTTTCTTCTTCTGAGAATCTTCTCTCCTCCAATGTTTTATTTATGACATTTTGTGCTTGTTCACAAAAGACAGATCAAGAAAATGCTTTGAGATATGAGCTCCCAGTGAAATACTTGACTTGCATAATCATTTGTGTGCATTATATTTATTTCAGATAAATCCACAATTCATAAAGTTTGATAAAAGGTTTTATATCGAATGCTCATGAGGAGCTGAACTGAATGAATATTAATCGTGGGAAATTAAATGTAAGCGAAATATTGACATTAGACTATGGGCACAGCTACGGGGTAGAATAAACCAAAATTATAAGTATGCATATAGGTAAGTATGTAAATAGGTAAACTCACAGGTAGTTAAATACAGTTCAAGGAAGGTGTGGATATTATTGCAATGGACATGATGTACATACATAAAGGTCACATTTCAGTTTCATGTACATAAATGTGATACATAAACATGTGACAAACATTTCATGATTGCAAGAAGTTCTATTGGTCTTGCATGGCCTAGATCAGCACCAGCATGCCCCATGGGCAATAATCACATTGAAACTAATAATACAGAACACAGCACACAGAAAGTTGCACTACTATCGGTTGAGAGTACAATACAATCCTCCTTTTAATACTTAAAGCTAATAAGTCGTCACATGCACAACTATTAAGAAAATATGTTCATGTGCAAAGAAATTGCTCTTACCTGAGCTCCTTGAAATGTGTGAAGTGATGTGAAACACAATTATTACACCCAATAAATTGCCTCTTGTTAAAATTTATGCTCACTCTACCAGCCGAACGAAGAGACGCACCGCCTTTCTCCCAACAAACTTGAGACTAATAAATTGCCCTTTTTAAAGAATGCCCTCAATGGCGTATTGATACTTAAATATTTATACGGTATCGAACTCCTGAGAAGATATTAGCAAATCAATAAAGATTTAACAGTAAGATTTTTCAACGGTGAATTGTAGGATTTTTAACCAGTGTTTTAGTTGAAAGCTAGGCGACTGTCAGAGCTTCGCGAGGGCTGCACACTGAGTTATAGTGTCAAGGAGAAAGCTGGGTGAAAACTGAGACGGGAACTGGCGACTCGGGTCCTGATCTACACGCGGAGAGAAACCGAATATTATCACCACGAGTACATACCGTAGAGTACAGAAGTTGCCGTACACATTAGTTGCGAGCCCTACTTCGCCCTACAATTCCAAATCAAATGCTCATCCAACCAAACCCAGCCCTGGCTTCAGTTTCAGTGCGTTTTTCAGTCAAGGAGACCACTTTCTCTTTCCCTTCCCATCCTTTCTCTATTCGGATTCACCATCACCACCACTTCCGCACATGTATGAAAGCCATCTCACCTTCAGAAATAGAATACTCACGACGATGATGATGATGTGTATATGGAATAGATTTAGAACTAGTGAAGATTTAACTCGAAAAAGAAGTGGGATTTCGAATTTATCCAGCCCATACATAAGTATACCTACCGACCTTCGAGAGAGCAGACAGACGGGGTTTCATACCAGGCAGGGAAAATATACAGCATGAGAGGCAATCATCTTATCTATATGCATGTTACAAATCCATCCCAATTCCAAACACCTTCTTCAGATTCGGAGGCATGAGGGAGTTGAGGTGAAAGTTCCTGAGATAGAGCGGGACGCGAGACGGCGAGAACACAAGGACTGTGTACGTAGGGTCTGCTGAGCTACAGATATGAGGCTGAAATTGGTAGAAGCTAAAGCAATATTGGACAAAATTGGTGGCGTGTTGGTATTCTGGTATTGTGTTCATTCCTTTCAACATTGCTACCCATTTCCACCCACCACCACGAAAGGAAAAAGTTGGGCAAGGAGAAAGCAATGTTCTACGAACCACCCAGGTTCTCTCCCATTCTTCGTGATGTGTGTATCATCCAAGGCAAGGATGACACACCATACCAATGGCCGTTGGTGGTATGGTGGTATCATCACCCACCCAGCCGCCCGCACCATCTTTTCTTACAGACAGTAGAAAGCAACATATAACCTGGAATGTATCTAGAGTTATCTGTTTTGTCTTGTAGAAATGATCGAATTTCTTTATATATAAAGAACGCCCTGTGTACTGTCCCGTGCTCAGCGGTGGTAGTGGCACTGGCAGCAGTATGCCCTTAATACGTTCGACCGCGTTTTGGTAAAATGAAGCCCCATTTGGTCGAGCATCCGATGACTCCCTCTTCTTCTCACTAGCTTTTCACAGAGAGCAACGAGCGCATGCTTTTTCCCGCAGTACTCATGGCTAACTTGGAGGGATAGAGAAAGGAGTATGTATGTACATACGTAGGCTGCTTTCTCAACCCTGGCTGGCCGTGGCTGTTGGTCTTGAAAATGCACCAACCCAGCCAAACCCACTGCGTTACCCTCTTAACCTAGAAAACAAAGCAATGCAGGCATTGGGAAGGAAGCTCATATATACTTTGGGTTCACGAATAATTGTACATATTCAATACCAAATGGAAACTATTTATACTTAACGTAAGTATGTACATATTTCAGTTTTGTTGAAAATTGAGAGACCATTTCAAACAACTACAGTTAGCAAATCTACTAATCTATACTTATGTAATCCAGGCACATATGCAATACTTGGATTATCGCTTATGTTAAGCAACAAAGCATGATGAAATACTTGCATCATTGGTTTGCAGTCTTGCAAAATTCGTTTTTACGTTGGTGCTAAAGTCGCTTTCCCTCCCCGGGTGGTGGTGGCTACCTCCATTCCATCCAAGAAGCTGTGAAGTACAAAAACACACATTCTTTGACTTGCGAGTGCTTTCTCTTTCTCGCGAGTTTCCTGTTTGATTTCCTTTCTTTCCTCTCAACTCCCCCGTTCATTGAGTCCGCACTTAACACGCTGCTGGGTCTCAAGATTCGCACAAATTTTAAGGTCACTAAGACAAGAATACTACATGAACTCCTTGCTAGAACAACTACTTGTTCCTTGTGTTTTTTGTGTAATTTACTTTCACCCTCGACCACCCAACACTTGACTAAATTCAAGTTAAATTCCACTACAAAATGGAATAGGTTATGTCCTAGAGTGGGGAATCTATCTTCTCCTGTCAGAGCTTTATCCATTTTATTCTCCTACAATTGTACACTTTTTTCAAGAATAAAATTCTTTTCGAGACAATGGGCTCTGAATCTGATGACTCGGCCTATTGTGAATTATTTTGGCACGACACTCTGATGACCCCCTTGGCACAAATATGCTGTAGTAATTTTTTGTGGCCAAAGTAGTGCGATAAGGATTTTTTAATGTTTTATATATATAATTACTCAATGTCCATGAAAGTAAATCTGCAGTAGAATTATAAAATAGTCAGATAAGAACGTTTTTCAATAATGTATATAGGATTGAAATGCCTAAATAAATATACCGCCTGGTTCTGACCCTCCAAAAACTGTGTACATATCTACCTAAAATCAACCTTCAAATGTCCACCCACCCTAAAAACCCTGTGACTAAAGGTCTAGAATATCTCACTAAGGTATTATTTTCACCTTCAACCTCCAAGAATCAGAGAGAAGAAAATGTATGAGATGGTGGATTTTATTGAAGATTATTTTATTTCAGGTTGGAGGTTCAGGCACCAAGGTGGTTTCTGAAATACGAGAGTCTTATGAACCTTGGAAATCAATCCTAATGGATAAAATAAAGATCCTACTTTGGCAATCAAGCTAGAGAATGCTATTACTACATATCAAAGTTTATTTGTCAGAGGCTTTCTATTTAGTACTTCCAGGAAAAAATTCTCCATTGTGAGAATCGAGGCTCCATTTACTTTGTACACAATATCCGACATATGTACTTGGAGTGCGCTTATCCGTAACCTGTACACATATATTACGAGTGCACTGCAGCTATTACCTCGTTCTGCCGTCTTCGAATTTAATTCCTTGTTCATCTGCACACATATGTGTAAACGGTCGACTGGATGTGATCCAATCGAAGACTTGCATAAAAGACAAGCCTACTTATCGCAATAAACCAGTTTATCGCAAACAGAAAGAGGTATAAAAAGCAATCAACACTTGAATGATTGAATAAGAATTTAAAGCAGTAGTATCTTATTTTCATTACTCAAGATATAGGTACAGATGTATGCATGTATTTGCGTATATTCGTATGCATACATGTTATGGGCGAGGAACCCTATTTCACAAAAGTGGAAATTGTCTACTTTCTCAAGTTTTTTACACTGCAACGTGTGTCACAGGACATGTATGCCATGTTCCAAGTTTTTGAGCCTTCTTGTTAATGGCAGTTGACCTGATTTTCTACCGTTCTGACTAAACTGAAAGGAAAATGTCAGCACTTCTATTCTGTATTGAGGCTGCTGCCGTCGTGTAAAAGTCACAAAGTTGTTTAAAGGGACATTCTGAAAACTTTTGAACCGATAAGAATCGCATGTAAAAATTCAACGAAAACTTGTATATACAAATTTTAAGCGTAAAACTGCTCTCTTGTGTAATTCCGTGTGCCAGCTCAGCCGTTACAAGAGCATTGAATGTTGGACCCACACATACTTTGAATTCCACAAAGGAGGCGATTGGAGGCATTTGAGCATATATGGAGAAAGACCCACTTTAGGGAACGATGATTGTGCTGTCATTTCATGATTTATGAAAGCATGTTGGACACTTAAAATAAATCAAGGTCGAGATTAAAATAAGTCGACATCTCGCATTTATACCATTACAAATCTATACAATGTCTGCTAGGAGAAAGCATACAATTCATTTCAAATTCAACAAAGACATATTTCCAGAGATCTCCATTTGTGCCATAAAACTTGTAAGTTTTTGTCCCAGTGTTGTTCTTCAAATGCGAGTCACTGTGAGTTTCGAATTACCCATTTGATGCATTAGTCATTTTCCAACTTCATTATGGAAAGTAGGCATTGCTGCACCTCGATCAAAAAACGTACTTAATAACGCTATCAATTCTTTTTTTGATCACAATCATAATCGATTCTTCATTATAAAATTCTAGCTCGTATGGAGTATAGCGTACATGTAACCTATATTTTCATTTTGGAGATTGGCTGAGCGAGCCTCATCTCCGGATCATGAATAATTCATGAATCGAATTGCAATTTTTAGCCCGAGCCAAGGCCTATAGAATCGTCATGTCTGTTCGTCTGTCAAGCTATAGTTGTTGCAAAACTTGACTTGACATTTGTAACACGGTTATTATACTATATTTACATACTTTCCAATTGGTTTGTATTATTATTTTGGATATGTTTATTTTGAATTATTTTGAAGAAACTAAGAAAAAATTAAGTATTACTTTGTGAAAACCAATTTCATAATAGAGTCGCCACCTTAGTAAAATATTGATCAATGGATCACACGATGGTTTTAAAAATTAAGAAAGAGCCAAGGTAATGTATCTCGGGCTACACGAAGTCTGTACTGAAAGTTTGTGATATACTTTTGACTGGTACAGACAAGAATTCATTCCAAAATAGGCCTTGACTTTTCCGACGACGAGAGGACGTGACGTGTCATTGCCATCGGTGATCTCCTGACTTGTTTTTCGTACAAATCTTGTTCAACTGACTACTGAATAAATGACTGACTTGGAGACACTGCCAACCGAAATATTTAATTAATAAAAGTTGGGTCTAAAATATCACCTACTAATTATGAAAATGTCACAATAACGGAAATATGTACCGTAGTCCGCAGCTTATCTCCTGCTACCAGCGAAAATCATTTTTTTAGTTACTTCATATCTTTCATTTTTATGCATCCAGTATTCCAATTTTTCTGTAAGTGAACAAAATATATGCTATACATGCATACATCCATGGTAGATCGCATGAGCTTCATGACTGCTCTTAAACGATTGCTCGTGTATTGCAGAATTTAACAAGATTAACTCTGTTGATCAAATATGATACGGATTTTATAGGAGTTACGCACAATGGAGCATTAACTTATCTTATCATCTGTGCAGTATGCACACGGTTGTCCTTAGATTTAAATAAAGTCTTGAAATAAGCAGAATGTTATTCACATTGTAAGAGAAACACACTTCAAACTGATCTATATAGAAATGCTAGCAGTCGTATCCTTAGAGTTTTTGTGCACTTTTCCAGCGTCAACTGAATGTTGGTTGACTGGAATAAAAATACATACGCACACATGTAAAATGCCAAGCCTGATTTTGTTTGCTGTACGTTATTGCAAGTTCAAGAATTGACAACTGCTTGCGTAGTTACATTCTTTTGGATGAGTATGGCAGTCGTCATTACGCATTTCTCACTTGCACACAGTTTTAGACTTTAGCATCCTCTGCATGCAACTAATTTTTCATATTGATACGATTGTGTAGTTCAAATTACAATTGGTCCATAATTATAGTTTATTCATTTAAGGCACGTTTAGTTTTCTCCTCTTAACAATGCGACTCTGAAATTTATTGAGCAATGTCTTCACAAACTTTAGCGTTTAGCGTTGGCTTACTTTTTGTGATTACATTTTGAAAAAAAAAAATAAAATAGACGGAAGGCCTTCGATTTTTCATTCATGTTTTGTTGAGTCAGTTGGGAAGATGACGCAGTTTGGAACCTTGCCAGATCTCGGTTTAATACAAATACTTGAATATTCCTAATGATTTTTTACCGAAATTTAATAGCCTGCATACTAACGTGACACAACAACAAAGACGACGACCGTGAAAATATGTAGAAGGTTGAAAACGAATTTATATTTAGAGAAGCTTCATGATTTATGAGTTGCAAGGAAGAAGTGAAACATTTGAACTACAGTTTCTTGTTCAACTACACAGAGAACGTGTATGAAAAATTGCCCTCAAAAGCTATGAATATCAAGACATAAGTGGTTGAATTTTGTGAGCCCCGCATCACAGAACAACCAAGCACATAAAAATATTAGCAATTTACTTTTCTCTGTGCCGTGTTGGCTTCAAGCTCTATTTTACATTAATTTCGCAAGTGAATTCAAGTGGATTATTATGGGCAATAAACGTAATCAAATCAGTGTTCCTTGGGCACACGTCATTGTGCTTCTCTATTTGATTGAAGCGTTGGGTTCATTTGTGGATGCCGAAAATGGGTTCACCCAAATTTCTAAAGAAAATACTGCTGTTGCCAACCGTGGGAACATAAATGTAAGCGAAGAAAAGGATGAAGGAAAGCTGCATATTGGAAAGTCATCAGTTTCGTCTAAAATTGATGAGATCTCCAAACTACAAAAGCACATGGATGAAAATGAGGTAAGTCTTTTTTTCGATCTATGCACCACGCTTGAATGAATAGGACATCGAAACTGACGTGTTCATCGCTTCTTTTAAAAATACTCGAGATATGCAAAGCTTCACTTTTTGCAAGCAAAGTTTCTTGCAATTTTTATTCCAAATGAATGGGATCTGGAATGACTAATTTCAAAAATTTGCTAATATTTAATTTGTATGTATTAATAGAAACTGGTGATCATCCCGAAAACCGTGAGCACCGACTCCTTCGTTTATAATTCTGTAGAGACGCCTTCCTCTTTGATGGAAACGGAGGAAGAGGGAATGGAGATTAATGACAACTTAAAGAAATGGCTGGAACGAGTTGGGAATTCTAATTCGAATAATAACTTGAATGTAAATGATTATCGTGTAATCACTCAAGCATTCCGATTTGTCAAACTTGACTCGCATTTGGCCTTCTTGATATCACAGGTAAGTTACTACAGAAGTTCATGTTTTTGTTTTCGCAAAAAAAATTCGCGTGTACTAAAAATGTTTGAGTTTCCTCTTTTCATGATAATTTACAGTTAACAAATTTACAATCCATACATGAGTCGATGCAAAATAAAATAATGCAGCAGGATATTAAGGTCAGCTCCTTGTTGGACAAAGTACACTCTTTAGGTAGGAATTATTGTCATTTAAATGATTTTGTATAATTATTATCACCTAATAACTGCTCGTAAGAATATCATACCGTAAGAAGATATGGAGGTCAGCCTACATATATGTTCTAAAATCACAAGTTTTAGTACGTACTCTTTGGATCAACACGACAATTTTGCAGAGGTCCAAACAGTACAGCTCTGCACAATTTAGCCGTTGTATCGTTAAGACATACACGTACAGGACTCCATAAAAGAAATTGCTGAATTGCTGAACGAGCTTCTATAAAAGTTCAATAAAAGGGGGATTAATGTTTTCTTTTCTTCATCCGATGCTGTGTTTGCAGTTAATTCTGTCGCTGGAGATGTATCAAACATGAAGACTGTGGAAGATAAGATTGAGACCGAGATTCAGACGATGAACCGGAGACTTGATAATGCTGTTGAGAAAATAATCCAATCGTCAACCACGTAATTCCATTTAGCTGCAATTCTCACATTCCCACCCGTGCTTTTTGCTTTCCCTCATGTCTGTCTACCCCGCTTGTACTTATCCTCAGTATGAGGTCGTTTTGTCAATTAACTGACTCCTACATACATGCATGTTGACCACACATACCGATATGTACACCAAAAAGAGTATCGCACATCGGACAGAGCAGCAAAAATGGGCTGAACGTATGCTTCTCCGGGATGAGACTAGGCTAACGTCTTACCTCTCCTGGATTTCGTCAGAATCTCAGGATTGATGGTTATGTCACTATATACTCGAGCGAAGATGACGTACTTATCTATGTGGTACACTTAAGAGAGAGGATTCTATACTGCTCATTAATTTCCTGTGGAGAAAAGACTTGGAGTGTCTTTTGGCTTCCATGAGACAAGTTCAATTTCATTAAACACGTAATATACGGTCAACTCCTGCTGTTTCACATATGTTTGCTGATGACCTGGAAGAGTGAGATATAGGAGCTCTTCCTGCGTTGAGAGCGAGTGAAAATTTGACGAAACGCCCAGCAATAAAACTGATGAAAGAGATGCCAATAACAGTAATGGACTGTGATCGTGAAGTTGGAGCATTGTGCCAAATTACAGTAATTTTGTTGCCCATGTTGAAGTAGGCGTTTAATAGACACACAACTGTGTGAAAGAACAATATACTAAAGACTGCAACGTACGGGTGAAAGTTATGTTATTTCCTCTTATTAGGTCGGCCGTGATGTTCGAGCTGTCGAAGGAATCGCTTCTGAAAATGGAAAATATCGAAATGGCATCCAAGCAGGTAAATCAGTGTTGTGTGCTTGCATATGGTCTACATAATTTTCCAGTTTTGAATAAAGTGAGACTTGTGGCATCTTACATAAATGTACTTACAAATTCAAGGACACATTATACATACGTTTCTTTTAAATGTTTTGTATCTACGAGTTCTCATGTGATGATGTGATGATGTTCATGATATGGCGAAACTAATGTTTCATAAATGAAATGTGATTAAATGTAGGTCTCAAACGAGGTGCAGGCTGTCAAGACGGAATTAAGGGACGTGGGCCAATCGTCACTTCAGACAATTTACAACATGAACGTAAGACTATTTTGAACACTCCCATACTCCCATAAATCCAATATATTTAGCTTTCTTATTCTTATATACATAAATCATCTAACGATCCATTACATTGTACTATAAAGGATATGAACTTCATTTTTGATTCTATGAAAATTTGTAATTGTAAAAATTTCTACTGATTTCTACTGATTATTAATTTACACTTGTTACGACATTGACGGCTTAAATAATATATTAGCTTATTTATTTTGACAGTTTTATATACATACTTTCACAGCGTTTTCTCTCCGACTTTTACTCACCTAATGATAATGCTTTCAGAATCATTTCTAATTCTCTATCCTTTTGTTGGAGCCGTATTTTACACAATACAGACAAGCAAACATGCAGTTTAGTGAGAGCCAGAGAGAGAGAGGGAAAGTTCTTGGTACAACTAAGTTGCCCATGGCCTGAATAGCAAACTTTTAGTTGGCTCCCAAAACGGTAGTAAATGCATTTGATTTGTGAGTTGAATTATGGCAGTTGTAAAATATGTACCGCATCAGGTCATGATGGCATTGAGAGAGGACCACAAAACAGCAAACTGTTTGCCAATACTACCAAAGTCTGAATAAAATCGGTACCCGTTGACATATTTTAAAAGTTGAGACCCCACCGGACCTTTTCATCATGCTGAGCATAAAACGACTACTGTGCTTCTCCGCACCACGGAACCGCAAAAGTTCAGGCAGAAGAGCTGAACAAAACCAGAATGGGAGAATCCAATTGAATCATTTTAATGTTTCAGAAACTGGAGGAGAATTTAATGGCGGGGCTGGAGCGAGCAGGCAACCGAACTGTTTACGCATTGCGACAAGACGCTAAAGTTGTGGGCCCGTCTGTCTTATTAGCCGAGGAGGAGGGGAACTCGGTCCAGGCGGATGTGGACCACTCTCGAGGATCCCTCTCCTCCTCCGTCAGAAAACTTTCCCTCGTCGATGGTGGAACCATCAACGACGAATCCCTCGGCCCATGTTTGTCACGAAGACTGAAGGGTAAGGCTCCCAACAAACCTACAACGTCCCACATGTGCTACATGCTCCTGCCAATTCGTACATACACACGTATGATCATTAACTCGTCCGTTTTTTTCTGGGCTGACACGAGCACAATAACATAATTAAAACATAATGCACATTTAACATTGGTAATAAATATATTCCAATAGGTCAAGGTCAAATCACTCTTATACGATTTGCAAACATTTTCTGACCTTGACCTCATCACCCATTCTTCAGAAATGCTTACTATACGCATATCGTGCAAACAAGGAGACAAGTCGAGTTATTTAGTATAAATGCTTTGGGGTGAAAGTTGCAGATGTGAAATTCCTATTTTAGAGTTGCTGGAAGGGGAAGAAGCCTCAGGAATTTTTTTGAGATTTACAGATCGACTTTGGTTTAGGATGACACACAGATCACACATGCTTTACATTGTTTGTGAAAGCATACACTCGGTTTGATATTGGACCTTAACTTGTTTTTGAGGATTCACGACTGACTGACTACTGTGTATTTCATCTCGAGAGAGAGAGAGAGGGAGAGAGGGAGAGAGGGAGAAAGCGTTCTGTCATTTTATGGGAATGCATCGTGCTGAATAGTTTTAGGAAGTAAGCAAGGCTCAAAAATGTTTTATTTTACAGAGTAAAATGTAATAGGACAAGCTCGCAGGCTGAAGAAGAATATCTGTATTTGTTGTACGGAGACCAACCCAGTTGGAGAAAATATACTTTCTATACTACCTAAAGTTTTGTAAAGACATACACAAGCAGAATGGGAATTCGAGTACAGAAGCAGCAGAAGCAAACTTGTTTCTTTGCTCTTCATGATTTAGTCTAGCTCATGGTGCCTGGTTCAGTTTTTTTTTGCAATTTGGTCCATTTTTACCAAACTCATGTTTCTCTTGGTCTTTAGCATCTTCTAAGCTTCGACAACACGTGTTGTAAAATAAAGGTTGTTTGAGCAAAAGGCGAAGTGAGGGAATGCATTTTGATTGGAAGGAGTGAAACCTTTTTTCGTTTCTGAAGAAGAATAATGAGAGCTCTAAATCGAAAAAAAACTTACTCTCAGTGAATCTTGAATACCCAAGAGGCTGAGAAATAGGTACATCACTATACTCTCAATTCTTGCACATTCATCCAAGTCATCTCACACAACTATCTTGTGGTACAAATGCATTAAACAAAACAAACCATGATGGGAAGAAATAATAAGTATGTTTACACCATAAGATAGCTTATTAAAACAAAAAATGGTATTGCTCAGATCTGAAATCACGTCTAGTTTTCTTTCTTGCTATTCACCACGACCAAAATGGAACTGTGTATTTTTTCGATGTAATGACCCACTTACTTCTTTCCATATATTTCAGTGAAACGACCCCGGGATTGCGGAGAAATTCAGCTCATGGGTCACTCGCGAAGCGGAGTTTATACCATTTTCCCCTCCATCAAGTCGGATAATCCTGCAGAGGTAAGGCAAACCTCAAACTTTTGCAATACACATTAGCTCCAACAAGGAGCACACAGCAGCTTACACAGATCGAGACCCAACAACCACACCTAATCGCTGTAACTGTTCAAGAACCTTGAGCTTATTATGTTACTGGCTCAAGAAGTTGAAGAGTATCATATCACAGACGGAAATCGATAGGCTGCTCATAGTCAAGGCCAAACTGCGCTTTGTGTGCAAATCCAATGATGATAAACAAGTTTTGTGCTCAAAATTTGAGTCGGAAGATTTAGTACCTGGACAAAATTATCATCCAACTTTTGTACTCTTTAAAAGAAAGCGAGACTGAGCTGGCACAACTTATTTACGTTTAATGCTCTATAATCATTCTTAAAGAAAGTCGAGCAAAAAGATTTCCTTCCTTTCACAAAATGTGCTGCTGTAGGATCACAAAAGATGTTTCTAACAAAGGGTTTCTCTCATTGAAATGGATGTATTTATTTTTGTAGTTAATACATTAAAATCTCTACCGAGAAGATAAACACAAGTCGCCCATGCATGTACACATGCCCTACATAAGCATATGTACATATGTATGAACATACGCACGTGCATTCGTCTCATTCTCTCATGGCTCTTTACGACTTTTAACAGCCTGAAAGTACACAATAGTACTTTCTCCTCTTTTATGAAGCATGCTTATTGTCATTGGTAAATTGGGAAAAACATCTCATAGAGTTTAATGTTTGAACTGTTTATATCCAAGTTTTTTAGTCTTCACGCCGCCTTTAGAACTTTCACAAACGGTGTGAAATGATCTATAGATCATTCCTGACCTTACAAAACTAGTTTCTGAGTAAAATTTAGCCAACCAACTTATTCAGTTTCGCAAATTAAAAAATTCTAGACAGATTGGATTCTTGTGCTTGCCAGAGAGACAGTCTGTAATTTCGCTGTTGTTTTGTATCTGTCTGTCTGCAGGTGTATTGTGACTTGGAAACTGACGGAGGAGGATGGACAGTGATTCAACGCCGGACAGATTCTAGAGAAAATTTCTACCGATCTTGGAAAGAATACCAAAAAGGATTCGGTTCTCCACACAAGCAACACTGGCTGGGCAAGTGAAGTTTGTGCTTGCATTTTTGGTTCTCTGATTTGATCTCGCTTTCCGTCAATTTATTTGTTAATGTGCGTAGCATACAGAGTTTTCTCCTTAAAAATTTATGAGCTTCTCAGGTCCATCATTATCGCGATAATGTTTAGGCTATGCCAGTAGGCACTTTCGCTCGTTTAATAATTAAACTCAAGCCATAAGATTGTATTGCAGTTGAAATTTTGTATATCATTCAATCGACCTCTAGTCCAAGCTTAAAAACTAAGACTTAACGGTGAAATAAAATTAGCTTTCTCTTTAACCATGTATAAATATGTAAAACTCAGAGTATTCATACATATGAATTCGTCTGCGATGAGACGCTTTACATTGAATTGAACTACACAGGTTTGGAGACCATTGCTGAAATTTCACAGTTTGGCGATCAAGAGCTGAAGGTTGAGCTCGTTGATTGGAGTGAAGAGCGGAGAGATGCCAATTACGCGTACTTCAGGGTTGCAAATGCAAGTGACAAATACCGACTCCATCTTGCCGACTATGTCTCAGGGTCGTCAGGTAAATGAATCATTTATATTGCCCACTGTGTAGCACTACTCCTTCATTCCCCACTGATGAAAGGAAAACTCACGAGCTGTTCACTCACGGCAAGCAAGGTAGCACTTAGATAACGAAGCGCAGAATTCCTTGATGAAAAAGACGCCCACTTCACTCTGCGTATGCATATTTCAGGTGACATTTGCACTACGCACGGTATAAATAAACCCAATTATTACTACAGAAGTGCATTACTTGAAATAAGTTCCTGCATTTTTGATTGTGCAGTGTATGACTACATAAATTAAGTAAATTGCAGCATATTTACTTATTTATGTATGCAGGACAGATTTAGCAACGTTACAATCTTTGATTTTGCAACTGACGGGAACGTTAAAACACATCAGGAAGGATAAGCTGTGCCTGCGTGACTTGTTTACAGTAATATGGCAGTTGTTAGAAGAGCAATTTTATGAGTTGTCACTACCCTTATCTCAGTTTAACGATGTACATGTATGGATTTGCTAAAATCGTTTATCCATTCCAGTCCAGATCCTTGTACGACACAGAGAGAAAGGTCATACACGTATATGTGTAGGTGTAGGTGACTAGGCCATATATCTTTTTTTGTATTTTGGGCATCAGTATTTTCGACAACGAGTTTCAGCGAAAAAATGTAAAAAGCTGGGGAAAACCCTTCCTTCTTACAACATGTGAAAGCAGTATTGAACATTGATATTGAACATTTCATTTCAAGTTGTTATTGAAGTTTGCAGGGATACGCAGACGTATACGTGTAGTACACATTTTACGAGGTGTTACTTAACCCACATACTAGCGTCGTTAATAAAATATTTATAAATTAAATTCCTGTTTTATTAGGTGACTCTTTGAGTTATCATAACGGGATGCAATTTTCAACAAAGGATCAAGACAATGACTTGGACCAAATGGTCAACTGTGCTGAAAAATATCAGGGGGCTTGGTGGTACAAAAATTGTCACTTTGTAAGATTGGAAATAGCTCTTTTTAGTGAGAAAATGTAGGTTTTCTGTGCAGTCTGATATATTATTCCTGCCCTACATTTTCCAGTCCAACCTCAACGGGGCCTACCTGGGTGGAGGATCTCGTGGAAGGCTCCAATCCTACGGAACTGGATTAAATTGGTATTCTTGGCACGGATATTACTACTCAATTCAACGGACAGAGATGAAAATGCGGAGTCGGTTTCTACCAGCTTCCCTTTCGCCAAAATAAATTGTTTCTGCATGGTTTCCGATCTATACGTAGTAAATGGTTGAGCTACATACTTGCATATTGTACAAGATCAAGGTAGAATATTTGCAGATTTGTTGAGAGGTGGCTTATATGTAGATACGTAAACAATATCATTTTAAGGCTACTCTAAATAACTTGTGGTTGATATATATCGGTCCGCACCCAAGTTATAATATATTTAATATGTTTAGATATAAGTAGCATACGTATTTTGCACTCGTAATTACATACTCTTAATTACAGTATTAAAATTTCAACAAGGTTACGAATATGTACAAATGTCTCATGAATAGTGCATTCTGAATAATAATACAGTCAATTTTTTCCTGTAAGTCTTGCGTGAACGGTGGGCAAGATGACTCATTTACCAGTACCAGGATATTGTCTCGTGTTTCATAATATTGTTATTGCAGACGCAAGAGATCATACAGTTGCATAAATATCTCTGATTAGCGATGCAAATTTTCGTGATCGTTGCAATTATATTAACCACTACACTTGTACATGCTGAACTTCATTCGATGGTTGGCATAATTAGCAACAATAGTGCTATAATCGGAATAATTTTATCCATTCATGTATGTGAGAGAAATGCCAGTAACCAGAAACCATTAGATTATTGTGATGGCTTCCAAAATTCAGTAGACTATTGCTTTCCATAAAAATGTCGTTCGAAATTCAGAGGGGCACCTTTTCCAGGAGACTCCCACAGTTCGTTGCAGCAGGGTCAGGTGCATATTCAAAAATAAAAATACCTCAAAATTACACAAATAAACAATCATTTTAATGCACGTTTTTTATATTTTGTTCATTCAGCTGCATTGGGAGCCCTAGGTAATTGTTATTCACTTTCTTAATAAAAGTTGTTCGAATATCGAAATAGTCGAAATCGAATCGAATCGTCGAAATTTCGCTGATTTCAGTATTTATAATTAATAAGAATTTTAACAGCATTGGGGACTGTTGCTGGCTGGACATCTACTTCCTTGCCTGACATGAAACTTGAGCCAGAATTTATTCATGTGTCGAATGAATCATTTTCGTGGGTGGGATCCATTGCCCCTGTTCGTACCACCATCAATTATTACGATAACTTTGAACTCTATATTTAAGTGCTAATTTAATAAGCGCATGAGCATAACAAGGAGTTAATACTTCCCTTTATTCTCATGTAAAGATTGGAGCCTGCGTATCAGGACCCTTATCTGGCTTTCTTCTAGGGGTTATAGGTCGAAAAGGCACCATGTTATTAATTTCACCTCTGTTTGTATTGGGATGGCTCCTCATTGGATTTGCAACCAGTATTGACATGGTCTACGCTGGAAGGTTTCTCACAGGTTGTTTATTATTAAGTAGTTCCACATACTTGTCATCGAAATGATCGACATGACCTGATTGTCTTGACCTGCACTCTTGATTTGTATAAAAAAGGAGTTGGAGGTGGAACATTTTCATTAGTTGTCCCATGTTATGTAAGCGAATGTTCGGAAAGTTGCATTCGGGGCACATTGGGGAGTGCTTTGCAACTGATGATTAACTTTGGCGTCCTGATCGCGTATGATACTTGTTCATTATTACGCTTTCTCCACTGTACACTAAATTATTGTATTAACGAAATGGGTACTATGCAGGTTTACAGTTGGATATTTTGTGAATTGGAGTACACTGGCTTTTGTGAGCAGCTCGATTCCTGTCATTGTGTGTGGACTCATGCTCCTAATGCCCGAGTCACCTCGTTACCTTTTGATGAAAAAGAATAAAGTGGCTGCATCCAAGGCGTTGCAATGGCTTCGAGGGGCTACGTCTCACGAGGAAGTGATGGAAGAATTGAATTTGGTACTTGAACTTATCTCCATACGTGCTTGCCGTGAATGCTGCCCTGCACAATATAATGTTATGCACAGGTTCAAGCAGCAATTGAGGATGACAACGGTGTCACTTTCAGAGATTACCTCAGCCCATGCATTTTAAAGCCCGTCACAATTAGTTTGGCCCTCATGCTTTATCAGCAATGGAATGGAAATAATGCAGTCATTTTTTACACTGTTCAAATATTTCAAGCGGCCGGGTCTTCTTTAAATCCTAATATCGCCACAATAATAGTTGGAGGTATCCAGTCCATATTTTCAAAAGTCTTCAAAATCTCAATTGTGTTGGTTATTTATTTTACGGCAAAAAGAGTGAAACATGAAGAAAATGTCTCTCCTTATTACACAGCTATTCAAGTTATTGCCTCGATTGTTGCGGCTGCACTGATGGATAAGGCCGGACGACGAATCTTGCTGTTGGTATCCGGTGTGAGCATGACCATAGCATTGGCCGTGATGGGAGGCTTCTTCCAAATGAAGGAAGATCTCATGGACATTGACGACTTGGGATGGTTACCACTCTTGTGTTTAGTGGTATTCATTGTAGGATTTAGCTTGGGGTTTGGTCCGATTGCGTGGCTCTTAGCAGGTAAATATGTAGGAAAATACTATTAAATTAAACCACATGTATAAAAAGCATGCGATGTTGTGTAAGTGAGAATGACAAAGAAAGAAGAAATATTAAGAGAAATTTCACATTTTGAATGGAAAACATAGGAGAAATATTGCCATCCAAAGTTCGAGGAATTGCTTCTGCTTTGGCCACCTCTTTTAATTGGTTCAATGCTTTTGTTGTCACTAAAGCTTTTGACAACATACAGGTAAAAAAAATTAAACATTAGGAAATGTCCCGTCTTATTAGACAGATATGTACATATAATATCTAATATATAATATCAATTATTACAGCTAAGCATTGGAATCCAATGGTGCTTTTGGATATTCGCAATCATCACAGTTTTTGCAAATGCGTATGTTTACGTATGTGTACCCGAGACGAGGGGAAAAACTTTGGAAGAAATTCAAATGCTATTTGTACCAAGGAAGACGTATTCCTAGAATAATAAATTTTTATTTCATTTGATTAAACTGGAAATTTGACTCATAATTATTAAACCAATGACTTAGATTATAAATTTGATAATGTTTTCAAACTAAACATTGCTACCCGTCTTTCTGGTAGAACAAATCATTGGGACATTGTGAAATATATAGAATCATCCAAGTTTTCAACGCGCAACCCATCCACACAATATTATGTAGTAGTTGTAGTTTCACTATCCATTCCATACCAAAATATCCACTTCTATTTTATATATCACATCCTAAACAGTAATAATAAGCGTTTGCAAGGATTTTTTAAATATTACAAATAAAGTCATTACGACTTAGAGCAATATTGTTTTGTAATTAATTCATAGTGGGAAAATTCCAGTATCGTTTCGAACGGTTATAACATTTATTCAGCGATTGACGTTTGAGAAATACACGGCACGTTAGTTGACAAGAAGGTTCGGATGTGGAGGTGCTAAATTAGGAGGGTGTGCAGCAACAACCGGTGCAACTAGTGAATTAACAGGAGGGGTGATTACAGGGGATGGACGCTCATAGTTTACGAGTCTGCGACCCACCAAATACCTAATGAATCGAAAGATTTTAATTATGGCATTTGATTAATTTTATGTATTTTAGTATTTATTTTACAAAGTGAGATTAGATAACTTACTTGTCATTTTTTATATGCTCGTAGAGCTTTTTGAATTGACGAATCTGGAAATATATGATTCCAATAATACCTCCAATGATCAGGATGAAGGGATAAATTCTTCTTGAAATCGAGTTTTGCGTTGCAAAGTCCCTCACTAAAAAATTATAATTCATTAAATTAAATTGAATTAAATTTTATCCATTCCCCATCAAAAAACGTACCAAAGATAGGAACTAAGCTGTGACTTATCACATATGGAATAGACAGAGCGAGCCCCAACCAAACGATGCATGGTGCAGCAAGATCTCTGATAATAATATTCAAGTTCATGTTTCTAAAGCCGTCGTTATAAATCTGCAAGTAATACGATATTAAATAAGTATGGTCTTTTTTTATCAATACTGAAGAATTCCCAGGCATAAGAATTATTTACCCTCTCGAGCGTTCTTCTCAACCAAAAGTTTGGTGGAGTCATCATGGTTGTTGCACACGCGATTTTAACACAAAGTGTGCCCATAATCCAGTTTTCGCTAGCTACGTTTTTTTAGATAATGATTTTTAGAATTCGAGACATAAATACGTTCATACTACTTTATATTTACTTAGATAAATTGGTGACTGATGTAAAGGGACTCGCATCGGTGAGAAAAGGACCAATTCAAACAAAAGACCACTCAAGTATGGCACAACTCCAACCAACAGTCCAACAGCAATAGTTGCTTTTCCAACCTAAAGGATGACAGTAAATCATAAATACTTCAAATTTTCGCTACTTGCGTAATTGCTTTGTTATTTGAGCTTGCCGTGATGCTCCATCGACGAATGGTTTTCCAAATAACCTTATTACTACGAGGTAACCAAGTTCCAATGAGAATTCCCAAACGGATACTCAACCAGGTCAAATAAAGACCAGTAGCTGCTGTGTATAATTCGTGAATTGGTTCAGCTGAATTTGTGGCTGTTGTGAGCCAGTAACTCATTGCTATCCGCCCGATTCCAACTAAAAAATAGCATTACCTCAGCCTAGTATTCAGGAGCTATCCTGTATTTAGTCAGTCCTATTTTAACTAACCTGGTATTGTCAATACACTGACACTCGAAATTGTTAGCGTTGCGCACATTGATAAAATCAGTGCAATGATCTGTATTTCAGTAAACGTGGTCATCATAATTGGAGCATACATATAGGTATTTAAGTACAAGTTAAATTGCAACCTTAAGTGGGAAAAATGCCGGACGTTTATATTCCGTGAATCCTGTTGGGCTATCTCGTAAAAGTAGTGCTTGATGAGCTGCACCTAATCCACCTCCAGCAATGACAAATCCCAGTCCCCCACCAACAGCAGGTCCAGGATTTTGAACAGGATTATTTTCAACTTGTTCACCGTCGGCGTCAGGTTGCACTTCCTCGTTCGCATTATCGTCTTCGACATCAACATTGTTTTCGTCACCGTTGTTGTGATCATCCACGACCTCATATGCCTAATAGAAACATAAGTAAACCGATTTTTAGTTTCAATTGTAAAATTATACAATAATCTTTATCAAGTCACTCACAACAGGGTCGTCATCCTCCATTGGAACATCTCCAAGTAAGTATGAACGCAAATCAAGAATCCAAGATATTGCAATGCACCACCACTTTATTGAAGTTTTCATCCATTCCCGAGTATGACCTTGCTCCAACAACGCCTGCAAATTATATTTATTACTAGTGATTTATATGATTGTTAATTTTAACGATATTGTCATTGAACTAATTACCGGCATCATCACTTGCAAGAGAACCAGTTCCAAACTTAATTCATGAGCTTGTTCCCTAAATATAACAAACTGTCTTTATAGGATTGCATTGCTTTAGGATATCAGATAAAATTGTTACTTAAACGTACGTCGTAAAAACAAAAGTATATGGAAGAAACTTGGGTATTCCTTTTTTAATTATTCTAATCGGAAGCCAAACCTGTAAGAAGAAGATTATATGTTTTTAACTCTGACATTTGAACTTATCCATCCGCCACTTACCATCAACAGAACTGTTGTTCCAAAGATAATCATTGAAAATAGGAATCGACGTATATGCCGCAAAATTGGAAGATGGATCATCTACAAGACACATGTTTCAAAGTAGTTTTTATGTAAAATCCACCTGAAGAATTGCGTATTTTAAATATGTACATACTTCCTGAATAGGATTAAAATCGGGATCGTTGAGGTTCCGTAGGAAAAATAACACTCCGGGTCGTAGAACCTCTCGCAGCATCAGTATAAAGGATGCGAAATAGAAAACGTACACCATCCCAAAGAGCCAATGCATGACGAAGCACATCGAAAAAACACATCAAACCATCAAAACATCGAAATTGGGAATGTATAAAAATTGGAAGAAATGGTAATAAATTCATAAAAATTGAAATTATTGCGTAGAAATAAGCTAGGACGAGTACAGTATTTGATAAATGGACACCGATTATACATAATCAGAATTTCTGATTCAGAAATACAGTTCTTAGTGAAATAAAACGTTATAAAGTAAATAAATAAAATCAATCAAAATAATGAATATAATAATCATTATTAAGGGGTGAAAGTGGTGAAACCCCTTTATAAGATTGATATGTCCGTCCGTCGGTCTGTCCGCGCGATAACTCAAGAACGGTTTAACATATTGACTTGAAATTTTGAACATAAATACTTAATATAAAAACAAATGTCAAGGTCGAAGATGGGCACTGTAGGTCACACCCTTCCTGGTCAAAAGGTCACTAAAAGATCACGTAAGGGTCAAATTGCATGCATATGTCAATTTGACATGAAATTTAACCCCAAATTCAATGGTGACCTCCATTTTGACCTCAAAGGTCACGAAAGGTCACTCAGAGGTCACTGAAAGGTCGCTAAACATTATATCCATTATATCTGATACATATGTCAATTTACACTGACATTTAACCCCAAATTCAATGGTATTTTTACCTCAAAGAACATGAAATTGTTAAATGGCTGTTTGTTAACTGTTAACTGACACTAAATGTTAAATTTGATACATATGTCACGTCAATCAAATGTTATAAAGTTCTCGGTTTCACTCCTTAATAAAGGACATGCGTTTAACGGTTTATTATTATAATTATTAAGGGGCGAAACCCCCCTTTATAAGATTGATACATATGCCAATTTAATAGGAAATTTAACCCCAAATTCAATGGTGACCTCCATTTTGACCTCAAAGGTCAATGGGATTACAGAAAGGTCACCAACTGGTAAATTTGATACATATGCCAATTTTACAGGAAATTTAACCCCAAGTAGAAACAATGAATTTTCATAATTTCAGGGAAGTAATTCTGAGCAAAAAATTGTTTAATTTTTGAAATCGGGTTAAAATTCGAAAAGTGACTGCATTTTAAAAAATCAAAATTTTGGCTGAAAATTTATTTTAAAATTCTGCCACAGCCAAAAACACGAGAATTTTGGAAAACACCAAAATTTGGTTCCTCTTATTTCTGAGCTTGAGCAATTTAAAATTAGTCCGGTCAAGATCGAGATAACCACCTCACACATCTGCATTGTAAGCTCCCTTTGTCGCAACAATTTCTGTTTAGCAAGAATTCGTATTTCTGATTATCCACAATCAGTTACCAAGCCGTACACTCGTCCTAACTTATTCAAAGCCCGTCCTACTCAAAGGACTCGTCCTCAGCGCCTCTGCTTTGCGCTTAGGATCAACATTGGTGCTTACACATTGACGTTCCGGGAGCTTTATTGAAGCTGGTTTCGCGATCCTACAATATCGCAATTAATTATCAATTACTAGTACGGAACACAAACAATCCAGTAAACTGGATATAGTACTTAGGGCTAAACAGCAAGGGATCAGGGTTACTCCACCAGTTATGGTAGTGGAGGTGACTTCGAAAATCTATTTTTTTAATCCTCTGAGTATGTGTTGGGGGACCATAAAAGATGGGAAAAAATCATTGTCCGCGATTTTTTAAATTTCCATGGGCGTGGTGGGAGGGGGAGTGGCTTTTATTGAGATTCCACTTCTAGTTAGCGGGTATTGCACGTAGGGACTCCAAATTTTTTCATGCACATACCTTGGGACATTAGAATCGCGGCTTTTTTGCCCTAATTTCGAAATAAGCTGCATTACATGATGCAATACACAATACACATCATAAACTCAATGCTTCATACCAGCAGTTTTGTATGTGCGCAAATACCAAATATTAAAAAATAATAAAACTAAAAAAATTATTTATATTGACCCTAAAACAGCGCTATGACCTTCCGCTTTCATCTAGGGGGTGCGCAATTGATGCACAAGCATTCGTACCGCCATTAGCTTTCCAACGATACCCCACATGACGATTTTCAGACAAACCTGAGGTCTCGCGCCTTTTGACCTACACACGGTCACCGTGACCTTATTTCAAAATTAGGGCAAAAAAACCGCGATTCTAATGTCCCAAGGTATGTGCATGCAAAATTTGGAGTCCCTACGTGCAATACCCGCTAACTAGAAGTGGGATCTCAATAAAAGCCACTCCCCCCTCCCACCACGCCCATGGAAAGTTAAAAAAATCGAGGACAATGCTTTTCCCCCATCTTTTATGGCCCCCAACATATAATCAGAGGATTTCAAAAAAATAGATTTTCGAAGTCACCTCCATTACCATAATTCGTGGAGTAATTTCATTATACGGAAATACCAACCTTAAGCGTGGAATCGAACAGGTTCAACGAACATATATCGAGCCACCACCCGCATACAAGGGGAAATATTCTGAAATATTTGAAAAATTTATACAAAATCTAAAATTTATGGTCGATTCAAAAATAATAGAACAGCGGCCAAAGTAAGTAAAGCTAAATGGCCAACCTCCCCAAAACTAATAACATGTAGAGTTTCGAAATTAATTTCACGGTTAGTTCTTGATGGATTTTCAAAATTCCGCCCGTTTTGGAAACCTTGGACCTTTGTGCGAAATATACATTTCAAATTTTTGAAATTTGACCAAGCTACCGGTCCAGGTCACAAGGTCAAAAAAATCAAACGACACTTCTGTATCGAATTTCAAAATTCTACGTCGGGTTTCGAAAGATCTGGGTACAATTCTTGGCGGATAGTCATCGTATACAGCGATTATCTGGCCGCACCCTCTTTTTGGATCAAAGTGGGAGTGGTCAAAGAGCCAGTCCAAACAATTAAAGTGGAAAAAAATTCCAACCACCGTGATTTCTGAAACTCAACATCGCCATTACACATAATATTGATGATGTACCCCATCCGAACGACATGACGTTATCGTTGACCCCTTGGCGACAAAGGGGTGTGGCCATCGCAGAAGCGCTGTGGCCAGCGCTTCTGCGAACACTCAATTCATGTATGGCATGCGACATATGATTCTTCTCAGCTCGATGAGAAGATCTCGGTTTAATATTTGAAATTTTGAAACCACACCAACAGTGGGTGTGGTCATTAGCGACTTATCAATTTTAACGAAACCATGTCATGTTACATATCATTTTTCTCAGCTAAATGACAAGATCTCAAAATCATAATTAAAGTTTGGAACCCCACCCCTTGTGGGTGTTTTTCTAAGCGACGTCATGATATTATGATATAATGTATATTTCGTACAAAGGTCCAAGGTTTCCAAAACGGGCGGAATTTTGAAAGAAAAATTCATCAAGAACTGACCGTGAAATTAATTTCGAAACTCTACATGTTATTAGTTATGGAGAGGTCGGCCATTTAGCCTCCCGAGAATTCCCGTAGTCTTTCTGAATGAACGATAATGAATGTTAAAAATGTTTTACCCAATTTCGACAACAGACAAGAGGCACACTTTCACCACGACGTAACAAATGCCCAAGACTTTTTTAGATCTACGGGACACAGATTCGTAAATGACATGATTATTATATACTTCAGTAAATTACATGCTTTGCTTATTATTGGTAAATAAAATTTTGATAGGCTAAAACTTACTTTTTTGAACGGCATATGGATGCTATTGCATGAAGAACCACCAATACTATTCCAACCACACAATACCCGCAGAGAGTAACCAACAGGCCTTCAAAATGTTGCACCTTGACTTTTTCTTGAAGTTGCAATGCGCCAATGGTAAACTGGCCGATATGGTAAGGGCAAAATTCTGTAGAGAACGATAACAATTTAACAGTTGAGAATTGCAACAATGTACATTGCATGTAAGGATGATAAGAATTCACATACCAAAAATCAAAACAAATAGTGTATTTAACGAAATCACCCAGCATACGTGTTCGACAAAAATCAAGGAACCATCAAGTCCCAGCAGTCTTTCCCATGTGAGCTCTGCAAATTTGCCAATATTATATAATATTATTGGTCTAGCTAATGGTTTTTTAGTTTCAACGTAACTGACGTATAATAATAATAATCTTTAGTTAAGAACTTAAGAGCCAGATAACAACTACTTAGATTGAAAGTTATTACAGCTTACATCACCAAAAATACATGTATGTGTACCTTCAAATCCTTCTGCTGCTCTGTCCCATTCAATCGGATTCCAATTGGCGTCATCATTGTTGGCATTGTTCGCAACTACAGCACCAGCATTTTGAGCAGCTTCATTGTTATTGTTGTTATCATCGTTGACCGCCCCTTCAGGAAGTGCATCTTCGAATTCCCCCTCTTCTTCAAGATTTTGGTTTCTGTTTTCATCTTCTTCATTTACAGCTCCTCCATCTTCGTGCACAACGTCAACGTTTTCCTAAAAAATACATCACAACATTAACTAATCGTTCACATGAAATAGCATTAGTATTAAATCCGTCAGAAATTATATCATTGTACCTCTTGTGCCGCCTCCAGCCAATCAGGACCTCCTCCATGCATAATATGCTCTCGAAGCCAGACCTATACACAATACACCTTATAAATATTATAGCACGTATAACCTTTGTAACATTAATTTAACTTTCTTCATTTTATAAGTATTTCTTCAATATTTACTACACTATTTCTTTTCTTACCAAACTTATGAAGAAACAGAGGGTGCACGTAACAACAACGCATCCATTAAATACATCCGCGACGAGATTATCGCTTAAAATAACAAAAAATTAGTTTCACTACAATTTCCAGTTGTTTGCAAATATTTTTTTTAAATAGTTTTTACTTACGTGGAAATGAGGTCCAAAGGCAACGATAGGACAGAATTCATAGTGCCAGTAAATAAACTTCTGTGTATTCGACACGCAGATAAAGGTACTGCAACTAGCCAGGCCAAAGCTACAAAAGTGTAATGCACCCAAAAACGTACTGCCGTGGCCACACTTTTGAAAAGTCCCATGATAACTGCAATTTGAATTTTTTCCCTCTTTATATTTTGCTGAAGAAACAACAGGTACATAGGTAAAGTAATTACATGTTACTTTATGCTTACCATCTTGTATTGGTAGTCTTTTTGGCATGTCTGGTGCATAAACTAAGTGAACAATATTATGGTTTACATAAAATGTGGGAAGATTTCTGAAAGTTCTATAGTAGTAGAATTAATCTTATTGCTTACTTGGCTGGAAGGAAAATCTGTGATTGCATAGTTCGCAATATTCTTTTCGACTGTATCTTAACCATTGAACCAGACCTGCAAAATGGGAAAATGGGATATCAAATTAAGGAGATTATCAATGTTGTTTCTCATATTTTTCACAACTTACACTCTTGATGGATGTATTTGATACTTCCTGGAATTAAAGAGTATTATTAATTTCCCACTTTCATTTCTAACACTGTTGCTTTCTTGCAAAACTTCAACAAAACTTACCGGTACAAACACATGGATAAAACAATGGACGGTCAGGGGCTGCCTCTGACCTACAAACGCGACAAATATCTGTAATAATAAAAAAAACAATAAAGTCCAATATTAGTATCCAAATACAATTTTACACAATGAATTGATTATTACCTGGTTGGTCATCCATTTCACCCGATCTCACAGTGATTCACTATATTACATCAAAATCAGGATAAGAAACCCTAATTTCGTTATGCAGTGGTTGATGAAACTCTGGAGATTCTATAGTGTTCCCCCAACTCTGTCACATACACACACACTTACGGAATAAACAGAAATTTAGAAAATTTTATGTCCGATTAATGATTAGTCAGTTTAATATTTTGTGATGGAATGAGCTTACGAGCTCATGCACACCGAGGGAAGACACCCTTAGTCAGTTCATTGCGATTTCTCAAAGAACAATTAGTGAAAATTTGTCAATTTTATGTGGAAATTTGGAGGAATTCATTTTGTTTTCATTTTATTGTGAGTAATAATGGATTTGATATGGGAGATAAGGAGAATCCCAAAACAACTGCTGCTGGAAAGGCAGAGTCAAAGTGGACCGCGACTCCACAGTCTCACAAATCCCCAATCTATGCTCACACGAGCCCCACCCGTACGCCCAGTCCGGTGAAAGTTGCCAATGACAACTTACCATTGAACCCATTTTTACGGCTTCTTCCTGGGGAAATGGGGGGAACTTGTTGACCTTGAGGGGATGGGAGCTTCCGGGGTCTTTGGGGCCGCTCTATCATTGCAACTTGGTAATGTCTCTCCCATGACGCTAGTTAAAAGATCCAACTCTCACCGTGTACTCTTATTGTCAAAGGTGTTTCAGTTTTATTAAGGCTTACCCTCACGCTCGGAGGAGAAGTTGGAGTTGGGGCAGTCTTCCCAGTTTCATCCTTCTCTCTCGCTTTGCAGAATACATGGAATCACACATCTCGGAACTTCGCATCGACCTTGTGGGGGGGAGGAGTCGACCTCAGGGAAATGCATCCCCCGGTGTTTAGAATTTGCTTTTCTGCGTCTGATGGTATTTTTTTCAAATTTTTTGGACTGGCGCAAGGTACTCTTATGCCCCTTACCATCAAGTGATGTAACCTTATGTAGACTGGTAAGGGGCATAAGAGTACCTTGCGCCAGTCCAAAAAATTTGAAAAAAATACCATCAGACGCAGAAAACCAAAATCCAAACACCCTAGGATGCATTTCCCTGAGGTCGACTCCTCCCCCCCACAAGGTCGATGCGAAGTTCCGAGATGTGTGATTCCATGTATTCTGCAAAGCGAGAGAGAAGGATGAAACTGGGAAGACTGCCCCAACTCCAACTTCTCCTCCGAGCGTGAGGGTAAGGCTTAACACAACACGTTGATAAATATTTAAACATTGATAATTATACTCTTATTCCGCACCGATATGAAAAACGTGTATGAAAATGAGAAGCATAAATATTCCATGCAATTAGATAGGACATATGCATAATGTACGTAGGTGTTTTATTATTAATTTTCAAAAGGTATGTTCCGCACTGTTTCTCACCAAAATTTTGATGAAAGAACAAACTTCAAATACATTTAGGAGGCTGTGATTTTTTTCAGCTCTGTGGGTTAGCATAAACACTAGCAATAAATCGGCAAACTTTACCTCGACGGAAAAAATGCTAGATTTGCAAATTAAATATCGTAGTGTGATTTAATTTTTAATGCTGGATGGGCAATACGTGTCGCAGATTTATGATTGAATGCTTAAAATTTACGATGAAAACTGCCCAACACAAAACACAAATTCAATTGGGTTAATAATTTTAAATGATGGCGAAACGAGGTCTCGGGCAAAAAGTCGCCAGGACGCTCAAAATCCGTTTCTTCCACAGAAAGGCTCCGGAAACTAGAAGAACCAATAATGAGAGATCCGCGATTGAAACTGTCCTATTTAGCAGATGAGATGGGTGTTCCAAAACCAGCAATTTGTTCCATGTTAACTGAAGACTTAGGTATGAAAATGGATTCCGTCCGTTGGGTACGAAAATTGCTTTCGGCATCTCAAAAACATGATCGAGTCGACTTTTGCAATGCCAATTTTAACCTATTAAATGAAGACTTGAACCTGCTCAATATTTTATTAGCTAAATATGGTACCTGAGTTTACTATTATGACCCGGTGACCAAATAATAATTCCCTCAATGGAAGCAGGAGGGGTTGCCACCGCCCGAGAATTGAAAAGTGCAAAAATCTGACAAAAAATTGATGATGACCATTTTCAAGGATATCAAAGGTCCCCTCCTTATAAAATTTATTGCTGGAAATACTACAATAAATGGGGCCGCGTATGCAGGTACCCAGAAGGAGCTGCGTCCTCCGGTTGAAAAGAAACGTGGGGTCAAAATATAGAGTTGGCCTTTTTTTAGACGACAACGCTCCTCCTCATACCTGGCTTTTTGCGAGGGATAGTGCAGACGAAAATCGCTTTACCTGCACAAACCACACCCTGTGCAGTTCAGACTTGACCCTTAGTGATTATTATTCGTTTCGAAACTTCAAGAAAGACATCAGGGGAAAACGGTTTTCGGATGATAGTGATATGAAGTCGTAAATTTTGGCATATTTTCGAGGTAAATTTTAATGGGTTATTGCTAGTGTTAATGTTAACCTACAGAACTGAAAAAAATCACAGCCTCCTAAATGTATTTGAAGTTTGTTCTTTCATCAAAATTTTGGCGAGAAACAGTGCGGAACATACCTTTTGAAAATTAATAATAAAACACCCACGTATAATGCTACCTTACTAAGCAGATGAACACTAAATTCACAAATTGGAACGAATATATACATCAAAAATACCCCTACTAAATAGGTGTAAATATGTGCTTATGTAGAACGATCAGATACACTGATTAAGTAATGGCTCAGATGCGGGAAAAATTCTGTGCAGGATGGCTTTCTTACTTTCTGGTGTTTTGCATGCTATGAGGGATTGACATGACGTAGTGAAGGCAAGTCGTCTGTCTCCAATGAAACAGACAATGAATCAGGGAAAGCTTGAGAGATTGATGGAAGTCACCTTTCTATCCAAGTCAAGGATGGATTGGATTTAGAAAGTGTCCCCTCGCTCCAGTGTGACAAAGCATTTTAAGCAGCACTAAAGGTAAATTGTCTCTTGAATGAATGATGCTCCACCCGTCACATCTTTCATTCTCCAGCAGAAGACGGAGAAAATTCGTGGCTTTGCATGGATTTGTGTGGGGCTTGGCGTGTAGCAGTGCGTGCATGTGAAGATACATGTACGGGGAAGGTTGTCGCATTTGTGAAAATCCAAGCATTTTCTGACTCTTGAGAGAAGTTGTCGGAAAATGCCCATATTACTCTAATGCATGTCCCACATGCATATATTGGTTACAAGAAGAAGAAACACTGTTTCTGAAACAGTTTGAGTAATGAACCCAAATCTAATGTATGCTCATCAAATTATCCTCCCGGTTCCGGTCCCTGTACAAACACTTGACTTGACAATCTCACTACCAAACTCGAGATGCGAGACAAATACACAAATCTTTCCCATTCTGCTGCGTGCTACCCGTGCTACCTCTTTCCAGTAAGAAATTGCCTGGAAGAAATAGTCGGCATTTCAGCCAAAGGATAAGACAGGAGAGGGAATTATCTTGTAATGTTGTAAAGATCGAGTGTTCCCATTTGTTCCCATTGAGTGCATATGTATACATAATACTACTTACTGGCCTTAGTCATTCAAATCAAACTCTTTTTCTCGGATTTAATTTGCTTGCACAAGGCGTTAAATTAGGTTGAATTCTCAATTTTCGGATGAATCTTTGAACCGATTTTGACCAGCTGGTCAAAATTGCGTCAAGGTATTGGATTAAAATCGGTTAACCGATGGAGGCGATTTTTCAAATTTGCTGTATTAAGCAAAAAATGCAGATGGAAGTGTCAGAAAGGAATATAAAGTCAAATACAAAAAATTCGGCTGGAGTTAACCTAACGTATTTAATGTCATATAAGGATACTTCATGGTTCGGACTGAGATTTTACATAACAACACTAATTATTATACGTTACGTTGTTTTTTGCAAACGAGTATTGTTCCATCTTTCGACATTTTTCTTCCTCTTCTATACGATCCTTGTGTCTGCCTGATGCCAAATGTGTGTTGAAATCTTTTATGAAGGAAAATGCAAAATTGCATTCCAAACAGACATATCCAGACATATTAGTAATGTTTTGGTGTCTTGGAGTCTGGAGATGAAGTGTCCAATGACTCAGTTTGTTTATGCAACATGACACTCCACGCATTTGAACTGTCCGACCATCGGCTTGGTACCACATGTTTTGATGTGGTTGTCGAAAAGAGACTTCACATAAGTGTGGAAAGGGCATACAGATCTTGGGCATCGAAGCATTACGAGTGGTGGTTGTGGCCCCGTACATGTCTTATTATGCTTATTAATATCACCAACAGTATGAGCCCTATACCTGCAGGATAAGTTGCATTCGTAAGGCCGTTCACCAGTGTGAAATCTTACATGTATTGTTAGATCAGCAGGACACTTACCCTTATAGTCACAATAAGGACATTTCAACGACACATTTCGTGTAACATCAGGTACATCGCAGTTAATTAGTGGTGCGTCAGTTACTACAGGATGTTCGTCTGTCGCAACTCTAGTAGAACACTTGATATTTATATGATCACTTAGAATCATGTTGGATAAATTGTAGAGAGGCACTGCAGTTATATTAAACTTTTGAAACGATAATATAATCCAAAGTAGAAAGTGCCATTGGATTTTCAGATGAGCACGTTGGTCCAAAACGTGTAAATATATGCGCTGGCCACAACTTATCTGATACGTTCAAAAACCTGTGCTTTATAAAAATCCGTTGTAGTTGGTCGAACATCCTTGACCTATCATCAACTGATTTCTTTTCTTTCTGCATATTAAAATCTCCAACCCAGACTGTACATTTATCCTTTAGTCTAGATGACATCGAATCAATGGTTTTCGCCCACTCCTGTCGCTCAGCAGCACGATTCACACGTTTTGAATTGACAGAAGGGAAATATATGTTAAGAAAATAGATTTTTTCGTCGATAAAGCTGTTGCTCACTTCGACCATCATTAGTCTGCTCAGATCAAGGGGGGTCTTAATCTCAGTGTATGTGGTTTTTAAATTTATTTGCGTCACCTCGACATTTTTATAAAATACACAAACACCATAATTCCACCATTTTGTATTGTGTGGGCTCCGTACACTGGGTTGGAAAATACAATCATATCCAAATGGTTTGACCCATTCCGTAACTTCGGCTTCTTTCAGAGGATTTAATTTAGTTTCTTGTATGAAAACTAAATCGCTTCCTTCCCAAGTTGGCATCATGCATTTTATTTTTACTTCATCAATTCCATTTGCATTCCAACTATGGTATACAAGCGGTGGTTCATCACTCAATTTTTGTCTTTTCGTCATACTAGAAGTCATTTTGTAGGGCACAAAGCTTTATGAACAAGATTTTATGTCCCGAACGCAGCAGTTTTATATCCGGGCTAAGCAATTTTATTTAACCCGCACAAAGCAGTCATTTGTATACACCGCACAAAGCAGTTATTGTATAAACCGCACAAAGCAGTTATTATATAAACCGCACAAAGCAGTTATTTATTTATAACTGCACAAAGCAGTTCCGAATTAAAAATTATACACTTAAATTAAATTAAATACTTAAACTATTTACAAAAATAAAAATAGTGGGTTGGTGAAAGCCGAGGTGAAAAGTGAAGCCATATGACTTTGATGACACGCTCCTAAAAAAACAAAACAAATTAATTGTCATAAATATAATTATTTTCCTTACCTAGCTGTTAATTTGAATTAAGGAATTATAGATGAAATTTGCCTCGATTCTTACTAGCTGTAACCAAAAACGAAAAGCTCACCACAGGATGAATAAGAATCCAGAGTACTCCGCTCCGTTGAAGGAGATGATGTCCTTTTAATTACTGAAATAATACTAAAAATAATAAGTTTGTTAATCTGGCTTAATTGGGCAATTTAAATAATAAAAAACCAACTTTGACGAACACCAGCGAAAAGAAATCAGAATCCAAAGTGTACTGCTCTGAGGATTTAAAGAAAATCTGCATATTCAACTAAAAATTATGATGAACCTAGCTTTACTTCAATTTGATAAGAAAAAAAGACAACTTACTTGAAACAATGTTCGATGAGGAGATTGCGGGGAGAAGTTGAAGACGACCACAAGGAGTTTGATTTCTGTATAAAATACATGAGTAATTATTTTTTAAAGTACTTATACATTACTTATTAATTAATTGATAATTAATTAAAAATTACCAGAAATTGTCTTGTCGATGAAAGAGAAAACGATCACCCTGCAGATGTGTTGAGTGAGTGAGTGAGTGAGCTAGCAGCAGTGGTGGCTAAACGTTATTAAGAATTAGAGTTTCAGAGCCCGCCACCACTGCTGCTAGCTCACTCACTCACTCACTCAACACATCTGCAGGGTGATCGTTTTCTCTTTCATCGACAAGACAATTTCTGGTAATTTTTAATTAATTATCAATTAATTAATAAGTAATGTATAAGTACTTTAAAAAATAATTACTCATGTATTTTATACAGAAATCAAACTCCTTGTGGTCGTCTTCAACTTCTCCCCGTAATCTCCTCATCGAACATTGTTTCAAGTAAGTTGTCTTTTTTTCTTATCAAATTGAAGTAAAGCTAGGTTCATCATAATTTTTAGTTGAATATGCAGATTTTCTTTAAATCCTCAGAGCAGCACACTTATTTATGTCTTGATCTGAAATAAATTGCAGCAATTTATCACTTCCTTCGACAGAGCGGCATACCTTGGATTCTATTCGTTTTGTGCTTCTTCTTCGTTGTTAGTTGTCCTTTGGAGGTAAGTTATTATTAATAAAATAACACCATAAAGCTAGGTTAGCAAAGGGTTAAAACTATCTCTTTTTTGTTCCGTCTGAGATGGATGATTATATAGAACTTAGCTACAAGGGACAAGCCGGTGGGCTTCGTCGTGCTATCCTTGGTGATTCTGGTCGAGGATCATTTAGAGGCGGGAACCGTGGCCAAGGCCGTGGGTTTGCCGGTGGTCGAGGTGGCGGATTCAGGGGAGGACGCGGCGTTTCTGGAGGAGGTCGTTTCCGAGGAGGTCGTGGTTGCGTCACCAAAAAAGGTTGAATTTCCTTATTATTCCTGATCATTTTCTTATTTTAATACGAGTAAGTTTTGATTTATTTCTTTGCAGAAAAACGGAAATGCGCACGTTGTAAAGAACGAGGTCATCATGCAAAGTAAGCAAAAATAGTATTACAATCAATTAATCTATTGGTTAACTTTATTCTTTATTTGAATTTTAGAATGTGTCCATATTCTGAACAAGAATCCCAGAAGAAAAATGCTGCTGCTCTACAAAAGCACGCGGATGAAGCTGTTGCGGTTGCTTCTAAAGCCGCCGCCACAGCTGCAGCCACCACTTCTTCTAGTGCTACTTCTGATACTACTTTTCCTGCTGTTTTTAAGGCACCATTTGCAGGATGGAAGCCAGGCTTCATTATGCCTGCCCCACCAACTCATAATAATGATGTTAACATGGGTTAATTTTATTTTTACGTACCTCTATTATATATAACCACCTTGTTTTATTCTAAAATAATTTGTCAACAAGAATTTCCAATCATTTCTTTATAAATAAAAACAATTGACATTAACTTGAGCCCAGATTTATCATTTTTGCAACAAACAGGTAAAAAATATCACTAACTATGCATTTACCCCACCCCAAAAAAGTAACCATGTACGATAACTTTGGCATTTGGATGAAATTTGTCGGCGATCATTCCTACGTGATTTAGAGTTTCATAATTTAAACAAGCAGAAATGTTTTAGAAAAAACGGTCTCAGGTGAGGCGTGTGTCAATGGCAATCACATAATTAATTGGTGATGGTCATCAGTATAAGTACTGGCAGATGCCACCAGTAAAACTTGTTCATTTATCAACCGATTAACTCCGGATTTGTTTTAAATGAACCCTGATTAGATGCCACGCAATAATTTCTGCTCAAATCACTATATTCATTCGGCACAAGTTGGCCAAACGACGATTTCAAAGTTTAAAAACCATTTTAAATACGCTCAAAGTAAATTTTTTGAGCGTTTGACCTGAAAAGGCAGTGCTCATCATTGAACCCCGCAACTTTTGTTTTAGAACTTTTTTGACACGACAAACTGTTTGAGCTGTAGCCAGGTGGGATTTACTGAATTTGGCCCGTAATGCAAAAACTTTCAAAATTTTTACTTGGCTGTACTTAAAAAATTACCCTACAGCGTAGGTAGGGTTGGATAAGGATTGGTGGTGGTGGCCGTTCGCTTCCTTCTGGAATACATCTTTCTGGCCGCATTAAGTCAATTTGAGCCAACCCCTTAACGCCTTGTAAGCAAATAAAATCCGAGGAAAAAGGAGAATTTGATTTGAATTTGAATGAGTACCCATACACAAACCCACGCTCTGGAACAAGTAATCGCTATCCTCTCGAGAATTCTCCCTTTTAACTCTGAATTTGTTCTCATTTCACATTCACATCGGATGGCGATGGCATGCAAAGTGTATAATAAATGCGTAACAGTCACACGAAGTAGATCCTGTTGAGAATAAGGCCTATCCATGGCGTCACATGAATATACATGCATAGATACGAAAACATGCATGTGTACTGGGTTTGTGATCTCCAGTTTGGTCTCATACCGTCATGATGGAAATGTTTCTCCAGTTTACATTTACCCTTCTTGAACAACAATTTGTGCATGATACCCAAATCATTATAAAGCTGTCACGCTTCTAATCTTTTTGACTTTTTTGGCACAGTGACACGACACGATGGTATTACACTGATGAGATGATGCCACCGGTTAACAAAAGTGAAATGGGTTTCAAATTTCATTCTGTGTTTCCGCATATGCACATTCTCACTGCGACTACACTGCTACTGGGAAAAGGCTGTTTAGACATGATCTGTTTTATGGGCAGTAGTACGTCCTATGTACACATTATGTAGTACATGGGAAACAAGCGCTTCTGAGTAGCATATAATTTTATTACAACATCCCCGCGTCTAGTGCCATCATTAAGAGTATGTTCTTTTGAAAGCGCTTTTTTCTTTGGAAAAGTATAACCTCATGAGACTTTGTTGGAATCGTTTAGTTGTTGTCGTATGCATACCTTGTGCCTGTGAAGCAATTGTGGAGCATAATGTGAGTGAATGGTATGGTGGGCAAGATAATAAAAATGTCTTTAATAAAATGAGCAAGGCGAGCGTTCGTTGGTTCCCTCTCGTTATTAAACATGCTCGGATGAGGAGGACGAGAAAGCCTCTGTTTAAATTGTGGTAGTTAGTTAGCATTGTGTTGTGTGAGACAAAAGAAAGGGTCGTGGCAATAATAGGAATGGGTCTCTCCGAATTAAGTACACTCAACCCTCCTGAGAATCGCATGACAGAAAAATGTATCTTTTTATCGTGGCAAACTGTCGAATTTGGTGACTTTCCGGGCTTCTTAATGCGACCGAATAAATGCTGACTTTCTAAAAAAAACTAGTTGCAGAAGAACAGCGACGATACATCAACCTGGCTCTCATCTACCCTAGCCCGACTCGGGGATGATAATATTATCTTTTTCTTCAGCAAATTAAGCTCCCTTTTTGGGAAATTACGTTAATACAGAAAAAAATGGATGGGGGAAGAGTGTCGTAAAGCATTTATTATGCTGGGCTTTAGCTAATGTACAAAAAATTAGGTACACCTGTGGATCAGTTCCTTCAGTTACACTAATTCGCTTCACCAGCAGCAGCGAGATACGTACAATGCTTTCCCCCGCTTCATTTAATCTAATTGCGAGGCGGATACAAAGTCTCCATTACGCAAATTTTTCTCATTTTCTTGGATTAGTGAGACCCCACTCGCTGGCGACTATACACGTATTATTATTACTCAATTCCAAATATTATGCACGAAAAATGGTAATGTCACAAACTCCAAATGCTCATTTATTTTGTGGCAATATAAAAAAGTCTGCTTATAATTTTGGTTGAAAAAAGCTGTGGTGTCTTCTTTTTAAAGTGACCAATGCCACTTAAACCAGGGTTTCATTTTCGTAATACATAGCTACCAAGCTTTGTTAGAAAGATAATAATTTGGTTGGTAAAGGTGCATTTAATAATTATTTTGGGGCAAGATGTGTGTATCACGCTGCTTTCCACTTTCACAACGTGCAGATGCTAAATATTTAGGGGCGAAGAATACTTAAAAATATGGATGTCTCAACAACATGTCATTACGTTTGGACCTTTCACAATTTAACAAAAGTGCTTTCTATAATAATCTATAAACGTATCGCACAGCAGCTGGAGTTTTCCCATGTCAAATGTATAGATTTTTCTCAAATAGTGTCTCTGTTAATATGTTAGCAAGGTTGACACTTTTGTGTTGCTTTACATGTATGGTACTCGAAACTTAAGAGAAGGTATCGGGATGAGTTTATTGGGTTATCTCTTCATTCTTCGCCTATTATGAAATGGAAGGAAAGGTGTGACTGTTCCACAGAACATTACCCCTAAAGATTTTATCAATACAAAATGCAGTTGTTTCGTTATAGCACATTGGAAGTATGTATATGATGAAGCTTCAGCGTATAATAAGGATATCACTGGGTAGAATAGGAAAAGAAGAGCACAAGGGTTTTGTTTGGCAGTTTCCAAAACCACATGCCATCGGAGGTGATAAATGACGCACAAGCCCGTTTCATTGGATCAATAGGATTTAAATACATCCGAAACCACCCGTGATGGCAATCCCAACACTTTTATAGACAGTTCAGATCTCAAGAGGGAATCTACCATGAAAGAAAATAATTCATTTAGTTACGACTACATTTAAGGAAGCTGAAGCCCCAACAATATGTGTGTGGCAAGAATTTGTCTCTGTGTGGCAAAAGGTGACACAAGTCACAGAGTTGATGCCGGTAACCAAACAGATAATTGTTCTAAATGACAGCAGCGATTCAGAGAACATCTTCACTTTGCACAGAGTGATAGTTATTTTCAGTATTTTAGAGTCAGCTTCCACTCAAATTGAAAGTTATTGAATGAAAACTTTGAAGAATGGAGATAAAATGGATTATTGTCCACTTTTGACTCCATTCGAAAGTCGACTCATTGTCAGCTTTGGGTCATGCGGAGAGTATAATTTTTCTTTTTTATTGTATATTAGAAATAGATACTTTAATACCAATGCCACACGCCAAACATATTGTCTGACCAATACGAAAGCCAAATTTTGTGCGGGATTACATGGGCGAAGCCGAATTTTACTTCATATTCAACAGACAGGCACTGATTTATTTGAGACTCTCAAATTAAGACTTTCTAACAATCTCAATACACACGTCCCATTTCAGCTTTGCTGTTTCGTCTTGCACTTTTAATACTGGTGTCAACGGAAATATTTGAGACATGGGGCCTTCCCACTTGTAGTATGCATTAGAATCTTCTTGGTTAGCGGCCTACACACAAATTTCATGAATCTTGAAACTACAAAGTATTACGCCAATAAATAACAATTGAACAATAATTTCAGGCGTACTGTGATTTTACAGCTGTGGTTTACTGTTGGGCTTGAAGTGGCGTAATACGGGTAAACCACCGTCGACAACTCGAAAATTGGCTGACGTAGTGACGAGATCCGGAAAACTGTTAGAAATACATCTTCGCCTTCTCGAAGATACGATGGGATGTTTTTGTAGGTTTTATCTCCACAAGTTTCATTGACTATTATCACGAAAAAATAATGCTTCTAAAATTGTCCAAATATTCAAAATGTTTATGTAAACGTATAAAATCTCTGTTTCACGGTACCTATGCATTTTCTCTGCATGATGATTTCCGACACGTTGTATTCAATATTTGAATTAGCATTCGGAGTCATGAAATGAACATTTTCAAAATGTTCAAGTATTTTGGTTAATTGGACGCTTTGGCTGCAACAAGGCACCAGACATATCACTTCCCTGAAAGACACCATGATTTTGACCTTTATATGATATCATATGTACAGATTTACATATACATATATTATAGCACAGACCTCAAGATGCAAATTTCTTCGTGAGCTGCTAAACATTCTTCATCGTCCTTAAACCACGCTTCCATGCAACCTTTTCCGTCATCTTTAAAGTATTTGCATCGGACGACGTATTTTTCAAGAAACTTTTCACTGACACCACTTCTCGTTGCACAATTAATCTCCTCTTGGCAATCCGGGTCCGGGCATAAACTGAGGCTCGGTCGACATTGATTGCACACCAAATGCCAATTTTTGCATTGCATAACAGGAGGATAAGCTACTTTTTGACACACGAGACACTCTACTTTTCTCAGCTTGGAGTTGCTCATATTAACAGACCTGCATGTATACAAAAACAAATTAATTATAAAGTTTGGGATAAATATGGCACTCGATCAGTTTGACTTTTAGTTTATATATGTATTCAATTAAAATAGATAACGCTTGACCACAGTGATGAATTCTTCATACCCGTTTGTTGTCGCCATTTCTAAAAAGAGAAAACGAATTAATTATGTAATTCACTTTTTCACTGTTAAGTAGTCTTATGCTTTACCGGCCACACATTGTACGCAGGCAGCAACTAACAGCATGTAACTGATTATTTGAATCCCGTTTCATGGGAATGCGAGGAAGCCTGTAGACTATATTTACATACGTGCAAGGAAGATACAAAAGTAAGCAGAGCTGGCAATTTGCTTCATTGAAGTGTTAAACTGAGAAAATATGAAACATTTCGTTCATAAAAAAGACCCACACGGCATTTATTTAGAACATCTTGAGAAGGTGATTGATATCAGAAAACATGTGTTCATATTTCCAACATCGTACACACACTCTTACTAAATTTAGGAAACCCTCATCTCGTCATCTCTAAATTACATCTTTCCGTCGATCCATGCAAAGGAGATGAGACGACTACTACTGGTGACACGTCAGTAGTTGTTGCCCGACCACACTGGGAGATAATTCAGCTTCCAGCTTTAAATTGCATTAAACGCTAATCCAAGAATAAAGTTGACACTTTATATTCACCAGATTTTGACTATATGAATGTATATGAAAATATGTGCCACTTTGTTCTACTATATGCCCAACATATTTTTCACTGTCACGTCCTTGTTGGACTGCCTTCTTGATAATTTGCTACATCTCATTACGTTCAGTGAATAAGTTGAGGATTAAATACCATTAACGGTGATTGCGTATTATTCTTAAATAAAGTAAAATAAATCCGTGTTGTGTTGATGCCAAGTGATTGTGGAAAAGTGCACAGTAGCCAAATCCTCCCAGTCTCACTCAGGATGAGTCAAAAAGATGATGGAACATAATTCACCAGAGAAAATTATCAAGCAGTTCTTCCCCACAACGCTCTCATCCTATTAGTGCTGGATGGATTGCGTTAATTCATCTAGTGACAAAAATAAAGAGTGTGCACTTGACAGGAACCACTTGCGATGCTTGCGATGAAAGTGTCATCCTGTCGCATTATTTACTGTTGAATATTTTAAAACCCATTTAAATAGTAGCTTTTTATGAAAAAACCTTTTGAATCTGATCATTTTCTGACGTCCAGTCTGACAGTGTGGACTCAACTCATTTGAATAAGAATGGGCTCTGAGATGTGGGTGTTCATGTCCAAATTTCTTTTCGTTGTGTAAGTTGTATGCCTCCGCGTCTTTTGTTGTTGGTTTTGTGGAGATATACAGGATCACAGATCACATGAGACGATGAGCATCGCGATTCTACAAATTCAACTACCAACTAAATATTCAACCGACCGCTGCTTAAAACAAATCATGGTTGTAATTTACAAGGAATCTTTTATTCTACAGAAGTCGTTTTCTCTATTACGCTGCCTGCCATGCAGCTATATGTGCACATACATAAGTTTTACTGCACAAGGCAGGAGTGTTCGTCTGGCTGAAAGTGCGTATGATGTCATTTGTAACCAATGCATCAGATACTTCCACGAGCTATAAATATAGTGTAGACAAGTTTGCAACTAATTTATTATTATTTGCGAGTTGTCCAAAGCATTTATTTGGCTGGTCTCTAACGAAAGGCATTGCATATCGACTGCTTAAAAACTAAACAAAAGAATTATTTTAATTTAACATGTGTATTCACATGTATGCAAGTACGTACCTCATATTGCGTACTGATACCACTGACGCTTCATGCATTGCTGCTGAACTTGGTGTACTTTTACAGGTCATTTTGGGGTTACAAATGATGCTTTATTATTTCTGATTAGGAACAATGAAATACACTTTAATCGGAAGATTGGAATACGAACAAGACTGTGGAGGTCCGCTGAAAGAAAAAGCAGTTTAACACGTTTCGATAAGAGATAGAGAGACGACAAGAATTTAAACAAATTCAAATTTTTGAAAACATCCCTGCGGTGACAAAGTTGAGGTGTCACCAATCTCAAGTACCCCCCATTGGCCGTGCTATCTCCAACATATCTGATTCTGTCCCCCGATAAAACTTGAAGGATTCATGATCATTTTCAACTTTTATGTGATTTGTAATTGTTAATAATGTAAAAATTCTCAGCAGTAAAAGAGCAGTCGAGATGACATAAGGCTATGAAGCAAATGGAGAACACGCCCTGTTCAGATTGACAACTTGTCATTTTCTTTCTCTCTTCAGCACAATGCACACTTGAAATTCTGAAGGTGCTACTGGAATACAAACTTAATTCCGTGAGTCGACTTATTATCCAAAAAAATTATAAAGAGCACAAAAATTCAAAGTACTCATTAAGGTCACTGCCAAATTCTCCCTCGTTGTTGATATTAAGTTTCAAGTTTCAACCCAACAACGTTCCTCGCATACAAGTTGGTGATAAATACATGTATGCGTATGAAATATGAATGCACATGCAGCTACATAGATATTTATTCGGATGGTGGTAGAAACTCATCTTCCTCGATCAAACGATCCTCATAAATTATCACCATTTAAGTCCTAATTTGTAAATCGAGAAGCCATCCCATTAAAAAATTGAATTGTTGTTTGATAAGGAAACTTGCATGCCAGATCAATTACACCCAAATAAAAAGTGTCTATAATGCGCTGTTGTCATTTGTGTCCATAAATGGGGCGACTTCATTGCCAGCTCTCGGTGATTGGTTAGGATGATACCAACGAGTGTTATGCATAAGTAAAATTTCAATGTTATAATCTCTTCTTGATTAAAGTGAGCTGCAAGATACGTGTATAACTTGATCCACCATCGAAATTTTCATAGAGTTGTGAAAAACTACAAATTATGTCCTTGCCCAGGAAATGCTGACTTAATAAATCTACCAGGTTTTTTATCATCACAAGTTAAGCATTGCATTTAGAGTTCAATGTACATATACACGAATTATGAAAAAAGCTAAACAACTAATGCCTTAAAAAAGTCTCTATCAGATAATTAAAATAAAAACAAATTATTAAATTACATTTCATAAGTGGTCGTATAATAAAAACGAACCCTGTTAATATTTCTGCATATCACCGAATGGATAATGGGTGAACATTATTTTACAACGGCTTCTGTTTACTGAACTTCTTTTGATGTGAAAATTTGGAATTCTTCTGGTGGTCATAATCACGGGATGTCAAGACTTAGAAATATGAAATCCATATCAAAGAGTTCCTCCACACATTCGCCCACCAACACAGAAGGAATAAATGTACAATTTGAATCAAATTCATCGTCCTGAATAGTTCAGATCGCAACACGAGAAGATCATTAAATTCCTATGGTAAAAAATATTACAAAGATTGTCAGGAATTTTTTGAACAAGGACTGACTAAAGAATTGTTGTCGAGATAAAATCGAATCGTAGAATCAGATCGTAATTCGTCAGCTCAAGTCAACTCTTTACAACGCCTTGGGTTTACACCTTCCACATAATATACTCTCATCTCCCCCCAAACAACGTGGAATATTATTGTGTATGCATGCAGAGGACCAAAGATGTGAATGGTGGAGTGGGCTGCCGTTGTTGGTCCAGCATTTCTATCACTCCATGCCCCCAGTGCAACAATGGTCAATGGCCAGGTAACTCTTCGGTGGTGAAGCATGACAATAGTATGTGTAAACCAGTGAAATGAGAATGGATGAGAAGAAGCCACCTGTGAGAAGACCAAATCTGTGAGGATGTGGTGCGATCCCTATCACTTCGCTATGCATTATAATAATCCTCACCACCATGGATAGCTAAATATTGCCACCAACAGTAGGCCTGATAAGACCCTCGATAAATTTCAATTTTTATCAGCAGCTCTTACTTACTCTACTCCTTCAAGATCTAATCTCCTTATTTTCAGTCAGGCATTCAAAAATTCGAAATTCTTTCTCACTCTGATTTTCACTAGCACTTTTCAAATTGTCAGAGATATCAAGTTCGATAAGCGCCCATTCTACAATTAGTTCCATACAAGTGGCTGAAAGTGAGAGAGCAAGCCACTGGTCTTTATTGTCCCACACTCCCCTTATCTGGATGACACTATATAATGCATATTGTGTAACAGTCAAACTACGTACAGTAGCAGCAGCAGTAGTCGTACACTTATTTACAGAGAACAAGAGGACAAGGGCCGATACAAGGTTTATGGAAATCTTGTTGAGATTTTGTGATTCCCAAATCTTGAGTCATTATCTAATGGACTTTGACTACTGGTTCTTGGCTGCTCCTTCTTCTCATCAATTCAACTCCTCAATACTTGACTCGTAATTTGATGGAGTTGGCTATTGAGTGCTCACTCATTATGACTCCCTTTATCACCACTACGACTGAATACCATTATGCTCTTCCGTGGCGCAACACCTTGATTAGACATTAACTGCGACGTAACTACCAATTTAGAAGCATGGCATTTACCTACCCGACGCTTCCGTGTGAGGATGAACAACTTAACCAATCCATCCATTGTCCGTCACTCCCAAAACTTGGAGTAATAATCATAACAATCAATGCTTAATGAGTTGTCGTTGAATTCGTGAAGTGCCAGCCCATCACCATCCCTTCACTGCCGCCCCGTTTCCTTAACCATTATGCATTAGCTGGCCATCAATCATCTCTCTCCCTCTCGATGCATCAATAATGGGCTCTGTTTTTTGAAAATCAATTCAACATGATACGTATTGGCTGAATTTTGACTGGGATCAAAAGGAGACGGGCAGCATCAGCTTGCTTGATTTTTATACATACACGTTTAATAATTACCAAACCATGATTCGCCCAACTTATTGCAAGTGAAGATCATTACGAACTTTATAATCAAATTATAACGTTCCTCGACCGCTGTGGTCAAGCTTGGGATTAAAATTTAGTCTGATGGGTTTTGTAATTCGGTAGCTCATCATGACGTGAGATGAAGTGAGTGATACTGTAACCATTGGCATGAAATGCTAATTTTCTACTTCTTTATTGAAAATTTGTTGTTTTGATGAAAATTGGACAATTTCAATTTGCTTCTCCAACGCTTGAGAGTTTGTTGAATTATGTAAATTGCTCCTTGGAATGACCAGAGCTACCGTGAGAAACAATTTATTGATAAAGTAATCTCAGCTTTCTTTCTATCCTACGTGTTGTCTGGCAAATTGTTAATGTGCACATTCCTCTTCTTTTGCCAACAACAGCAACACTATCCACCGCCGATTCATACAGACAAAAAAATTCACTTAAGTATACGCTATACATGTACAATAAGTAAATTAATTACTGACGAATACATGCGCATTGCCAACATTAAGCTTGCTATGTATGATGATGAGTAATATTATCTCGGAAAAATTGCCCACTACAGACATTGAAGAATATCTGGGATGGTAATTATTTCAGCAGAATTTTAATGCCAAGAAAGCAATCGGCAATCGCTATGTCATCCACTTAAAAACACGACAAGAATTATAAACAGACGTAGAATTAATTATGTTTCATTTGAAGACCATGCAACACTAGATAGCTTTGGAGTATTTATTTCACATGTTAATAAAAATGATGATTTGTGTTGGTGTTGGTTACAACATTGGCAGAAGGACAGGAAGAGACAACGAGCAATAAATAAAATAATTAACACCAATGTTTTCTTTCACTTGACTAATTTCAAAGTTCATTCAAAAGCTGTATTAAAGTCTTACACAAACTGAAATTAATTTCTAAGAAATTAAATTTTAATTTCATTAATTATGAAGAAAGGAAGGTCTGCCCCAGACAGACACCCAGCCTTAGGGGTAGCCTTCCTTCCACTTTTCGAGAAATCGAATAATTGAGCAGTTTTGCACAAGTCAGATGCCTGCTTCTTCAGTTCAGTTCGTAGGGGCTCTATTTTCTTATTTATCGACATCTGCTGCATCCCGTCAAACGGCAGCTTCTGACGCTTACCCTGAAATGTCTGAGAAATATAAAAAAAACATTTAGTTACAATGGTTCCTGCTACTAATTTCTAAGAAATAAATGAAACACTCACAATTAACAAAGCTTCCAATTCCCTCATGCGGACTTCTGCCTGTGCAATCATAGCTCGCAATTTATCTCCAGAAGCAGTCTTCATCCCTAAGGGATTACAGTTGAAGAGGAAGGAGTTGAAGGCTCGAGTTCCTGGAGTCTGAAGGAATTGGAAAATGGCGGAATTCGGATCATGTCTGTGGCCGGGACGAGATTTTTGTCCATTTGAATGAAGCCCAATGTACGTGAACATTTTTTTCTGCTTGTCACTAGATGTCTGAGAAATAATTTTCTCGGCTTCTGGAATACTTTTTCCTTGCAGCTCCGGCCAGTCGAAAAGTGTGTCAACGTACACACAATAATCCTTATTTCTCAGAAATTCTTCTGAGACAAACTGGGGGAATTTATCAAGGAGTTTGGTAAGGGGTAGACGCTGAAGATAATCCTCGAAGTCACTGAACAACAATAAACATAATTAAAATTAACCAACACTCCAATTTCTAAGAAATGAATAAATCACTCACATTCCTAATTTCTCATCCTTGAGAAACTCACTCTGTCCCAACCACTTCAGTAATGCCGAATCCGGGGTGAAGTCCAGCTTCTTACACGCATCGGTCAAACCAGCCAGCTTCTTTCTCTCCCACTGTTCTTTACGTTTTGCTTTCTGGTAATTTCTGAAAGTGACAGTCTGTTAATTTTCACAGAGTTAATTTCTAAGAAACAATTACTACGTACCGAAAATCTTCATCTATCTGGTATAGAAATAAGAAAGAAATAATGACTTTGTACCTAAACTCCTCACTTTCTCGGTAGCGAGCCTTCTGTTGCTCATTGTGTCGCTCCAACTGTTGCGTTCTACAAACAGCACAAATATTAGTGTATTAGTTTCAACGAAATGCATTAATTTCTAATAAATAATGAATATTTACCGAAATCCCTCATCATTGTGGTACCGAGTTTTCTTTCGCTCCAACTGTTTTGATCTGTAAAGAGCACGCATAGCTCTGTATTAGTTTCAACGAAATGCATTAATTTCTAAGAAATAATGAATATTTACCGAAATCCCTCATCATCGTGGTAGCGATTTTTTGTTGCTTTATTCTCTTCCGCACTGAAAAAAATGTTATTATTGTGTTGAATCGATATTTCATCACTTTCTGAGAAATATTAATATTTACCGGAATATGGGATTCAGGCGCTTCAGCGCCATCCTTTCTTTTGTTTTTCTCCTGTTGCGATCCACCGGCGATTCTCCAGGCCTCTTTGGGGATCTTTCTTTCTTCTTATTTGAATCTCTCAGAGATGATGAAGATTCAACTAAGTGTACCTGGTCGGTAGGGGCCGCATTCGATGATCCTGCTGCAGCTGCAGGGATCACCTTAGTCGACGGGGAACGTTTGGCGACGAGTTTCACCCTAAATAATACGGAACTACGTGATTAAAGTGCTTATTTCTAAGAAATTACTTGACCCCAAATTAGAGAAGACTTACCGCTGAGGAGAAGATTCCTCAGGAATAATCATAACATTCGCTTCTTCTTGAGACGACATTTTCCTGTAATTCTGATACAACACCACCCAAATTGAACTCAATCAGCTGACCATACTGTAATAGAACTTATAATTTCTGAGAAATAAATAAAACGTACCTTATCAATCGATAACTTCTTGTTGTTTTGGTTTTGGAGTGATGGGACGAGTTGTCGACGTTTTGATGTGGTTTCGAGAAGGATGATCCACGGAGACAACTAAAGTCCTTTCCTGTCCAACCATCAAATGTCTCACATTCCCCTCAACCGCCAAATTCAAACACAACAACAACTTGTAGAGATTTCGCTGTTGTTTTTCTCTTCTTTTCGAAAAAAATTAAATTTTTCATCAAAAATGGCTGCGGCACTTGTGGGAGGCGTTACTTTCGAAGCTTATGTAAGTATTTTATCTCTGAGAGATGATTATGATTAATTATTCATTAATTAATTAAATCTGTGTTTGTTTTTTTTCAGTCAAGTTTAATAAACTATTGGTTGGGTCCCTTCCCTCGTCCTTTTATGCGTCCTGGACTCTTTAAATCTCTTAAAGATTTTCTTGTGGATGTGGAGATGAAGATAGAGGAAAAGAATGCGATTCGGGCGATTTTCCAATCCGCAGTAAAGGACAGAGCCGTCCATGATCCTCTCCCTTTTGCAAAAGTAAAGGATTTTCCTGACGAGGTTTATGTAAGTTAAATGCTAAAAATGATTATGATCAATTTAACTCATTTATTTATTGTCATTATTTTATTTCTTAGAAATTAATTGTTGAATGGATGAAACGACAAGAGAAGGAAGGGAGGGCTGGATTTTTTCGCCAGATGTTTTTGGACCTTCGGGTGACGGAGAAGGAGATGGAGGCGTTCCGCAATCGGATCACCCAAGCCGACCAGAAATTGCGACCATTGGTCAAGGTCCTCAAACAAGGGGGCCGAAATCTCCGGAAGGGTCTGTTGACCACGGCACAGGCAGTGCAATTCATCGGAAAATTGCCAGACTGGTCAAAGGACAAACCTTTTTTTAAATTTGCAGTACGTTATGACAATTTCTTAGAAATAATGTAGAACTTTTTATTTTAAAGCGTCCATTTATTGTCGCATTTCTTCTAGTTGAAATACATGCAGGATCATAATCTCTCAGAGATGGACACGGACCTGCTTCGAACAAGTTTTGAAGAGCTTCAGACCCTTCCTGATCCACTTCTCCCATAGCCTGTCTGTTTGTTTCTTTACAGAGATTCATAACCCCAAATTATAAATACATAATACAATGAATTAGATCTCCAATCGGCCTTTGTAATGGAATAAAGCATTAACACACGGATACACTTCACCGTGCACGCCCACCCCACCACTCAATTCAATTATTACAGGATACCCTTCGAGAGAGGCCTATTATTCCGTACGTCGTGCTGTTGGAGCAAATTCGAAATCTTGCAGTGAGATGCTTATTACTCGACTCTTTTGAAATTAGAAATTCGAATCAGGGTAAACCTCTGTCACAATGGCACACACCTGTAAATGCAGGAGCTGAACATCAAAAATCAGCTCATGAGCGGACTTACAAGTTGACAATCTGTGTAATGCATGCAGCGAGTACAGAAGCAAATTGATTGACAGCAAGTAACTGACTCACTTCACTTGCTCCATTAATATTCCTTGATTAATAACCCTGCTAAAAAAATTATGTATGTGTGTGTACATGGAAAGAACAGAGTTGTACTATTTTCTCTGAAAACGATGAGATCAACATTCTAACCCAAAGAATTAAATAATGAGGCGAGTTCGTGGAGGTATGAAGGTACTACATATGCGGTGGATTTGTGACAGTTGGAGAAGCCACAGGAAGTCAGAAGCAGATTTATGGGCCCAATAAATTATAGCCTGTCTTTTTGTTTCTTTACAGAGATTCATAACCCCAAATTATAAATACATAATACAATGAATTAGATCTCCAATCGTCCTTTGTGAAAGTCCCCACCACCACCGGAGATCTGGATCGAGCCCTTGATGTGAATTACTTTTCCGAGTGTGAAGTGCTCACATCCCTTCCCACAAATTCGGTCAATTTCTTTCCATGCCTTCCACAATTTTACTTTATAATGAAGTTTGAAGCATTTAGTGTACACCCTTAAAGGTAATAGTATTTTTATAAATACTGAATAATACATATGAATCATGGAAAGTTAGGACAATAATTTTTGATTACCATAACAAGAGTAAAATAATTTTGTAATTTGTAAAAACTGCAATGTTTTGCTCTATATTTCATCAACACATATTTATAATGTACGTAGGCATATATGGGCTCGTATAAGTAACGCAAATGACCAAAAATTCAAGATTTGGTGCGAAGGGGTAGCTAGTCGGACCGGACAACATGCAGGATTAAAGGGCCGTGCTCAATCTATTAAAAAGTTATCGGGTGGCATCATTAATTCACCCGACTTCTAATTTAGACCGGATAATGATCAGCCTCTGTTAGGCGAACCACATCCAAGGCACCCGACATACATTTCTAAACATCATAAAGTTTACCTCAAGTGCCCACCTCTAAATCTTGTGTAATATGCTCACCACAGTCTGCATGCACATAATTTGATTCGAGACCACAAAAAGTCATTTTGGATGGTTCTATTACAAGGCGGATATTATGAGTTTCTAATATGCTCGTGAAATAAGGTTGAGGTGAAAGGACGGCCCTTTTGGCCCCCGACATTATTACTGTATTACGGTTACGGGAAGTAAATTAAAAAAAAGAGCTTGGAATCTGTCGACAGGACTTTTGGGTGAGGTTTTGATGAAACATTCCCCAATATGTATTGACGTATTCTTGTGAATCACAAGTTGTGATTCTTATGTTGCAAGCCTATCGGTATATTTTAATAATCTGGTTGGGGGAAGAAAGTGGAAAAGAATTTTGATCAAATTCTTGTACCCAAAAGTCAATAACGACATAGATAAAGCCTCCGAGAAGAAAGACGACATCAGCCGCAGAATGTAAACGACCCTCAGCATCTGGCGGAAAGAAAGATTAAAAAGAAACGGGAAAAGCAATATCCGTTCTATGATTAACTGCACCGCTGCTGCTGCAAACAATGCTGTTTTATGTCATATACGAAGATAGTTAAATTATTCCAAACCGCAAGTTTACACAATTGTTGGCAGGATTTTACTTTGTAATTTGTAAGAAGCTCTAAAAATTCACAACATGTGTGTCCCTTCATGGGTATACAATGCAGCAGTGACAATAATAAAATGATCCAGATGCATCACTTTATAAATTTCGTGAAATATTGTACTTTTTAGGCTTGGTTAGTGTATGCATGTCTCAATGTCTCTCGTGTACTCATGTACATACATCCATGTGCACAAGAAACCCAATATTTGTCTTTGTTGCTAGCTTTCTCAAACTACCGTGAATACAAAGCAGTTCCATTATAGATTACAAAGAGACGAGAGATAAATGTATTAGTAATACACGTTGGAAGCAGTTTTTTAATTTTACTATGAGCGAGAAAGAATACATATCCAACATACACGCCTTAAAGTATGTCCATATGTAAATACATACATTTTGAGTTTTCCCAAGTAGTCCATTAAAGTAACAGCGCACTTGTAGTCGTTCCCGTCCTTTTCACGAAATGGAGAAAGTTTATCGAGTGTGTGACTAATTTTCATTGCAAGTGAAACTCATGGGAATAAATTATGTCTTGCTTCATATTCATATTGATGACATTTCAGACATCAAAAGCATATGGAGATGGATATACAATTTAATTAATGTTGCACGAATCCTAGCAAACCGTAAAATATTTATTCTACAAAATTAATTCTGAAAAGGAGCCCCTTTATGTAGTACCTGCATACACATTGGAATGAATTGAAATGCATACATGACATAAGCAATGGGCATTTAGGGGATTTTAGGACGAATTCAATACCTTTGGCATTCAAAAAAGTAAAAGTTGACTACAATATAGACAATACAATATAGAATAAAGTGTGAAATAATAAGAACATCCAATTGGAAGTCAGACACGGGTATCAGTGAAAGGAATCGTAAAATTTGGAGATTGGAAACGAAAGTGGGTGTGAAATCGACAAAGAATGCATTAAAAGAAATAGACAAAGTGAATCCCGAGGTGTTTTTTTCTCGGTGTGGAAGGGCGAGAAGGGATTGGACTTGTCAGAATTCGAATTTTCCAATTTACGCAGTGGCAGACAGTAAAAGCGTCGGACTTTTAAAATTGAGTGTAGCCCCGTGTGTGCGTCTATTCCAAAGGTTGACACATATAAGCTGGCTCAGTCCAGCCAGAACATTTTGTCGTTGAAGTTGCCTCAATTTACAAGCAACACGGTTCTTCCGACGGCCGTAGCTGCAATCTAAAGAACGAAAGGACTACACATATTTGCTTGACTTCATCGAATGAGGAAAGCAGGCTTGACATGAAGTGGTGTTGGTGGTGGTCCGCTGTTGGCAGAGAGCGTGGAATTTGTGAAATGAGAAGTAAGGAGAAAGTCAAGTCGGGTTAGAGGAGACGGGTCGACTGACTGACATGAAAGGGTCTCGCCTGTTGGTAAACTTGGAGAGCAAGTTCGTTTAGTTCTTTATCGTTAGCTTGTCGGATTCCCTTTTCTGCAATCCAATTACACGGCTCAGTTGCGAAGTTGGCAGTATTGCTCCTATCGCTACCTCCTTTTTCTCTCCCCTCTCCTCACACACCACGGTCAAACTCGAACCAAGTGGCTGTAGACGCCAGCCCGCCCCTCCAACCCGGCAGAGTGAAAGCATTCAATTCACCCAATTTAAGAGTAATCCCTTACAACGTTGTTAGAAGAAGAACGAACACGCACAGACCATGATTTCCATGATAATACTCGGACCAATCCATTGGAATCACAATCACAACAGGCGTCATCCGCTTACATAAAGTATCCCATGCAACTCACCATCGCCACCAGGGTTGTGCCACGATACCTCCCCCTCAATTCTCCCACAGGCGACACAGCCACAACAGACCCCACAAAACTTTCCTTGTACATATATACCAGCCTACAATACTCTCACTATGATTTCTAAAAAAATGAGTTGGAAATGTGAATAAAAAATGGATTTGTGTGTGTTGGTCGCATTTTATTTTACAGTCCACGTGACATAAAAAAATATTCACCAGAGGTATGCATTTAACAGGCGAGTGAAATGTATGGAGACGCCATGCTTGAGATTATTTGGAGGCCGAGAAAATGTGGAGGTCGACAATGAGCAACAAGACAGAGTGGCAAATTTATTGTTAGTGAAAGTTGTCAGCTCCAATCCCACGGTTGGCGTATTGATGCTTCACCTTAACTCCTGGCGTTGGTGCTAAAGAGAATTGAAGCCAAGGAACAACTCGTCCAATACTTTGGTTTCTCACCACCAAACAAAAACAACTTCATGCCATTGGTTTTCTTTACATTTGTCTCTTCTCTACGATATATACATACATATGTGAACTCTTTACAAGTATAACTATTTATTTAGATATATTTGTAACTAACTGCAGTCATGAACAGTGATACATATATGCATATTATGGAATATACTGAGATACTTACATGCAATCAAACTCAAAATTGTTTACCGGACAATGATACCTATTTACAACAGTAAATAGATAATGTGTAAATGTATATAAATATGTATAATATAACCAAGGCATGGATTTTAAGATGTATCATTGCCGCACATTATCTCTGGTATTAAAATCTTTTATGTAGCATTCATTCCATCTCGTGTTAGGTTCACTTTATGAGATGAGTTTTCCCAGAAGATAAAATGTGTTTAGTGTGCCATACAAACAACTCGTAATGTAATGATTAATACGAGCCTCCGTACATCACATTTTTCTGCCCGTCTTCAGAAAACTGAAAATGTGTTCCTGTCATATCTATTTGTATAGTTTTGTGGCATATCATCCATCAAAATTACTATCAATTTGTATTACAAAAAATTATCTAGCACTCCTTGTACGTAACCTGCAGTTTATTGAAGTGTGGGAGCAACTTTTCTCCTATCGACAATTTCAGTACCCACCTGCTGTATTTCATATAAAGTTCAGTAAAGTGTGCACTGAAAAATATAACATTTTATTCCTTCACCGCAACATACGTTTCCCTTGTTCTGTACACGGTATCACAACGTACTTTACTGAAATACTGCAGCATGGGGAGAGTGACATTTCAGGCCCATTACACTTTAATCATCAGACCGATGAACCAAACCAATATGTAGCAGAGAGAAGCGTGAATGAATGCTCATCTACAAATTGAGGAAAAAAGCGAGG